GCCACTCGGCACCTTTTAGCTAGTTCAGTGCAGTCGAGCGGGTCACTAGAGCAGGTGATGAAGGTCTCGGGAACCTCCGAGTGCTACTTACCTATCTCAATAACGTATTATCTATAGTGCTGATAAATTTAGTCAACTTTTATAGTATGTAACGTCTGTAAATAAATCCTGTACATTATTTAACTCATTACCCACTTGTCAACATCATTACTTTATTTTCCATCAAGTAGGTTAATTATATTGTACATAGATATTTCACCTTTCTTTCTTTCGGACTGTTCGTACAGACATGACAGCGACGTTTACTTCTTACATTCATTTCTGCTGTCATTCTCTCCATCTCGTTCACTCGCTTCTGGCACATCTAATTTCTGTTTTTATATATTATTTTCTACATATAATATTTACCTTCTGTATATAATATATGTGAATAGATAAAGTTAGTTGTTATACTTATTTCCTCCGAACTACTACAAGTATAGCGGATTAACACCTTTTGATATTCACCGGTTCGATGCTCGAACAATAAATTCATTTGTATTTATACATGCATATCTGTCACGCCCGTCTCCCATTAGGGTAGGCAGAAACAATGGAACGCCAAATGCTTCGATTCGAACAAACCTCTTTCCCTTCTTCCACATTCATCAATCTTTTCATACACGCTCGCCGTTTACGGGTACTTTTAATTTGGCCCTTCTTCAGCACATCGCCTATTTGGTCGACATACGTCCGTCTAGTGTGGCCCCTACCGACGTCTCCATTCATTGAATTTATGTATATTTGTATTTATTTGTCGCGTGGTCCCAGCATAAAATAGGCCACTCTTTCCTTTCCCGTGGGTAAAATAAGAGGCGACTAAGGGAATTCTCGATCGAGAAGAGCCGAGAGATGGAAAGCGGCGTTCCTCTTAAAATATCACCAAAGCTTAAGTGTGGTTGCTAACGCAGTTAACGCTACCTATTGAAAATCTATTATTACCCCCTTATTCACAAAAAATAAAACCTATAAACTTATTTTAATTTTTCTATTGTTTTGTCACTTTCTTACACATTGGCAATTAGTACAAAAGAAAGATAACACAGTTCAATATCTGAATAAATAAATAAATTGTTGTTTATCTTTAATGGACAAACTTATTTACCATTTTAAGTTGCACAAAAAAAGTAAAGAAAAAATAAAACAGTTTAGTAGAACCATAGACTTAGTATAACGTACTTACACTTCTTTCACCTATAGAAAAATACATTGTCAGCGAGAAACTGTCTGTATTATATTTTATTTTTAAAATTAGAGATCCCTATAAAATTTACAATAGATTAAATCAAGGTTTGATACCTTGCCTATTAAAGTCAATATAAAATATCTATCCATCTATCTGTTCGGAGTCGGGACGGATGATTAGTAACAACAATAAAACACCAGGACAATGTATTTGTGGAAAATTTATTCGTGATATCGAAGTAGTAAAATAAAAACTCTACTATCAACACACTACGTGTTCGTGTAACCTAATGTGCCTCGCCATACAAACGTTTAAGGCACGAAACCTTAATTATATGACCACCATACTTTACAAAACAAACTCGCATCCGCCGCCGTGGCGCTTGTCTTTTCTATTGCAAACACAAGTGTATCGGAGAGAAGGGGATTGTTAGTAATGAGATTTAGCAGCCCCATTGCTAGCAATACACCCTATCAGGTCGACCTCCACGCGGTTCCCCTTGGAAACCATAGTAATTAATTTTTGTTCAATTGGTCACTATGGGCTAACTGACCTGCCTTCATCCTCACCTGTCGCCCTTCACTGGTACTTTGGTGTGTTCAAGATTATTCTCCACACTTGGTCCCTCAATAAGCGCAACGTACTTACAGACACATCTTTGTACTGAAAACTCCACTCGAATCTCAGGTGGACACCAGACAATTCTAACATGGAAATACCTACAGATATTGAGGGCAGCGTGAGAATAACAGATTTTACATCGAATTTTCGATAATTTTAGGTAACAATTTAAAACGAAAAGACACATTTAAAACTAAACTATACCGTTTTTCTTTTTTTTAATTTAGCGACCACGGCTTAAGGATTTTCTTAAACAATATTACCTCTGTGACACTAATACATTAGAACCGTACATATTATACACTGTAAAAAAAAACATATACAAATAAAAAAAATATATATAATTAAAAATACATTCTTACACTATTATTTAATTATCTTACTTTGGAAGTCGGTCACAGAGGTGTACAAAGTAACACAAACTACGTAAAACTATACATTTCAAATACAATCAAGATACAATAGTGTCGATTACAGTTTGAGACAACGCATAAGTATCAGATCATTTTTGGACGGAAAATAAAAGATAAAATGCACACTACATGTCTTAATTAGCAGTCTAAACGAAACTATATATGAATATATTAATAATGACATCAAATTATAATTAACTTAGAGGCTAATTTGTTTTGGCATCACGACGATGCGTCGAGACCGAGTTACTTTACGTCTACATTACTCTTGACGCGTACGGTCTCAGATCTAGAACATTGTCAGAGTAAACACGAACTTACGAGTATAATAATAAAACTGATTTTAAATCGCATATGAAATTGCAATAAGGTCTAAAATACAATTCATATATTGAATAGCCACTAGCTCGTACCCAATTACGTCATCAACATGTGACGAGGGGGAAAGGGATTGTTAGTAATGGAGACTGAGAATCCCATTGCTAGCAATATACCCAACCAGGTCGACCTTCTCGCGGTTCTCCCTGGAAACTATCATGGTTAATTCCTGATGAATTCATCATGATGGGCTAACTGGCCTGTTTTCGTTCTCATCTGTCACCCTTCACTGGTGCTCCGCTAGCGTATCCCGTTAGCGCAGGCGGGGGTACCATTTTCAGCCATAAATCGTGATGGAAACAAAACTGTTACTATATTAGTAATTATTTTCAAGACACGTCCCTCTCGGGTTATTAAGTTTATTTTTCTACCTGTTTCCAATTATAATTTGCCAATATAAATTGCCAATTAATGCAGTGAACGCTCTATATAAGCAAGTCATTTGAACCAATTTCAATTTTGGGAAAAGTTGCTTACAGGGTAAAAAGGAGTTTAAAAAAACTTTACTGTCTGGTAAATATTTTTACTTATTTCTTTTACTAACTAAGCTGAGTAGAATGAATAAAATATAAAGAATGTTGCTTATAGAGAGACTGCTTATATAGAGCGTTCACTGTATTAGTCAATCACATAATAACATGAGTTTCACTAAATTATTTAAGAATGTAATTCAGTTTCATAAATTTGATGTAAGTGGGTATGTCACTATTGGTTCTTTATTATTATACGTATATATATATATATATATATATATATATATATATATATATATATATATATATATATATATATATATATGAATACATAATACATATATATATATATATATATATATATATATATATATATATATATATATTGACTATCGTGTCTTATATTATATATATAAATGTGAAAAAAGACTACGATATATTGCTATCACTGGATATTCGATTAAAGTTATTTTGTTTAATTCCGCTACCATTAGTATGTGTGCGTCTACCAATACTTGAAGATTGATCAAACAATCTCCGACCGCCATTTTGTTCACACACGTTTTGTCACACACATACGAATCGTAACGCAACTTGTCATTAAAATTTGGACTTTAATACATGCAGTATAGAATACATTTTACAATAACAAGGTTAAATTATCCAACGAGTCGAAAGTAGCATTAGATATAACTTCTTATAGTGAAATGCACACAGTTTAAAGTCCAAAATACTATTTGCTGTACTGGATCGGTTCATTTATACACTACCTCAATATACTAATGAAATTATTGACTCATCTTTATCCACAATAATCTCGCATTAAGATTCGCATTAAAAGAAACGAGAAACAAAAGTTTTTGCGTCCGTAAAATTCATTAATGCATTAGCAATTGATTATATCATATTCGAGAGCTGAATAATTATATTCTCAAATCGATTGACTATCAAATGATAATCACAAGCATTATAATTAGCAAGTTAATTAGTTGGAAAATCTGAAATACATGGATTAAAAAAGAGCCAAATGGCACATTGTGGGAGAGACATTTTAGAATGCGAATGAGCATAGTCGAATTGTGATAAATTATAATATATGATCGATTGAATATATATATATATATATATATATATATATATATATATATATATATACTCAAATTAATATATTTTTACGTGAACTCTCAATTATATATACTTATATCTATGGTCGTAAATCTGTGTTGATACTTGAATTTATCACATGTTAGGAATAAGGGACTTTAGAGCCTAAATTCCCAATTCTAATGTGTCGCGATATTTTTATCAATTGTGAATTGTATTTTTGCTAATTATTTTGAAGTAATTTTTTTTTGACAAAAATAATTTAAACATATTCAATAGTGGGCAGATAATGGCTGATATGATGTCTTACTTAAAATATTATAGAGCATCGAGCCTCAAAAACGGGTCAAATTTTTGCCAGCTAATTGTCATATTAGCTGACTCGGTTTTTTTTATCAATATTCTATATATTTACGCATAAAATGTATCTTGACGTATTATTTAATAAATAAAATGAGTGTTTACATATTAAAATGAAGCAACAATTACATGACAAAATAAATATAGAAATTATAAGGTAATCACTCGTAACTATTTATCACGCAAAATTGTATGAAAAAGATGATCCGCTTTTCTCGAAGCATTTGTATGGATACACTCTATCTATATAATCTGTTTCATACAACTTAGAATGGCAAACAAGCTGACGGCCCACCTGATGGAAAGTGGTAACCGTCGCCTATAGACATGAGCAGTACCATGGACATAACAGAGTATACTGTTTCGCCCATGATACCTCCCATGCGTTGCCGTTCCTGAGGACTCAGAATCTAAGGAGACATCATACACTTGGAAGGATATATTTGTAACACAAATGTTTCGAGTTACAACATTACTTTTACTACTACTGTAACTAATCACAGTGTTTTGTCACTTTCTTTCCCATTGAGAACTTAGCACATAGGAAAAAGACAAAATACTTCGATATTTAAAATAAGGTTAACACACTTTTTTTTAGTAAAGAGTTTAGTACTTAAGGCAGAACGATATAGATTTCTATCAAGTGGCTAATGGCATATCTATTATAGTTTTAACGTTTTAAGCTTAGATTACACACGTATTAGAGATACAATGACCACAACATTTTGTACTGTGCTTGATATAAACGTCGCTACGAATCGAACGTTTTATGTCATCAGTTCTGAGGGCCTACCATGAAATATTTTCCGAAATTTCGGAACCGAACGAAACCCGATTTTGACGTCAAAATAACATAATAAACACTGTTAAAAATGTTAAAATATCGTTTCTTCGAATTACATATTAAGGAAGGATTTATGACGAACGAAATGTTAAGCTCCATTTACTGTGCCGATTTTAGTACGAACAAAAATACGAAATTGAGCCCGAAAATTCCAAATTTCATTACGTGATAGACCCCCTGATTTCATACTGTGCAAATAGACATCTCTAAAAGATAGTTTATAAGTAAAACAGCGACAAGATACAGTTTTAAATAAAATGGAAGTACTAATGATGTCGAATTTTATGCGACTTTACATAATATACAGGCTGTACGGGAGAGGTTGGCAAAAACTGAAACAGTGAATTCAGATCATTATTTTAAACTGAAAACCAACAGAAAATCATTCTAGAAAATTTAAAATTCTTTCCCATTTTTTTTTTCATTTATAATCTATGATATTGTTATAATATAAAAAAAAAATATAGTGAAATACTATGGAATACAAAAAAAAACAGCAACGTAATATACGTAAAATCCTACCGCGATGCACGGAATCAATTGTGTTAGGTCAACGCCTCAAGCATACGAAAACTACCTACGAAGAAGCACTACTGAGTGCTCCTTGTAGGTACCACGCGTCGTGTGGATCGTAACATTTCAAATACATTGCGCGGCGCCAAAACTAAGAATCATTAAAAGCTGTGGTGTATAACCGTTGAGAAAATAATTAGCCATCTGATTCAGACTGTTCATCTGAATCAGCTGTTTTGTCAAACCTGTCCCTTCCACCCTGGGCCTCTAGACAAGTGCCAAGCGAATTTGTCAATGGAATCGATATCGCTAGCGAATCTGTGAGATAGAATGAGATAGCAACGCCGGATGACTCATTCTAACTCATGGACTTGCTAGCGATGTCGATTCCATCGACGAATTCGCTTGCCACTTGTCTAGAGGTCTTGTATTGTTATCGAATATGTCTAATGGCGGATAGTATCACACAATGGACTCATTGTACTTTTAAACATTAATATATATTTATGATCGAATTTTGTTATATTTTCGACGACCGTCCTTTACTGTTATACTTTCAAAAAAGTTTTTTTTTTTTACACAACTTAGAATGGCAAACAAGCTGACGGCCAACCCGATGGAAAGTGGTAACCGTCGCCTATAGGCATGAGCAGTACCATGCACATAACAGTGTATACTGTTTCGCCCATTATACCCCCCATGCGTTGCCATTCCTGAGGACACAGGTGAATACTGTTACAAATCAGTACAGAATATAAATACAAATATGATTGATTGATGGTGATTTGAGTTTAAACAATACTGATGTGTGAGCTGTATAAAGTGTGATAATAGCATGTATGTTTGTGGGCGTGGTGGGTGTGGTGGGTGTGGTGGGTGTGGTAGGTGTGGTGGGCCGCAGCGGCCGCCTATATGAAGAACTCCCTGCGCTTGGTGACGCGCGCGCCGGTGGCGGCCGCCAGCGCCGCCGCGTCCGGCCCGGCAGCGCCCTCTGCACCGCGCTCCTCCTACGGACGGTATCGCCACATCAATTTTATACCACTGAAGGCATCATATTGAACAGTTCCCCTGAGCACAATCCGTTATACAAGCGGTAAAACATGCAGAGCGAGGCAAAATCTCTCCAAAGACTTAAGGATTCGATATAAAAAAAAAAAACAGGAAAAACAAGATTGTTGGTAATAGGGTCTAGCAGCCCCATTGCTAGCAACATACCGTTAAATCGAATTTTACGTGATTCTCCCTAGAAACCATTTTGTTTAATTCTTATTAAATACAGCACAATAGGCCAATTGACCTGCTTTTACACTCACCTATCCTCCCTTACTGGTGTTTCTAGTGTAAACTCATAGCGCGAGAGGGCTTGGCCATTCCATTTTCACCCATAAAAAGACCCTCTTATGTCACCATGTCACTCGCCCTCACTCCTACTGTCTCTCTCGTAGGGGGGAAAGGGATTGTTAGTAATGGAGACTGTGAATCCCATTGCTAGCAATATACCCAACTAGGTCGACCTCCTCGCGGTTCCCCCTGGAAACTATCATGATTAATTCCTGATGAATTCATCATGATGGGCTAACTGGCCTGTTTTCCTTCTCATCTACCACCCTTCACTGGTGCTCTGCCAGCGTATCCCGTTAGCGCAGGCGGGGTTACCATACCATTTTCACTCATCAAAAAAAACTCTATCTCTCTCTCTGTTTGTCTCTATCGTTTTTTTCACACATATCTTACCTTTCTTATTCTTTATCTTATAAATTATACTATTTGCCCAAAAAATGAGTACATCATCAGAAACTTATCCCATTTCATTCGAAGAAAAATGTAGGAATACTGCATATAATATGTAATATTCCTGTATTACCTGTGTCAAATATTCTCCCTTATGGCGGGAGAGTGCGCGCACCAACACCACAGCCACAATTATCAGCAGCAGGAAGATGAACGCCAGTACAGCTGAAAAACAAACAAATAATATTCACTAATTCATTTTAATTTAATAACTACCGGTTTAACTTAGTTATAAGTTGTTAAAAAAAAGCTCAACTAGTTTCGGGACCATTCAGGACCCTTAGTCTTGAGCGGCTGTGACGCGAACACAAATAATTATTATATTAAAATATAATGTTAGTAAATATCAATAAAAAGCGTTACCTTCAGCTTAGGTATGTAATGTCATGTGACTATGTCCCACTCGTGTTTCTGCCGTGAAACACTCATTTGCATGGCTGTGCTTCAGTTTAAAGGACAGTGAAATTACAAGGCACAGAGGCATAATACCTTAGCCCTCAGAAATGGCAACGCGTCAAGGGTATCATGAGCGCTACAATATACTCCGTTATGTTCATGATGCATCGTGCATGTTTTTTTTTTATACCACTGAGGTGGCACACAGGCATACGGCCCACCTGATGGTAAGTGGTTACCGTAGCCTATGAACACCTGCAATACCAGAGGTATAACGCGTGCGTTGCCGACCCGGAAGAAACCTCTTTACCTCCCTTTTGAAGAACCCCATGCTGTAGCCTCTTGGGAAAACCTCGGCAGGGAGCTCATTCCACAACCTGAGCGTGGTTGTGGAATCAGCATTACTACAGGTGATTGTTACAACTTTCCATCAGGTGGACCGTCAGCTTGTTTGCTATTCCAAGTTAGTATGAATGGCAGGGTACTGACTGCCGAGGATGGCCTCGTCGGTGCGGTGGTAGTCGAGGTCGTGCTGCAGGTCGAGGGCGGGCGGCGGCCGCGTCTCCACGGGCTCGGGCGGGTGCGTCACCGGCTCCACGCCGCAGAAGTCCTCGTGCAGCACCACGCCTGTACACAACACATGCACTACATCACTATCAGCTTTTGCCGGCTACTTAGTTCTGCTTCTTCTTCGAGTTCCACCCCTATCATAAACGCATTCCTGGTGTTGTAAGAGGCGACTGTGAGAGAAAGAGGAATTAAGAGGAACCAGCGTCCCTCTTAAAACATCTGCAAAGCCTAACTGTGATTACCAATCCGCCTGCCAAATGTGGCAACTACTGACAAAACCCCCCCAGTGGGAGATTTATATTCACCAGTGGCCAGTTAAAGGCTGATATGATGATCTCCCATGTACAAACATCATCTAGTTACAACTTTATTAAATTAGGGGGGAAGGGATTGTTAGTAATGCGGACTACCAGTCACATTGCTAGCAATATACCCGAGTATATTGCTAGCAATGGGACTGGTAAGGTCTTCCTCCACGTGATTTCCCATGGAAACCATCGTGCTGAATTCCAAATATATTCATCACGGTGAGCTATCTGACCTGCCTTTTCATACTCACTTATCATAATATATCACCACACTGGTGCCCCGCCAGCGTAGCCCGTTAGCGGAGGTGGAGTTGCCATTACATTATCAATCATTTAAAAAAAAAAGTTTATTATATTAATAAGAAGATCACACGGGATATCAAAGATTATGCTTTGCATTAAGGCTATTGCTTTACGGTCATAGAGATTTGCATTTGGTCATATAAACTATGAGGTGTAGTATGAATGTATAGTTGCACAAACCTTCCTGGCCGCGCACGTTGGGCGGCGGGTCCTGCTGGAACAGCAGCTTGAGCGGGTAGATGTCGTCGAACTCGACGCGGCTCACGCATCCCACGAAGCCCTCGCTCATGGACTCGTTGCGCCCGATGTACATGTACTGGATGTTGTTGAACTGCGCGTCCGCTGACTCCTTGATGTTGAAGTTGTACTCCTGGGTCTCGTAGTTGTCCACCTGACCAGTACACACAATGCTCGACTTACTCCATAATAGAAAAACTTATTGTTTTCCAATCATCAATATAACTTTAAAAAAAAAATTTAAATATATATAAACTTATTTTTTTTAATATCTTAGAATGGTAAACAACCAGACTGCCCACTTGATCGAAAATGGTAACCGGCGACTATAGATATGAGTAGTACCATGGACATAACAAAGTATACTGTTTTGCCCTTGATCCCCCCCCCCCCCCCCATGCATTGCCATTCCTGAGGAACTCAGGTGTTATTCCTCTGTACCCTATAAATTCACTGCCATATCCCTTCAAACCGAAACACAGACATGCAAACACAACTGGTCTCCTTCTGGTTAAAACTTCATTAATTATATTATTATCTCGCTGCTGTCCCCATAATAAAGACTTTTAAAACCACAATAGCCAAGCAGCTTTATATACATTTATTTTTTATTAAGTTCAATTGGACAGATGTATTATCCTTTGTTCTCCCCATAGAGAGAAGCCAATCTTTAACAGTGGACAGTTAACGGCTGATATGGTGATGATGATGATTATTATTATTATTTAGATTATTACAAAACTCACATCTCCCCTCTTAAGGAGAGGAGATGGCAAACTAACCCCCGGCAGAAGCACAGTCGGCCGGAGTACAAAGCCCCAGGGAGAGAAACCGGCGTACAATGCGGGCAGTATCTAAGAGCACCGCTTTCTGTATCTTTCCCGAGAGTGAGCCACCTTGGAATCCCAACCGTCTGAGATGTTGTTCCAGACTAGTTGGGATAAGACCGTTCACGGACAAAACGATTGGAATGATTTCAGTGGACGTCACCCCCCACATTTCGGTCACCTCGTGAGCCAGGTCGAGATATTTTCTCTTTTTTCTCGGTTTCGGCTTTCACGAAGTTTATTTTTATTATTATCCTTTATTATTTATTACAATATTTTCAAGGATGAAAATAGGTGATTTACAACATTTTTACCTTTTGTAAACCATCATGCTTAATTCCAGATAAATTCATCATGACGAGTCAACTGACTTGGATTCTGGACCCACCGTACCACCGTCCACACTTGGACAATAAGCGTGATTCTCATCACCAATTTAAAAAAAAAAAAGATATTTGTGTAGGGGTACCTGTAGCACTAAGGTAGCGCCGCCGTTCTTGCGCGAGAGCCTCACGTCGTGGTACTGGCCGAGACCGAAGTGCTTCCCTTGGAAGATGATCTCCTGCCGCTCGAACCCAAAGTCGAACACCACGCGTAAGTGTCCTAAATACACATTGGAAGTTTGTAGACTGTTTTAATTAATTTCGCCCCTGCGTACCCACAGCTGAATATCAAGTTCAGGTAATGACTATTACACACAGGCACACATGCACGCACGCACGCACGCATGCATGCACGCACGCTCAGAGAAATGGTATTTATAATTTAACAACACTCTTTTATTTAAATTTGGTATTTTTGATACATTATACCTTCTATGTATTACAAAAAAAATTATATAGATATCGAGATATAAATAAAGTAACATTATATTCTTATTTCGTTTTACATAATTTTAGAACACTGCTGATAATAGCATCGTGTCCATATGTAGTCGAGAAAGTATTTTTGATTTTTCATACTTTAGGCGCAAAATTGCAACACTGCTGCCTCGATTATTTTAAATGAAATAATTGAAGCAACAGTATCCCTCTTAAAACATCTCGAAAGCCTGACTACAATTGCCAATTCTCCTGCCAAAGTGTAGCAACTACTGGGAACCCCCCCCCCCACCCCTCCATGGGGAGGCTTAGTTCAGCAGTGGACATTTAAAGGCTGATATGACGTTGATTCAGTAAAACTGCAATACATCATACACATTCATTTAAAATTCAATCAATTTTCTATCATAGTATGTAATTCTTACCTGAATTAGACACCATAAGCGTGAGGTACTCGCCGGATATGTTTGAATAGAATCCGAGGAGGAAACCCTTGGGATTGGTGGTGGTGAAGCCGACGCGGATCTTTTCCGCGATTGTGGACCGCCACGAGCCGAGGAAATCGTATTTCACCATCGAGTTTGGCCGGAGGTTCACACCGATTTCTGTATAAGTTGATTTAAGATATTCAATTGTATAAGAAATTTATACACAAAGTGATAAAGTAATTAGCAATTCTAAATTTAAACTGAATGTAAACCAATAAAAAAGATGGGCTAATTGACCTGCTTCATCTTCATCTACCATTCTTCACCGGTGCACCATCAGCGTAAACCGATAGCGTAGATGGGGTTCGTCCGTTAAAAAGAACAGTGTATAGAGAAGCAAAACACCTCACTCTTTAGGAATGGCAATCGTGAGTGCCACATTGTACCGTCAGTACCTTTGCCACTCCAAATTGAACTTAAAACAAATTGTCATACAGAGTATAAAAGAGAAGTGTAAGAACTGACCGTCGGCGCAGATGGGTCCCTTGAAGGAGGTCCAGCGGCAGTCGCAGGCGTAGGAGTCGTAGCCCTCGAGGCAGGTGCCGTTGTTGAGGCAGGGCGCCGAGTCGCAGCGGCCCGCGCAGCCCTCGCCCACGCCGTATAGCCCTGCACCAGAACGCGCTCTCACTACCCGTGTACCTCAAGGGTGTATACTTAGCCTATTTTTACTTTTTCTGTACTTTATTGCCCTTCTTTTGGGCATGCACTTTATAATAACAAAAAATACAATTATGTCAATATTTTAATTTAAAATGTGTAGTGTTTTGATAAATTTCTCGTATATACTATTGACGTATATGTATGTGTAGGTGTGCGTGTGCGTGTGCGTGTGCGTGTGTGTATGTGTGTATGTGCGTGTGCACGCATATGTACGCACCCCTGCGCGCGTGCGCCCGCAGGTCCTGCGGCCGGCCGTTGAGCAGCAACGCACGCATGCAGCCGACGAAGCCGTCCTTGCGGTCGAGCGACGCGCCCAGCACCAGCGCGGTGGTGAGCTGTAGCGCACGGATGGGTTCCTTCGCGGTGCGGATCTCGTTCTTCAGCGCGCCGTCCACTACCACGCGGGCCTCCTTCCTGCACACGCCGCACACATATTCAAATACATATATTGAGTATATTATATCCCTCCCCCCCCCCCGTTCAATATTAAAGACCAAAATCAAATTACACAGATAACACGACAAAATAAATTGGGTACTTGTCTATAAATGCTTGAAATGAACTAAATGAAAATTCATCCAAAACATTATCATCATATCAACTATTAACTGTCTACTAGTATACATAGGTCTCCCATTGGAATGGTTTTGTTAGTAGTTGCCATGCTTGGCAGGCGAATTAGTAAGCACAGTTAGACTTTAGTGATGTTTTAAAAGGGACGCTACTGTCTATTTCTTGACCATTAAGTCCCTTAGACGCCTCTTACATCACCCACGTATAACGGAAAGGTGGCCCCTAATATATCGGAACCACTCCGCAAAAATTATACGAAAAATATTTTTTTCTACATCAACAAATACTGATCGCCGTGTATGTCCCGGCATAGAATGGACCACCTCTCCCTTTCCCATGGATGTCGTAAGAGGCGATTAAGGGAGCATATGATAGAGTAGAGCGTCCCTCTTAAAACATATGTTAAAGCCTAACTGCGGTTACCAAACCCGCCTATCAAGCGTGGCGACTGCTGACAAAACTCTCCTTATGGGGAAGGTTTATGTTCAACAGTGGACAGTTAACGGCTAAAATAAAAACAAACACTGAACAGGCTTGACCTAAAAAATGTATTAATAATGCTTTACTGGCTTTCATATAATACTTTATATTAATAAAAGCAAAATTTAATATACCTGTTCCGTTCGATGGAGACCGAGTGCCACTGATTATCTGCGAGTCGGGTGCTAGTCTCTACGGATACACCCAATGGCGTATCGCCCACCTGGAACTGGAACTGCAGCTGGTCGCCGCCGATGATCGACAGCTTTATATAATCTTGGGGTCCCTGTACACAATCACATACACTATATTATTTCTAAATACTTTTTGTAATATCTCTCTGTGAATTTCGTCACACTTTAATCAGACCCATAACCCTTGGAATAGTATCAGAAGCAAAACATAAGGAGATTATTACCTTCGAATGTAATAATACTGCATTCTCTTTAGTTGTCTTAAATTCAAAGTAGATATCACCACTATGTCCGAGGTCGAACGTCGGCAGCGAAATAACCGCGTCCGAAATGCGGAATGTCACCGCGTTGCTGAACAAATCTGTAAATAAAAGAATAAAACGATTACATTATTGCCTTGTGATTCATAAAATGTATTAAGTCTTTTAATATTATTAATTTTTTATTTACCATCTCCCTCGCACATGAGTGGTCCAAGTGTGTATCGGCCCTCTTTTTCATCAAGATGACTGCCGGTGTCGCCAAATCTTAACTGCTTTACAGGCAGAAATTCTTTTTCTGTGATCTCCCCACCGTCCGTTTGGAAATCTGTCAAGAAATTATTTTAATAAAATAAAATTTCTGGATATTTATTTACAAAAAATTAATGTAATTAAATAATAAAAGAATACTGTTCGTATTTCTGGTAAAAGGTATAATATGAACAAACAGCATTTTGATGTTTAAATAGCGCCCGTTATTTCAATAGTTACTCACCCTCTGGTTTGAGGTAAGGATACTCCGCGTCGCAGTTGCACCACTTGGTGGGATCGATGCAGGCACCTAGGAGGCCACAGGCACACTTGCGGGAGCCGGGCGTGGCGCCAGCCCAGTAATCCATGCGTTGTCCGGTGCGGGACACCCACCACGCGAACGGGTGGAAGCTACCTTCATCACCTGTTACCACATTATAAATTGTCAATGATAAAATAAATAGAATTTATTACTACTACGATTAATAGAATTACGATCAATAATTCTTTCTTCCTTAGTAGAAACACAATGATCTTGGTCACGGCATCAATGTTAACAATAGTATTAAAACTGGTGCCATGACTGAGATTCCAATCTGGGTTACTGCACAAACACAATCTAAAGCAGTCCGTACAAATGTCAACGCAGTCATATGACATCGACAAATAAGTGCTGGGAATATAGACTGATGTGCACACTAAAATAATAGGGGTTATTTGTTGTTGTATTCTTGATATATGCTGTAATGAGATATAAATATAGACTGTAAAGAAACACCAGTGACAGATCAGACAGACAATTCGGGAAGCACTTCTTTGCCTAGACATGTCTTTTGAATGGCTAGGTGAGAGTTGTTTACAACATGGAAGACTGGATAAAGAGACTAACTGGGCGAGTTGAGCAGGCGCGAGTGTCTGCAGGCGTAGTCGAGGCGCTGCGTGCAGGCGTGCGAGCGGTTGAGCAGCGCCTCGAGCTGCGCGCGCGAGGCGTCGTAGTGTACGTCCTGGCGGAAGGCGCCCGGCTCCTGGTGGCCGTCCACCGCCGCGCCGGACACCGCCGGCCGCACCGCCGTCACCACGCGCCCGTCCGCTGCACGGAAACATTCCTCGCTTTTATAGGCTACTACACCACCCTAAAGTTGCTATGTGAGCTAGACTAAAAATAGGCTTTTCCTATGAATGTCGTAAAAGATAACTAAGAGAAGTCGAGGAATAGGAAGCAGCATCCCTCTTAAAAGCATTATGTGTACACACACACACACCAGAATCCTCTCCTTTCATCATCATATCATATCAAAAGGAAAATTAAATGTTCATATCACATACATTTTAGTTTCTTATTATATAATGAATACACAGTTTAGAATAACCTATGCATTCTAAATATATGATGGTAGCAATTAAATCGTGATGTAAGTGACAGTGACCACGATGTCATACAAATAAAAATACGAGGTCTGTCCGGAAAGTTCGTATAAAAGTGTTCTGGAATGCGAGAAAGAGGAGTGGGGAGGCCAGGTAAGCGCAGGACCCCTTCCTTATGTCCCTAACAATGCTTCAGTTCTGGTCTGACCGCCGTGCGGTGCGAACTGGCTTGTCACGCCATCTGTGAAGTTACCTCTTAACGAAACCCCGTCGGCATGGAGCCCGCTTCCGTTGAAGAGCAGCGCGTCGTAATCAAGTTTCTCTCGAAACTCGGCAAGAATGGCCGTGAAATTTTTGCCGATCTCAGAACAGTTTATGGGGATGATGCTGTGAAGGAACCAACCGTCCACAAGTGGCTAAAAAGATTCAGAGAGGGCCGAGAAAGCATCAAGAATTCGTCCCTCCAGGCCAGACAGTTGATGGAAAATTCTACGTCGATGTGCTCAGACGCCTCAAAGCTCGTGTGGCACGAGTTCGTCCAGAATTGGCGCGAGAGGGGCGTTGGATTCTTCACCACGACAATGCCCCTGCCCACACCTCTCTTGTTGTCCGTGAGTTTTTGAGTAAAAATTCCATTACGGTGACCGAACACCCCCCTATTCGCCGGATTTGGCCCCGTGTGACTTCTTCTTGTTCCCAAAAACCAAATTGGTACTTCGGGGGCGGCATTTGGGGGACATAAATGAGATAAAAAAAGCTACGACGGGGCAGCTGAGAAACCTACAACCAGAGGACTTTCAAGGAGCCTTCTCACAGTGGAAAGGGCGTTGGCACAAGTGCATTATGTCACAGGGGGAGTACTTTGAAGGGGATAAAATTGATTTACCTGAATAATTGTAAAATAAAATTTTTAAAAACTTTTATACGTACTTTCCGGACAAACCTCGTAAATAATAAGACATTACAGAAACAGTACATAATAAATACCTAATCCAGCCATAAAATCTGTTACAAATGAAAATGCATTTTTTTTATAAAGTAATGTAATATTACTAAACTTTATACCTACATATTTATTAAAATGTCAGCAAAATAAAAAAATATTCTTTTCAAAATGGCCACCTTTGGTTTTTATTCATGCCTCCAAGGTAGTTCCAAATTCAAAACAATTAAAAAGTTGAAAAAAGGAAAAGTTTGTTTAATAACATCAAAGTTTGTTTCATGGCCAGACTACTTATAATGAGACAATGTTAATAGAGTTGAAGTATGAAGCGATTGCGCACTCACAATAGAACTGGCAGGTGACGGGGAAGGCGGCGAGCGGGCCGGAGCCGTCGACGTCGATGAGGATGTCGGCGGCGCGCGACACGGCCGCCACGTTCTTGTACGCCTGGCACGACAGCGGATGCATCGCTGCATGCGGCGGACAGACATACTATTAGTCCTTGTTGCAAGTTATAAGCTAACGACGCAACTAGCATGATATGGCGTAGTTACGACATATGACGCGGTATTTACATTACAAATATATAGTGGTGATTACAAAAAAAACAGTAATATATATGTTAGAGCAAAATAAATATGTAAATTCACGTACACAGAGCAGGAATTAGGAACAAAACAAATTTAGTTTTTTTTTTTTTTATAATCTGATGGTAAAGAGTTACTGTAGCCTATAGACACCTGCAACACTAGGGGTGCCGACCCTAAAGAAACCTTAATATATGCTTTTTGAAAAACCTCATATAGTATAACCTAATAAAGGTCAGCTTCCTGCCAAGGTTTTCCCTAGAGACCGTGGAGACTGTGGAATCCCACAGCCTGAGCGTTCGCGGAAGAAAATTCCTTAACAACCATATTGTGCATGACGATTTCCTTTTAACGGGTGATAATGAAATGGTAACCCCGTCTGCGCTATCGGTGTACGATGGTGGGGCACCAGTGAGGGATGATAAGTGATGATGAAAGCAGGTCAGTTAGCCCATCGTGACGAATTCTACTAGAATTAACCACGATGATTTTCAGAGTGATCCGCGAAGAGGTCGACCTCATAGTGTTTTTCTAGCAAGGGGTCAATTAGACCTCATTACTAACAATCTCTTTTCCCCTTTACATGACCATTTAGGTCCAAACATATGAACCCGTTTTACATTTCAAAGTGATTAATTGGTGAGTAAATTAGACTTAAGGGAATGTATGGTAAGGGAATAAATAGGACTAAAGACAGTACAAAATAACGTATTTGGATAATTTATCTGTCACTGAATGGTATGCGGTAGGCAGGTAGAGTAGTATACGCACAGGTGTGGCAGACGGCGCCGGCGTAGCCGGTGGCGTGACAGTCGCACGAGAACTCGGCCGCCGACTGCGAGCACGAGCCGCCGTGCTCGCACGGGTTCGGGTTGCATCTGCGGACAACACTAGCTTTACACTAACGCCACGATAGACCGGAAGCAGACGATCAGCAACAGTAACAACATACAGGCTGACGGTCCAACAGGTGGAAAGTGGTATTCATTGCCTGCAGACATAAATAACACCATGGGAAACATAAAAAACAGTGTACCGTCCATTGGTTACTGTTCATGCTTTATCATGTCTGTTCTCTGTCTAATACTCTAATACTCTCTAATCTCAATGCCACAATTTATTTGAATTTTCAACAAAAAATTACTGCTATACAATTTTACCTTCACTTGTATCCTCCCGAGATTTCTTATTTTAACCAAACTAAATGTAATTTTCACTTTTACTAATCAATTAATAAAATAATTATAATAAAATTAGTACAGCCAGACATTACATTCTTAAAAAAAATAGGATACTCCTAAATAGAATTTCATTTATTTATTTAACTCTTTATTGCACTAGAAAACATAAAAATATAATATACAAATAAAAATTAAAAAGTGATTTGACTTGTTTTTTAAACGAAGCCAAGAACTAATCACTCCATATAGAGAGTGGCAGGGAGTACCATAGGCACAGCCTGAATGGAGAACGATTTGGTGTTATAGTACATGGAAATATATGATAAGAGGTTTTAACATGAATACTTTTAAAGGTACACTATTAATTATTTTACAAATTTTTAATAAAATATTTTACAAATACAAACTAATAAAAAATACTATAAAACTTAATATTCGTGTTTCAACCGTGAAGCAGTTGTGTTTGCATGGCTGTTTTTCGGTTTGAAGGGTGGGATATGGCGTGATTTGACTGGGTACAGAGGAATAACACCTGAGCCCTCAGGAATGGCAACGCATGGGGGGTATCATAGGCAAAACAGTATTGGTACGGCTCATGTGTATAGGCGACGGTTACCACTTTCCATCAGGTGGGCCGTTAGCTTGTTTGCCATTCTAAGTTGTATAAAAAAAATTACTTGTACAACAAAAATTCATCAACCTACCTGTCAATCATCTGGCAGGCGTCGAAGACGACCTCGTTGGGGCAACAGTACTCCTCCTTCTTCCAGTCGGTGGGCAGCCGGTAGTTGCCGTCTACAGCGATCTTACGCATGCACCCGATAAACCCTCGCGGGGGAGACTTGCCACCTGTTACCACAATTTTTAAAATTATATTTCTCATTAACTTACTTAATCAACAATATAAACATCTGTAAAGGTGTTTCCATGATTTTTTCATCACAAATAGATATAAACAAGCCAGTAACGAGCACACCTAATGTGTTGCCATTTCTAAAATCGTGACAAACAAACAAGTTCGCCTGCTTAATGGCCGAAAGAGACGGCTAGTGACACAGGAAGGTAAAAGTTTCCCAAAATCCCTCTAGAACCTTCACACAAGAGCGAAACTAAAACACAAAAGAACCAACCAGCAATATAGTAAGTAGAGCCGGTGAAAAACCGCAGTTTCTTGGTGGTCCGGACGGGGCGATGGTCGACGGAGAGCACGAGGCTGTCGACGGCCATGGTCAACATAAGCGCGTGCCAGCGCCCGTCGTTGAACTCCTCCGCGTAGTTGTCCAGCTTCACGCGAGGTGATCCAGCCATCTCCAGCTCTACTTTGACCTTGCCTTCCTCCAAGAACACCTAGTGAGGATATAAATAAATATTACTGGAGACGACACGCAGCGCCATCTACTTACAAACTAAACAAAACTTGAACTATAGGTAGTTGACAATTTAAAGACAAACAATGATGACATTTTTAGTAAATAAATATAATAAAACAATTTTAGTATTCCTATAATGGTTTTATCAGCAACAGAACCAAAACAACCGACATAACCCGAAACATAAACAAGCTGAAGTGGCAAAGAACTGGTCACATAACTCGAAGAACCGACAAGCATTGGGGAAGAAAGGTTTTTGAGTGACGACCCCATATGGGCATAGTGTAAGACATTTCCCCACTAGATGGAGTGACACAACCTCAAATATATTACAGAAAATCAGTGTATACAGGTGGCTTAGGACAATTCCTTATGGCAGTCTATGTGGGAGGCCTATGTTCAGCAGTGGACAAATAATGGCTGAGATGATGATGATGAATTTAATTGATTTATACTATTTACTACTGCATTTATTTGCATTGGTGTTTGAAAATTTTGAAACAATTGAAACAACATTGAAATTAAACAGTTCATACGGCTGATGGAAATCATCAGCATAAGGCCAACAACATTAAAAAAAAACTGAGTTCTTGTTTCAAAACATCTTTTCGAAGGGTATTTTATATGCCATAAAAATATATATGATAGAATAAGCCATTTCAAATCCATACCCTAGCATTTTGTATAATAACCCAAAATGTCATAATTCAAAAAACATCAAATATGAGCCCCTTACCTTGACGTCGCCGTCATTCTTGAAGTGATGGTATATGAGCAATCCATGGTTCTCGTAGGTCCTGAACTCCAGGGAGATGTTGAGCGTGTTCCCGCCAGAGTAGCCGCGCAGCTTCGCGTACGAGCCCTCCTTCAGGAACGTTATGGGCACCACCGGAGGTTCCTAGTGTACAATATTTAGAAATGCATTATATCTAATACATATAAGAGGAAATTAACTCAATAGCATTGTTTCAAGGAAGTATTCTGCTAGTGCAGTGGAACATTTTTACCAAGGAATACGGGTGAAAAATTAGAATGTCCCAACTCCATACCATATCAACAATCTGCACCAGATTTTTTTTTGATGGATGAAAATGGTATGGTAACCCCGCCTGCGCTAACGGGATACGCTGGCGGAGATCTGCACCAGATTAGTGTTAGTTATATTATGGGACTGGCTGAAAACCAGCGCTGTGCGGCTGTACACATTGCACTGGGACACTCACAGCATCAGCTGAGCCAGTTCCTTTTGCCTAATATGAGACACTTCTTATATATGTATTTTCTGTTGTAATTGTGTTTCTCTTATAATAAATATTTTCTATTCTATTTTCTAATTACCAAGGCAGCTCGTATAAAGTTTTATTTTAAATTTTCTTCCTCTTGCATTGATGTATTCTGATATACTCCCTTAGTCGCCTCTTAACACATCAAAATAGTGTGTAAATAATGACACATTGTATTCTTATTCAGTCACCATAAGGAGACATACGATAGGTACTGGTTAGATGATTAAAACTACATATTTTGTTTAATTTCGCTACCATTAGTATGTATGCATTAGAAAGGTACTAAAAATATTTGTAAAAAAAAACTATTACTTACAGGACAAGCAAACAATGTGTTAACTTTCTGGAACTTGAAAGGCTCTCCTGCATCATAACCGGCCCTCAGGTCTTGGATCACGTTGGTAGCGTTCAGGTACATGTTCTCAATGCAACCAGTGAAGTTCTGAGTCACCACTAAACCCTCTTGGAAGTTGGGCACGCCCCCTATGTATATCTAGAAATTAACAAATAGGTTTTTTTTAAAATTTGATGAATAATGTAGGTTTCTTATTTTAACTGTGACTCTTATTGACTACAGAATAAGTAAAAATTCTCAATACATCTCTATATAAACCTTCATATTAAAACTGTAATATTCTGGAAGTGGAAATTGTTAGTAATGTTCCAAGTCTCTGCTCGAGACTTGCTTGCTGTGGGAGAAACTGCTCAGTTTGCTCCCACTTATCAGGCTATTTCCCTGCTCAATTCTCTGATTGCTCAGCAGCCAGATATTGATATATTTAATGACAAAATAGATATATTTTTAAAATGTTGTACAAAATTTGTAAGTTTGTAAAATAAAGCTCACTACACGTTTTGGGAGACTGTGTGGTGAGTAATTTTCAAATAAATAAATAAAGCCAATTTCCATGTGATTCTTTTGGAAACCATCTTGAAATTCTTTATGAATTCATCACAAAAGGTCAACTAACCGGCTATCATCTCTGACTTGTAACCGAAAGCGCAAAACGGAATACCAGTCCATTATTATAAAATAAAAAAATCTGAATCTGTTTGCTTCCCGTAGGTAAGCAAAGTTTATAAATGGTTTAAAGTTAATTAAAAAAAAAATATTTATAATATGATAATAAAAAAAAATAAAGTAAAAACCCTTTAAAATAATATACGAACCGCCCTGTTGAGGTTGAGCCGCGAGAACTCTCCCTTGATCCGGTCCTGGACGACGACGCGGTCCACGGAGAAGAGCACGTCGCGGCGGTTGCGCGAGATGACCACGTCGTGCCAGATGTTGTCGTCCAGCAGGCTGCCCACCGACAGCGACGTCGACGTGCCCGACCCTGGCACGACACACTCACATCACCACGACATCCACCATGGGGAGAATTTGTATAAGTCATCTTAGATACCTACCCACTCGTGTATCTGGCCTAAAGCATACCTGCATGGCTGTATTTTGATTTGAAGGGATATGGCAGTGGAATTACAGGCTGACCCTGCCACCTGCCACACCATCATACCACGTCGCCACAACATTGACCAGGGTAATACTTTGTGCAAGTCATATAGGGTATTCTGCCCACTCATGTTTCTACCACCATAAAGGCTTGGCTGTTTTAATATGAAGGGACATGGCAGTGAAATTACGAGATACTATAGGCTTCTCAACCTTAAGTCTTAGGAAAGATTTTGCCTCCTTCTGCATGTTCTACCATTTATACAACGGATTGTGCCGAGGAACTGATGAAGATGATGCACCTCAGCATCGACAGGAGTTCAACTCCATACCTTAGAGCCTATATGGTCGCGCACAGCGCGATCTCAGAGATGTTTTCTCCCAGGAACACTCAGGTTATGGAATGAGATAGTTTTTTCTAAGAGACTACAGCATGGAGTTCTTAAAAAAGGGGTAAAGAGGTTTCTTCAGCGTCGACAACGGTTACCACTTTTCATTAGGTCGATCGTCACTTTGTCTTCACAAAAAGCTATTTCAGACGAGATGCGACGAAATATTTCGTAGATACTTCACATGTACACACTTGAATTTAGAAAGTGGCCTCGAATATTTACATATAGATTTTGCATGGCAAACAGCAATGGTCACAAAACTAATACAGGAGCGAATCTATTTATTGTGAAAATAGATTCAGGAATTGACGAACTAATCGCGTAATATAATGATTAAAAATCTGTCAAAATAACAGTCGCTCAATAACTTTTTTTATTATATAAAGCTCCATGACCTCGATCACTTGACAGAACGTGAAGATGAGATCGATGATAGAAGCTCCGTAACTGTGAACAGCCTCTTCACTCATGTCCACAAAGGGTATCACAATTATATTCTTACCAAGGTCAATATTGAGCACCAGCCTGTTATCCCTGAGCTGGAGCGCGACGTAATCGCCCTGGGTGCCGCGCGAGTACAGCAGCGCGCCTGATGCTGTACTGGTCTTGAAGCGGAAGCGGATAGCCTCGCGCGACGCCGATATCGGGTCGCGGAGCAGGTCCACCTTCACCAGGGATGTACCATTGAAGTACATGGTATCCGCAACTGGTATTAAACGAAAGAAAGAAAAATAAAGTAGAGTAAAATGGATTGTAAATTTTTTTTATACAACTTAGAATGACAGACAAGCTGACGGCCCACCTGATGGAAAGTGGTAACCGTGGCCTATAGACATGACCTCCCACAACACTCTACGATCAGACAGTGTTTCATTTAATTCTAGTGAAAATAAATGGAGCTTTGAACTTTTTACAAGCTGTTATTTTGACTTATTTACGAAGTTCAAAAATGATCAATCAGTGCATTTCCAAACAAAAGCTGGTTACCGAATGAAACTCAAATTTGATATTCAGTGACAATATTGTGATACAATAAAGTTGATCTGATGATCAAATCTAAAACAATACAACCCCATCAATTTGGATTTACTTGAACAGTCTCAATAACAACTAATCATATCAAACTCATGGTGACTAACTATTGATCAAAGTCTAATTTTCAAAACTGAAAATCATCAAAGAAGTATTAAGAATAGTGTTTTTAAATAGAACTGTAATGTAGAGACAGAGGATACTAGAGGGAGACTTTGTACAGAAGTCGTTTGCTTAGGCACCTCTGTCCAATTCGTGTTTCTATCGTGAAACAGTTGTGTTTGCATGGCTGTATTTTGGTTTGAAGGGTGGGATATGGCAGTGAATTTACTGGGTACAGAGGAATAACACCTGAGTCCTCGGGAATGGCAACGCATGGGGGGTATCATGGGCGAAACAGTATACTCTGTTATGTCCATGGTACTGCTCATGCCTATAGGTGATGGTTACCACTTTCCATCAGGTGGGCCGTCAGCTTGTTTGCCATTCTAAGTTGCATATAAAATTAGACAACCAACATACCATAATCACAACCATAGAGTTCGATCCTCATGGAGATCTTGTCGCGCCACCTCATTGGGTTGACACGTATGAACTGAGCTATAATAGGCACTTCGAATTCATTTCTATGCACCGTATTGCCGTCTTGGTTCCCCTCGAACATCTGGAATTGAACGCATGTTACAGAAGTAATCACAAAATACAAGAGTTCGTTAGTCTTATACATTTATATATAACATTTAAAATATAATCTTAATCCCTTATAGTTACTTATAATTGCCTGTAGTGATTTAGATATTATTAATCTTCTAAATGTGAAAGTGAGCCTGTTTGTTTGTTATTTTATAGCGCCTTAACGGCTAAACCAATCACTATGCAATTTGATATACACGTACTATATGGGATCACTGTAGTTGGTATAAGGTGTTAACGTTAGTATCATGTTACAAACTTATTAACCACTTATAAGATTAATAACAAAAAAATTGTGCTTTATGGAAATCATAATAAAACAATTATATTGACCACGTGGATAGTAACTCAAAAAGCGAAATCGTTTTATATTTTACTTTTTTCCTGCATATGCATTCTTTTATCTCTTTTTACTGTGTATGCTGTTATTATTTGTGTGCTGTAAGTTAATTCAAATAAATTATATATCTTTTTTTATCAACTTCAAAAAGGATATTCTCTATTCAGTAGTATTTTGTTTTTTTTTTTTTCTTGTTACCTCTAAATCTATCATTTATAAACCGATTTAGACTAAACTTTTTTTATCTAAAAAGGTATAATTAAAGTCGCATAGAAATTTTATCAAAATACATTAAATACTTTAATTATTAAATCAAAATTTAAGGCTTTGCCATAATTAAAGTCGTTTTTTTGTGAAACACAAACTTTAATTATTTATTCATCATCAAACATGTCGGCCGTTATTCGTCCACTGCTGGACACAGGCCTCCACCAGATTGCCATAAGAAACGCTTCTGAGCCATCTGCATCCACTGACTCCCTGCAATGCATTTTTTTATGAGTGATAATAGAATGGTAACCCCACCCGCGCTATCGGTATACACCATCGGAGCACCAGTGAGGGATGATAGGTGAGGATAAAGCAGTTTTCAGAGAGCCCAGCGTGACGTTCTATTCAACAAGAATTGTTCACGAGGTTTCCAGTGCTTTAAGGCACCACGTGGAGGTCGACAATAATAGGGCATATTGCTAGCAATGAGGCTGTCAAATTCCATTGCTAACAATGCCTTCCCCCGCCTGCAATGCATTTGAGGTCGTCATTCTAGAAGGATAAGCAAGTTGAAGTGGCAATGGGCTGGTCACATAGCTCGAAGAACCGACAAGCGATGGGGAAGAAAAGTTGAGTGGAGACCCCGTACGGGCAAATGCGATGTAGAACGACCCCCCATTATTTATTCATAAATGGAATGAATTGTTTTAAAAACTTATATATACTACTCTACTCTTATATATGATATACTTAGGTTGTATTTGATAAGTTGCATAATAACTTATTTAACTATGCTATACAAGCGATACGCAGTAAGCACGAATTTTATATTCCACCCTTGTGTTATCAGGTAGCCATGGCCACACCCGCGTGTGGCACGAAATATTACCTGTCATAACACGAACATAACGGCAATGTACAACATCTGGCATATTCACACGGTATCCCACTGCGGGAGATAATTTAGTTCAGTAATAACGCAACAAAGTTATTCATTACTAGCCGATGCCCGCGACTTTGTCCGCGTGGTATTTGTCATTCCTATTTATTTATTTATAAAAGACACACCAACAATGTGCTCACAACAATTAAGCAAACAATGTACAATGTCATAAGTAAGTAAAAAGTGAAAAATTACTATTCAAAAATGCTTAAATCTAAGTTTACTTGAACAAAAACATCTCAAACCAAAAACTACCAATTGAATTAAGGCCATATGAACACATGAAAAAATAATAGGTTTATTACAGCTTAACAGATATAGCGTCAATGTATACTAAGAAACAATTATACAATTAGAGAAGACCTAACTACCAATCCATATTATTAATAAGCCTAGTAAACTGCACTAAAGAATTACCAAAGATGTCGATATCATGGTCAATGTTTACGACCTTATTATAGGATGACAACATTCTGTTGTTGATACATTAGTATGTATCAATGTGTGTACCTACCTATTTATTATGTCTGGGAATACTGGATCCAAATTAACAAATGACGTGTCGTTCTCACTCTTTGCATTAGGTCAAAATTACTTAATTTAAGTAGGTTATTAAGCTGTATAAGTTACTATAGTTTTTTAACTATCCTACGGGAACTCTTGATTAAAAGTATATAACATGATGACCAGAAATGTAAACTACCATGCAAAATTTCATTTAAATCGGTTCAACAGTTTCGGAAATTAGCCCGTACAAACAGACAAACAGATAGAAAAACAAAAAAAAAATTGAAAAAACTCTGGATATATTTATTTATTTCACTTCTAACATCCCTCTGAATGGGTTATTAGCGTTTTTTTTTTTTTCTATGTACAGACATTCGACCTCTATAGTTGTGTAGGCTACCAACCTCATTCAAACCTACATAGTTGTAGAAAAGTAAATAATGACGTTCTTGACAATCTCCTTGTCTTAGCAATTTTACCGAACAATATTTTGTATCGCGACTTATTATATCTGGATTTATTTACTGTAAATATTATTCATTATACAATCAAATAGACAGAGAAACAAAAAAAAATTGAAAAAATCTGGATTTCTATTTCTCTAACATCCTTCTGAATCTATATATATTTTTATCAACAACCGACATTGGACCTCTACAGTTTTATTATATGTAGACTAGCAACCCACACTGGCGTCACAATGCAGCTTACTATAGGTGCAAGGATTTAAAAAATGCATTAACACATTGACTGCTAATATCGATAGATGGCTTCTGGGAGAAAAGAACAAATCAATGCTAACTTGCATAAATAGAAAATTTATTAAAATACGAACCAAAAATATAACTATAAAAAAAAATTCAAGAAATATAATATAATTTTAATGTTTTTTTTTTTTTTATATATACTTTCTGATTATAACTATGTACTAGAATTACAGTTTTCAATAATATAATGTGATTAAATCAAATTGTCATTTTAGGCCATTTAATTCTGATAATTTCCATGACAATCAACGTGTTAAAAAGTCCTCGAGTTTATCTCCTACATATGTATATCAATCATTGAATCAATCATCTTTATTCATGTACACCAAATATTTCCTTTTTGTAACATTAATTTAAATTTATAAATATATTTAATATGGAAAAAACGTAAGACAATTCCTGTCTTTTGAAATAAAAACTAGAAAAATAATATATCAATATTAAAAAAAAAAAAAGCATTAAAATATATTTAGAAACAACGGAGACGTAGCGTAAAATACACATAGAAAAATATACGCGAAGAACTTCGCTTTTTTTCCTACTAAAGTATGAAAACTAATTTTATATAATTAATACATTTTAAACTATATTATAATCATTTTAAAAATATAGACTGAAAAAGGTACGCAACCTTCGGTGTGCGCGTCCAACTTACCATTGACCAGTTTTAATTAGTATTGGAGTGAAAGAGATAGCGATATGTTACCAACACACATGTTAATTAGCTAGCGAAAAAATTAAACCACTTTCAATTAGTACAGCTTAATATCAAATATACTAACTACAATTCACTACTGAAATTATTTACACAGGATTTCATAATAATACAATACCTTTACCAGACTTTGTACAAAAGTCGTTTGCTTGAACACCTCTGTCCCATACGTGTTTCAACCGTGAAGCAGTTGTGTTTGCATGGCTGTGTTTCGGTTTGAAGGGTGGGATATGGCGTGAATTTACTGGGTACGGAAGAATAACACCTGAGTTCTCAGGAATGGCAACGCATGGAGGGTATCATGGGCGAAACAGTATACTCTGTTATGACCATGGTAGTGCTCATGTTTATAGGCGACGGTTACCATTTTCCACCAGGTGGGCCGTCAGCTTGTTTGCCATTCTAAGTTGTATAAAAAAAAACAATTCTACAGTAGATACGTTTCTGCTTTATCATAGGGGGCTGGTATAAGTTGGATAATTGTTACTCAAATCCGGTCGGATACCGAATACTAACTCAATACTTGGCCGGATAAATTTGATCATCTTTGCTGCACTAATACGGGAGCTAAACCGATGAGTTTAGTTTTAAATAACGCCTTACAGTTTATCGAATATCCGGTATCTAATACCCGGCCAAAGGGCTATCCATTTCATCCATACCCTAAATCCTACTATATCAATCTTGTCATAATTACCTGCGCATATCCACCCGACGACGTCATGACCCTCCAACTCTCCCCATCATCAGAGTACTGCAACATGTACTCTGTGACGTACTCGTCTGTCGCATACCGCCCTCTAGTGGCTACACTGCGCAGCTCCTTGCGCTTGCCGAGGTTTATCGTCAGGTGCTGGTAGTAAGAGCTTTCCAACGAAGTCCATGCTGATGTTCCTTCACCATTATAAGTTAGTCAGTGCTGTACATGTTAAGCTCAATACTAAGTATACAACTTTTCCATGCATTTGACAAATCGTAATAATGTTTTGTACATTAATGTCATGGCTGCCACAATATCCACAATGTAGCAATTAATTTGCTACAGCACGTGTCGAATGGCGGCCACGTTGGCAACAATATGTATGTTTTTTTCTTTTACGATTAGTAGTAATATAATTTTGTTGTTGGCAATACTTGTATTCATACGTTGTACAATTTATGACACTGCAGTTATATACTCAGTATTTATATATATATATGTACATATACACATATACTATTTGACAATGCAATGAAAACTATATGGAGCATTTGTACCGATTTATTAGCCCCTCACGCATATTGTCAGTATTAAATTTTTACATTTATTTTATATATTTTTATATATCTATATAATTAGCAGTATTTTAAATAATTTATATATTTATGGAAAAATTGTATACATTTTTAAAAACCACAGCTGGTTCACAAGATAAACTCATCTAAGATTAATAGGTTTGAATTTATCACAATTGTTTCACAGAAAATGTTTATTTTTCTACAAAGATTTAAATGACCTGCTGTAATTTATAGAGATTTGAATTCTACATGTGAATTAGTTGAACAGTTTATTTACATTACCATAACAACATTTACTATTATATTTAAACTGTTTTAAATTTAAACCATAACCACGTCACAGAATGTTATGATAACAAAACAGAGTAGAAGAATAACAACTGGTTAAGTAACGTTCAGAATTTTATAAACCAAGTAAATAAAGTAGAAACAAATACAAAGCAAGCTTACACTATAAATACAAAAGAAAACATGCGAAGCGAAACATGCCAACAGAGCCGCATACTCTTAGCATTTCACCCCATTTATTGTTAGTATTATATTAGCAAATAAGTTTTTTGATCCAACATTACCTTCACTTCTCCCCCTGCTGCTTTATACTGGGCATAATCGAGGCCATTGGAGCCATAGCTGATATGGTACTCCTCCACAAACTCCTGGGAGTGAGCACGGCCCTGAGTGTCGATCCTCGTCACATTTTTTACTGTGCCCAGGTCTATAATCAGCTGCTGGTCGAAGTCATTCTCTGACGCCGTCCACGCGTTCAAACCTTGTTGAGAGATCACAGTATCGAGGGTGATTTAACCTGACTAGTGTCAGTTAATGTGTTAGTTATAAAAGAAATGTGGATCGATTGTTTTAAATGCTTTAATTTGATACTTATGCTTAACAATAATTAAAATTTTCATATATATACGTCATCATATTGAGTGAATGTAATTTAACTAACAAAATACCCCAAATTCCTAAACTTATCTTAAACAATAATTTTATATTTTCACATGACAATTTTTTTTCAAATACTTTAAAAGCTTTTAAATTGTTTTTTCATGAACTCATCACGAAATACAAAGTCAGGCTGATTCAATGGCTTCGCTTCTTTCACTAGTTCCTCAAATGATAGAAATGAGAAAGGAACTGGCTCTTGTTCTAAATCTTTATTGATGTGTAAAGATACTGCCACAGCATGTTTATCATCAAGTAACGTCTCCTCAAACTTCCAATTGTCCTTCAAAACTCCCTTTTCAAACAATTCTGTATCCCGCACATACTCTCCCACTGTTAAGTTCAATGTCTTCAAACTAAAATTCAGATCCTGTAGTGGTGTACTCAGTCCGAAGCCAGTATTCTTTACATAACTTTCCTTCAGACACCAGATACGATAAAAACAGGCAATTTGCTCTAACTCTGTTTGAAATTTATATATTGTTTCCCATTCTTGACTGGAAAACTGTCGTCTCATAATACGGAAGAACTCTTTTATATCTTTATTAACAGGAGGTTCAATTTTCATGGTGTCAACACCAACTTTTACTTCACTATTGCCAGCTAAAACAACATAGTCACCCTGGTGGGAAATATTAAAACTAATGGGTGATTCACCAGTACCCAAAAGTATTGGTTTTCCATATTTATCTCTACCCAAACAGAGGTTATCATAAGGAATCAAAGTAGACAAATGTGCAAACTTCCTCAGCATCAATCGTCCAATAAGAGATGACTTTGCATCTTCTTGGAAACAAAATCGTGATATTCTTTCCTTCTCCTCAGTTTGTATATAGCTTGAAGCATCTAATACTTGATCTTCCCTGGGTTTCCAAAGTTTGGTATTGAATGCCCATCTAATATTATATTGCCTAGCCATTTTAATACTGGCTGGTCTGGTCCGTAATCCCTGAATCCAAGATAAATATCTACATCCAAGCTTAGATATGGACCAAATATTCAGATTCTTAGAGAATTTGTGAACCTGTAGATTAATTAACCTCTTTTGTAATACTGGCAACATTGTCTTAAACTCTTTAATCCAATTCACATATCCCCATTAGCAAACAAAAAAATAAATGTAGCAAAATTAAAAAATGCAAAACACTCCTCTATGGCACCTACATGCAGCTTAAATCTATACTAATTCGTTTACATATAAAATATTTATTTAAAAAAATCTCTAAAAATTCTATTTTTATACATATCTATATAAAAAATATACATGAATGTATACAAAAAAAAACAACAAAAGAACTGCCAAATAGCAGGCTCAAATAAAATATACATTAATTAAAAAAAAAATGGTGCACACATATAAAAACTGTACAGACACATGGGTAAGCATATACTTACCATATAATTTGGCATTATCCGGTCCTCTGTCCCTCAAACTGGATGTGGCTGTTAATTTAGATGTTGCTACAAGTGGTTCATTGCACTCATAGTCATAGTAGTAACGAGTTGATTCTGAAATGAAATAAATAAAAAAATATTCTCACTACTGACAGATAAATGAATACACACAAAATGCATGTCAGAGTGCCTTCTGCAATATCCATATTACTTATTTTAAATACACTATCCATAGTACTATTCATGTCATAAAAAAGTTCACAGTCACATTCATTGTCACTTCTTCTCTGTTGAAGATGCTTACAGGATTGGGCAGTAGGGTTAATAAATATTAGCATACATAAGCACCCAAAAAATCCCTTGTATGAATAAATTATATTGATTTGTCAATTTCTTACTATAATTCCCAATGGGATATTCACAGACATGTCCACTATGAGCCTACTAACCATATCTCTCTGCTTTGCCTAAGTGAACCAATATATCATCATCTTATCAGCTGTTAACTGGCCACTGCTGAACATAGGTCTACCCCTATAAAGAGGGATTTTGCCCATAGTTGCCACACTTAGCAGGCAGACTGGCAACTACACTCAGGCTTTGGTGAAGTTTTAAGAGGGACACTGCTGCCCATTCCTCAACTACAAGGTTAACAATTGACAAATATCTCTAATTCATTATAAGGCATTCATTATAAAGATACACCAATTTTTATTCATAATGGTAAATATTTATGATAGTTTGGCACTATGTATGTACCTGCCCACTGCCACAGGAGATATAAGCGATATAAATATATAAATACGGTCAGTGAATACCCTTATATCACATAATTCTTACTAATAATACAAGTATAAAAGTGAGTTTGGAACATGACACACAGTTTACATAGTACATTTCGGCTAAAGGAACATACGATTATTTTATATTATATTAATTAGTTTTATGTTATACCCATATTCACGTTTCTTAAAATTAAATGTCTAAAATTAAAGGAGGAGTAAATTCAATTAAACAAAATTATAAAAGAAATAGCTGTTTAAAACCGACCTGGATATTTCTAAATAAGTAAACTATTTAAAAATATATTACCTACTAAAATATAATTTTATCTAACAATCTAATTAATTAAATAATAAATAAAATTATTGTTTTCGAGAAGTCGTTGAACTAACCTGCATTCGTATTTAAAATGTAGCTGCAAAGTAACACAAACAAATAATACGCAAGATTACTCATCATAATTTCATAATTATATTAAAGTTGAAACAGTGATTAACAATTACTATTTTTTTAGTCACTAAAACGTAGATATAAAAAAAATGTTTGATCATTACATTAGTCGAACGTTGTCATTTTTATTCATTCACAATCAAAACCGCCGGACGGGAAACACCCAAGTAAGTTTTCTATTTACAAGTGTTACTAATGCGGCATTCTTTCTATTGGCTAGTAACAACAAAGTATTTCAAGTTACCAATCAAAATTAAATATATAGAAGCAAAAAACAGATGAAAACATGTTGCAGAAACTCTAACAGAAATTCCGTTCAAAAATCAAAACTTTATCTTAATTTAAATAAAAGTTATAAGAAAAATCTTTTTAATTTAGTATAAATTGACTATTGTATATTTTAAAACATATTTTTAAATTAATTACACCTAACGTATAAAATTAATTTTTTGTTACTGAGTAAATATATGTATTATTATTAAATAATTTGAAATATGATTCGTAGTTTCAAATGCACTAGAATTGGTCAAATGTTTCTATTATTAAAAATTAAAGTAATATGTTGAAAAACAAATAAGCCCATATTTTAATAACTTCTTAGTTAATCCAAATATGAACGTATATTTTATTTTATATACACTACGATTTTTTTAATGTCACTTTGTATTTTGATTATGTATTATTTACATAGAAGAAACAAACAAAATTGAAGTGATGTTGGGAATTTGGGAATGTTATATTTTGTATAAGGAAACCCAGTAGTAAAATTTTTCTTAAGTGATTTTGTTGACCCAGTGCGATTTATTTTTCTTCGCGTGAAATTAATGATTCATAACTGTTATTAACAATTATTTAATGAAAATCTGTATTGTTTAGTGAATAGAAAATATATATTTAAGCACTTTTTTTATAAATAGACAATAAATTCATTCCCTAATGTTCAATCCCGTTATCCATATTTTGCCGTTGCCACGTTCTTTCACCAATAAATTTATATAAAAAAATGAATAATATCTTTTAGTATCCATCATAAAAAATAACAAAGGTAATTGTGATTATGTTATAATCTTATAAATCGTTTTGTGTAATGAATCATAATAGATTCAGAAATGACATCAGTAACTTCTGATTGGAATCCATTTTCGAATCTCCATTTAGAGGCACGATCAATTTAATATCTTATAATAACAAAATGCGAAGGTACACAGTTTTAACATAATTACATAAAATGACTGTTAAATATTTATTACCGGTGTTTGTCTTGGAAGTTGCTTAACATTTTAATATTCTGGTTATTGAATTATGGTAAAAAGTTTATTAAAGAAATTACCATTTTAATTCTTAGTTTCTCAACAGCTTATGGAACCTTTATTTTCACTTTTTTAAACATTCACCTTCATATGATCACCTATTGATCATTGATTTTCTAAATTTCAATATAAAATTAATTTAGTATTCAGTAATTATTCTTAAATAATAATATTTATATTGGTCTTCAAGGTACCCTTAGGGGTGGATTTTCTTCTGTCTTCAATTTTATTATTGTTTAAAGAACCAATGGTTTAATATTTTTATGTATTTTTTATCTCGGAATGCAACAGATTTTGTGAAACCCCCTAAGAGTACCTACTGACCCAATATAGTTAAGATAAACATTTAGTCTGATTGTAATAAATTTTCGTTTTTATTTAGCACTAAAATAATAATAGAACAATAAAGTAATAGGGTAATAGTAAATAATAAACATAAATCTACCATTAATAGTTTTTCTGTTATAGATATTGAATATTGCTTTTTAAATATCCAAATGCTCCCAAATTCTAAAGTCTCAATAAGAGATGACTATTGACCTTATAGTGTTATATTTAGTACTACACAATTATAATTCAGAAATATAAAAGAATTTAACTTAAGAAATATAAAGACACCTTTATGTACCAAGAACCACTCTTTTATTTTCAAAAATACAGACATGTGTACACTCAATTCTATTTTTGTGATATAATTTCTGTATAATTTTATAGAAGCAACCATGTCAAGTATGTCTGACCGGAAAGCAGAGTTGGAACGTAAGAAAGCTAAACTACAAGCTCTTCGTGAAGAGAAAGACCGTCGCCGCAGGGAGAAAGAACAAAAAGATGCTGAAGAGGCATTGGTAAAATTAAATAATTTTTGTTAACATTATAATCATTGTTTTCATGACCTTATAATAAGTATCCTGTTTAGAATTCCGTAAAATAGGAACCTACATAATTTCACCATATCCAACTATTCGATTATATGCCAAACTCAATATATATAATATAAAAAAACTAAGGCTATTTTCCATATTTGATTGAAAAGTTACTTAGTTAAAAATTTTTTAAAATGTAACCTATGTACCATTGACACTGAAATTAGTATGAATAATTTGTCTTAATTATTTGAATAATGGCTGATATGATGATGATAATGATTTGAAAAATAAACTATTTATTTTTATCAATTAAAAATGGGTGTATAATAATATGTTTTACATGATATAGACCAATCACCTGGTTCTCAAGGTAGGATACCATAACAAAAAATATTTGCAATTTATTTAGTAAACTTTAATACTAGGTGTATAAAAGTGAAAATGGCAGTCTTAACACCATATGGTGTTAACTACCAATCAACCATAGACAAGAATAACAGAAAATATAATATACAGTGCAATGTAATAAACAATATTAAATTAAAACAATAGTTCAAAAACACAATATTTACTTATAACACTATATATATATATGAGATATTTAAAATATTATGTACATATATATTTTAAATATATAACTTATTTGCCAGTTATTCCTTTAATCAATCAAATATATCACGATTTAAAAAGTATAAATCAATCCCAGCAACGTGCCACCACGGCGTCCAGTCTGGACAGCCGCCGGGACCTGGATGAGATGCTGTCATCGCTGGGCGTGGCGCCCGTCAAGGATGTGCTCTCGTCCCTGTCCTCTATGACATCACTGACCCCTCCACAGACCGCCTCACCTGATGTCAGTCTGCCACATACTGACAAATCCAGCCTACCAGTACATGGGTAAGTGTGAAGGCTCTGGCTTCACGCCTTCTTTTTTAATAAAATTCAACATGTACGAGTATTTCATGTCTTTAATGTAGTTTTCTATAGGTCAATGTATTTTTAAAATCTGATATTTTCTTTAAATTTAATTAATTGGAAACAATAATTAAATCAGTCCTTTTATGATATTGATTTGATATTTTTATCTATACTATAGAGAAACAAAAAATAATAATATTAGTATAAATCATATTCACTATAAAAAAAATACCACAGAGGAAGAGTTTAACTTTTATTAAAAAAATTAACTAGATTAGACAAATCTTAGAAACTTAGTATTAAATATTTATATGTAATCAATTTTGAAAAGAGCTTTATATTCAATTGTATTACATCCTATTGTGTGTATCTAGTGTGGTAGATACTATAATTTTAAACTGACGATGATGATTTTTTTTTAATTGAACAGTGGACCGAAGAAGCCTCTTGCATTACAAGTGGTATCGGTCCAGTCTACTGACATCCCTCCTAAAGAAAACGTCACATACGCCAAGCAAACACAAACAACCACATCGGGCGTCACCGAATTGCGAGATGGTGAGTTGTCGCGTATGGTTTATTAATCTTATCAATATATGGGAATATGTACATTTAAGGGATTTCTTTCATTTATTAGGAATATAATATCATTAAAATTTTTAAAGAGAGATTAATAAATTCTTTATAAATTGTACCATAAAAGTAAATGTTAACTAACTGGTGAAAGGCAGCCATAATTAAAAAAGAAATAAAACATACAATGCATGGTGTTTTTTGTGTAATTCAAATGTCCATAGATTTGCATTTTTCAGTGAATATACAACATTAAAATATGTTTAAATCAGAGTGTATAGTCAATTTAAATGTATAATATATTAATACTAAAAACTAAGAGCCATTTATACTGGGTGCAAATTTAATATGTTTGTATTGTTATTCATAATTGAAATATCTAGAAATAAAATTTATTTAATGTATAGTCGTGCAGTTTAAATGGCATCTTGTATTCATGCAAATTCTCAAAATCATTCTGCTTTTAGTTTTAAACATTGTAATATTCCTTAGAGCTTCTCATTAGTATACATATTAAATAAAATGCCTCAAAATGTTATTATCTAATTATTTTCCAGCCTTTTCTAATTTAGATAATCACATTTTTGTTTTCTTTCTTCTTTTATAATTTTGAGAATTTGCTCTATTATCACAACATTCTAATATTTTATTGATTGTTTAACTGTGATGTCTGGGTGTGGGTTTTAACAACATCATTTGCAAATATATACTGTGTAACAATGCACACTAGATTAACTAACCAAAGTAAACGACTAACTATTCTAATTGCAATAAAAATATCCTTAAATTAATGTGATTAATATCCGGCAAAATTAAAACATGTAAATATGTATTTTTGTCAGGAGTTACAATCGGGTATCGATACAAAAATGTGCCGTGACCAAGACATAAACAATAAAGATTATGATAATACCTTCGATTTACATGTACAGTAGTACATCCTAAAACAATACTGAGGTGTGTCTATTTATGTATGTGTTGTTACAATATTTTTTATAAGTAAAAAAAAAATCTGTTAAAATCCTCTCTGTATATGAAATTTTGTAGATTAAAAATGTTATGGTCATGAGATAGATCTAATAGATTGTGGAATTTTATGTTACCTAATAAATATATTTGCAAATGATTGTGATTTCGAACCAGTGACATCTTTAGTCATTATAACAGTATTTACTTTTCATAAAATTTTTGTTTAATGTTATCAGTTTCCCAAATTTTCACTTGGTATTTAAAATTTTACAATAAATTAATTAATTAGATTTTTTTCCATTTAAAATAAATAAGTACAGGATTAGTTGTTCAGAATATATCTGAACTCTAATCTCTCTTCTAAAATCTAATGTAAATAACATTAAAAAAAGGGAATCACTTTGTAAAACATAATCAAGATATGAAAATGATTTGTTATACTTTTTAAACTACACGGTTCCATGATTGATTTTATACGAAATATTTCTACTAAACATATATGTATATATACATATTGTCCAGTTTCATAAATTCATGTTATGTTCGATTTTGGTTTAGCATATGTTCAGAGTAAAATGCTTTTTTTATATTTGGGAAATAGATAACAAATCCATGCAAAATTTTGTTTCACCATGGCTTGCCCTGTGCTGTTTTTCTCGTCTTGTCTGTCCGTCCATACTGATATTGGTATCTATACAATTGTAACCAGTATATCTATATATTTTTTTAGAATAAAAGACAATCGATACTTGTTATTTATACTTGTAAAAAATACTCTTCCCACTTGAAAACAAATTTTCATTGTGTTATAAGTATGAAGTTAAAAATAAATTAACAACATGTCACACGTGATCGAAATTTACAGGGATAAGCTTACAAATTAATTTAAAAATGTTACATTTCTTGCATTCTCATAAAAAATCTTGAAATCAGATGATATATCTAATCTATTTAGAATACCATGTTTATAAAGTGCTTAATAACCACTGCTTCACACAAAGGTCTTTTAAATATTATATTTATTACTTAATAGTTTGGGACCAAATATAATTTTAGAAATATTGATATGCCATGGGTACAAGCTAGGATGTTGATGATACAAAAGTAAATACTGTTTGAGTCTTTGGTGCAATGTTTGTGTTTGTGCTACCATAAAAAAAGGCTGCTCTTCCAATGCATCACCGCTTGCAGGATACATGGAGGACTGGTGGCGGCCGCGCAAAGGTAATCTCAACCTTATTAACATTGCAATAAAGTACTGTGCTAGTAAAGCAAATAACAGTACTTCTATGCTTGGATTGGACAACATGAAGAATATTGTCTTAGTCATTACATAATATATTTCAATTATTTAATTAATTATTAAATCCAATAAAAGACCATATTTTTCATAATGTATGGTCACTCTAGCCATTAAGTTTTAGTACTTTAATAATATCTCATTTATATTTTAAAATTAAAATACTATATTATGTTCTAAGAGTATTAGTTGTATTTTGAGTATTTGTATATTTTACGCTAAAGTTTATCATCATTTTGTTGAATTAAAAGGATTGGCCATACATTTCGGAGAGTTGCAATAATTGGATACTTCTAGTGGCCTGTTAATTTATAATCTCAGTATTGAAACATTAAACTGGCATAGCTATAAAATGCTATTAGCTATATTTATATTATAGTACGTTTTTTTTTTTTTTTTTGTAATAAATAAAGTTAGTGTGACTACTTTGTAAATTATAGATAGATAAATAGATAAATTACTTGCATTACTTACAGCACACAAATAACAACAGACATAGTTAGACATGCACAGTGAAAAAAGATAAAAGAATACATATACAAAAAGATAAAAAAAAATAATGCATTAAAAAAGTAACAATTTTCCCCTTTATGCGTGTGCCACAGTAACAAAATGGTCAGAACTCAACTTATTGATTTGCCCTCAAAAGAGCAAAACACTGATATTCTATTGTGGCTAAAAGCCAACCGCGAATTTTCTTAGAAAAAAATAAAAAAAAAAGAAATATAGATAAAATACCTTGTGTGTGTTCATTACATTCACTATTATTTAATATTGTATTTTTATAAAATAAATAAATTTTTAAAAGTACTGTAGAAACTTAGAACACATTCAATTTATTTCCAATTATTGCAATAATTCCACAAAAATATTGCACGTATATATTTTTTTTTTTTTATAAATTTAACAAATTGTATCGAATTAAAATTAAAAATCAATTTTGACAGTGCACGTTCCATTAATCAACACTCAAGAAAATATGCATGGGATGAAAATAATCTATTAACAAATCTAAATCATTGTCAATAACATTACGTTAATATATATATAAAGTCATAAATTTATGTAAATATATAAAAAAAAAATTATCTTTTATTCTGGGGTCCGTTTTTGCACTTTATTGGTACCAAATCTGATACACGAATTAACTACAGTCCTTCTTTTTTTCCAACTTTCACGAGCTATCGTAGAAGTCATTTCTACAAGTTTTTATTTTATCGTTTCTAATTACATAATGACTTATAATTAAGTGGAACGGGTATAAGTATGTCCTTTTTTTTACAATACTCATTTGGCGACGATTTTTAAGTACAAATGGCGACTTCAACTCTAATCTTGGTGATATAACTTGAACAATTGGCTCAGTGTGAGCAACAAGTACATACAAAATAATTCTATTAACATGTCCATCTATGATCATTAGTAGTTCCAAATTTTAATTTTACCTCTATTTGTGATAACCAAAATATCATATTAGTACCAAATGTAGCTAAGATCTTCAAAATCCTTCAAAATGGCTGTAAAGACAACTTAAAGTGTTTAATATAATAACTACTGGTTTAACTTAATGTAATTAGATCGAGAAAACTCGACTTGTTTCGGGCTCAATTCGAGAACGTTAATCATGAGTTCATCAATAAATCATTATCTGTGACGGAGCCACAAGCGCCTTTAGCTCGTGCTCAGCCTGTCTAGGCGCGGAGTTACACTCGCACTCGTGTCACAGCCGCTCATGATTAAGGGTCTCGAATTGAACTCGAAACAAGTCAAGTTTTTTCAATCTAATTACACGTAAGTTAAACTGTTAATTATTACATTTAATATATTTTAATGTAATAGTTAATGTGTGTACTTACGAAACTTAAGAATAAAACTGAAAGATTACCTACGAGTACCACGATTTTATTCTTATATATTAAAATTCTCAATAACCCGTGAAAGTTGGTTAAATTGGTAGTATTAATTCGAAAAATGAAATTTGTGATAAAATTTAAAAAAAAATGATGTATCAGATTTTTGGTATCATACTAGAAGCGATTCAATGTACAAATTATATTAAGCCGTTTCACAAAATATTAACTGACAGTTTGTTTTTATTTTTTGTCCCTTTTTAGCACACGCAACAGACTACTACGGTAAGTCATTATTCCTCCCGACGCTTGTGTCGTTTTCTATAACATTGCCTTCGTTATGTCGACGAATAACTTGGTGTCGGATTTTATTTTATCTATGTCCAATCTCATACGATAGACCTGTAAATATATATAGATTAAACCCTATCTATCACGCTTCTAGATTACTAACTCGGTCTGGAGACACTGTCAGATTACTTGATAAAAATATAATGCAAGCCTATGCAAAGTAACTATGCCAATCTCATTATCCATAATTCGTTGTTTATCAAGAAATCTGGAATATATTTGCTGGGGATGGAGTGACATTACATCGTTTGATGTTGTACCCTGTTATATTTAAAACTGTGGCCTTCCAGAGTTCTCCACGTGGTACTGATACGTTTTATACACGGCCGCAAGATGTCGTTGTAATGATAGAACTGTTTGAATATAAAAAAAAAAAAAATATAGAAGTATAATTATGTGTATATTCAATATGGTGGTTGTATGGGGTCGCTATATCATCTCACGCTGACTTACCCTTCCGATTCTACTAACAAACACTGCACAGGTCTTAACACATGGTCACGGGTCACTTTAAATTGTTCAGACTTGATCGTGTTCACTTGTAAGTAAATAACATATGTCGAGCTTAATATTACATGGCTTTATCATATTTCACAAACAGACTTGAAAATATAAGATTTTGTAATGTCAAGTCTGGTAGTTTAAATGACCGTACCAAGATAGGTCATGCTGTAAATTTAAAAAGCACTATTGATATGCTGAACTATGTATAGACTTGAATATATTTTTAATATATATATATATATATGGTCGAAAGATACTGACATTGTTTTTTGTTTTTCCTCCCTTTTTCAAGATGAGTACAATCTAAACCCGGGTTTAGAGTGGGAGGACGAGTTCACAGGTAGGTTTCAATTCCGAAACATATGGACAATCATTGGACTAAACCGCCCTTGGTAGCCTGTGCCACTGTCACTCAGCATGTGTTGTTTTGTAACTGACCTCTTCATATATATATGTAACGCTAGTTTATTAAAGCTAACCATTACATTTAACTCGAGCACATCCGACTGTAGTGGACTATACAGGGTTCTATATATATATACAAATTATATGTACATTTATTTTTCTACTTTAGATAACAATTGAATAGTTTAAATTTTTGTACCCACCTGTATATGTCTCTAGTTCCCTAGCAAACAAGTACAATTTTATTAAATATTTTATTTACAAAATTGCCTTGTCAGCTAGTAAGAGTAGCCTACCCATGAGTTGTCAAGACAACTCGTTTATGCATGTGACAGAAATATGTGTATGCATGACTACATGTCATCATTTATACGTAGTTAATCGTAATAATTATATTTTATTAGTATATTTATATTATATAGTGAGAAATTATCTCTCTAGTGGAGAGCTCGGGAAGTTTTGATTTTGCCTATATTTTTTTTTTTTAATTATTATTATTAAAGCTTTCTGTCACCTAAAATTTAATGCTTCATAACGAGATCTAATGTTGCCTATTATATATTTCGTGTGAATTATTTGCACGTAACATGGTAATATTTGTAGACATCAAATGTACTGGAATCTACTACAATGATACAAAACAGTTAGATGAGCCCAGATTTCTTATGTTGCTTTTGTGTATAATAGAGTATGATTATAAATGTACCAGTTTATTGTAATTTCACAAAAAAATTGTTATACTGATTTATAACAATTACGAATATTTTATATCTAAAGTGATTACGACAAACTGGAATTATTAAATGAGAACATGGTTACAGTAATTTGCTTTTTTACCCAATGCTGCTTTATATAGAAGGTAAACCCGAAACGTGGTATGAAACGACGAATGTAGGTGTAATGTGCATGTTTTATATACGTGTGTGTTTAAATCCTTAATGTATATTCTGATTGAATGTTTATACATTAATCCTCTTATTCATAAAAGCTAGAAATCTCCTACGAAACTATTATTTTAACTATTAAAGTGTATTGTCACTTACTTTCAAATTGAGAAGTTGGCGCAATAGAAAAAGACAATTTACTTCAATAGTTAAAAATTGATTAGAAACGTTTGACGTTTTTTTCTTAAATAAGAGGGTAGTTTGACAAATCACAATTTGTTAGAAATATTTGTAAGGAGACCATAACACGTGTGTTTTTTTTTTTTTAATATTGCCGCTCAAATTAGCTTTTAATAATGAAAGTAGCAATCGTTTAAAATAAATTGTACGGATTTAGATTCAAAACCATCGCTATACCCTTTCCTTTCCTACCGTTGGATCGTGTTCGACTTGCTACAGGTGGATACACTATGTGCATGAAAGAGTATGTTTACTTAAAAAAAAATCATTACTAAATAACATATATTATAAATAGTATTCAACTAATAATTATATTTTGAAAAATGTCAACTGCCAGGATATAGTTCATCACCCATTCAAGTTTAAATTCCTTATTTTATTTTATAACTATTTAATACATAAAAAGATATTCTTATAATGCCATTGTTAAAAGATTTTAATAAGAACAATTCAATTACTGCTCTATGGTAAATGGTTATAAATTATTATGTGTGCCTCATTAAAATAAATAAATAAATAAATAAAAATTCTACGTAATGTTTTATTAAATACGATATATATATATATATATATATATATATATATATATATATATATATATATATATATATATATATATGAATAATAAGATATTTTAAATAATAAAAAAAGAAAAGTAATAATACATTCTCGTGTTGGTTCAACATGAATGTTCTATTATCCTAGACAGTTTTTTGTTTTAATTGAAATGTCCCACCCGTTCTGTGGTCAGATTTACTTTAATATTAGTTAATGTAAATTATATTTGATTATAAATGCCAAATCCATCTGCATGTTTCTAAACACGTTATTAGATTTAAAGTCCATCAAATTACTGTAATTACACTCTCATACGACAACAAAATATGAATGTTACCGCTTTCCGATTGAAAAACGTACTGAAAGTATATTCTGTCAATACCTTTTTTTTTTATATGACAATTTTTTATGGGATCAAAGATGTATACAAATACCAGTTTTTAGATTTTAATATATAATATAATAAGACAATATTTTTCAGAATTAATGAGGTATACAGATACCAGTTTTTACATTTTAAAATAATAATAAAAGATTAATTTTCTCTTCACAATTCATCGCAGTGAAATACAATGAGACATGCTTGTATTAAAGTAATCAAATTATAATTGTGAGAGACTGGTGGTCACCAAGAAAATATACATTTATTACAGTTAAAATATACAAGGACTGGTAACAAATTTAATTAATCTGTAACAATGCAGTGAACATTGTATTGTATGAATTCATGTAGATTTAGGTGTGCTTTAAAAAAAAAAGTTTGCGACTTCCAACGTGTTTTTTTTGTATGGGGTCGATTCAGAAGTAAAACTTGTTGATAGCATAAATATAATTTGTGTTAATATTATTCGAATAATAGATAAATTTTCTGTTGATATATTTTTGGATGACTAATTGAAATTAAAATACATATTTGAGTGTGATCTCTCGACGTAACGTACATAACTTACCAACCAATACAATGGCTATGAATCAAGACGCCTGTGAATAGAAATAGAAGTATCATACTCATGATTTATATCAGCCCATGAATCCACCAGTAAAGTTCTGTGACATAAAATCATTGGCGTATTCAGGACTATTTTCCAAAAGGAAAAAATGCCTTTTAATGAGACCCAATTATATCCTCTTACACATGGTTTCAAGCGATGCTTAAAGCTCCGCTCATATGAGCGGGATACCCTAGGATATCCTATGGTAAGCATATGACAATTCTAAAGTGGTCACTTGTAGAAGTAGTTCAGTCGCTAAAAGCACGTCCAGTGGCAGTGTCATTTGAGAAAGATTCAGGCTTGGTCTCACGAGCTTTTTTATTCTTTAATTATAGCCTGCACCCATACTCCGCAATTGGGGTAAACAGATGACTCGTTGTGTGTGATGTGGCGGCGTACATCGTATCTTTTTTTTTGATGGGTGAAAATGCAATGGTTACCCCGCCGGCGTTAACGCGATACGCTGGCGGAGCACCAGTGAAAGGTAGTCGATGAGAATGAAAACAGGCCAGTTAGCCCATCATGATGAATTCATCAGCAATTAACCATGATAGTTTCCAGGGGAACCGGGAAGAGGTCGACTTGGTTGGGTATATTGCTAGAAATGGTATTCTCAGTCTCCATTACTAACAATCCCTTTCCCCCCCGTACATCATATCAGCCATTAACTGGCCATTGTTAAATAGAGACCTTCCCCTTTTGGGGTTAATTTTTCCAGTAGTTACCACGTTTGGCAGACGGGTTCGCAACCGCAGTTAGATTTTGACGATATTTTAAAAGGAACGCTGCTGCCCATCTTTCGACCATTAAGTTCTCTTAGTAGGATGGCCCATTATCTGCCGGGACCACATAGCGAAGTACAACAGCCATGTATACTAATAGTAAAAAATGAATAACATTAATTCATATAGTAAAGTTTAACCACGTTACACATTTTTTGACGCTTCTGAACGTAATTTTGTTACCATATAAACAAGACACTTTGGCGTTTCTATATAACCTGCTGCGGCTATCAAATGTAAACGAAAATCAGTTTTAAATTATTTTCCATAATAGGTCTTGACAGATTATATGCTTCAGTACATAGTTTTTCAACAAACCACATCAGTGGGCCTTTGTGCTAACATTTCAAATACTCATTAATTTATTTTACAACTATACATGTAATAGTGTATCTGCAGGTAACATGTAAGCCAACAATGTATGAATGTACTATTTGTAATATTACTGATAAATAACGACGTAAGGAAAGGTATAAATTATAATCTAAAATCGTTTTCTATATTATATCAAATGTTATTGCAATTCGAATCATCTTGATTCAAATAGACCTGTTTACAAGGTCATTAATTCGTAATTTTTTTATCATTCTATTGCTGTATGAAGCTATAGGTTTATTATTGTAATTGAATTATATATTTTTCATTTATTATGGCTGTATACTTAAAAATGAGATAAGGAGGAAAATAAATTGCAAGTAACACATATATAAGTATAAACACACTTGCAAGCTGTCACAATAATCGTCAATAATGTACATTTTGCTGTGATGATGACTCCGGGTGGAGTGAGGTCCCTTTGACCAGATATTAAAAAAAAATCTCATATTACAGTTTTCTATTTATTTACAGTTTATTTTTTGTTTAGTTTGTACAAGGCTTACATGTTACCTAACTGCATTCCATCGTAGAACCTTTACAAGTAGCTCAATAGTGTAGTGCGTACGTACCATTATAATACCATAGCATACACTTCACACAACTGGTTCTATGAAGTTATGTATGGCGGTTTTTTTTTTCTAACTTTAATTATATTTAATGTTACTTCGAAATAATCTCATCTCATACAATAACTTCATAAAATCGTATGTTAAATTGTACGGCTGACTTTTCGATAGCTTTGTGATCTAAAACGTCACTCGCGGAAAATGAATAAAAACAAAAATATTTTATATTCAAATATTGTTAGATTAATATAAACTAATTTGACAGGTTAACAGTCAATTTTATAATTATTTGTGTAAACATCAAATTGCAATACTAAAATAATACTCTCTAATAAGTCTTATAAAGACAATAGATAAATAGGTTCATAAATGATGCCACGAAAAAAGCTAAAAGTATTGTCTCTGGTGTTCAATATCCTCAGATCTGTTTTCACTCGGAATAAACAAAAGCGAGTGCCAAAGGCCCTCTTGTCTTTATTCAGATCCATTGCTTTCACCCATTTCCATAACTCACGCATATTATCTCAGGAACTGGACCATTCGTGGACAGGTGAATTTCGACCTCATCGTCACTACCTATTACCCTTTTCAGACCTGAAAGATACGGGTGTGAGTTGTAACTTTAAAAAAATTCTAAAACCGCGCGCAATTCATTTTAACGCACGAAGCTGAAATAACATGATAGTGATATTCTAAACCAGCCAATAAGAAATCATTTTAGCGGTTAGGTGGTGCAGTAGTCTCGTGCGTGCCGGCAAGATGGCTTGGCTCCACAACACGAAAATATATTTAATCTGAAAAAAAAATCTTGGGTCTGAAATGTTCCCTTTACAGACCGGGATCCCTTTACAGTTAAAAAAAATACTTTGTGACAAGTTAAGGCCTCAGTAGTTTACGTAAACGCAAAGCAATCCTAGTACATAGTAGAGAGGGAAAGTCCGCCGTACACCGCATGGCACACGCGCGTCGCACCCGGCGTCCCCGGCAAGGGCCATTCTTATTCACCGTCCAGTGCTTACATTCGACGGCGACGGCGCTCGGCAAGGCGACGATGAGGAGGCCGCCTTCCACGGGAAGCTCCCGCCTGGCATCCTGCCGCACGGACTGCCCACCGTTAAGGAAGTGCAACCGGCCGTCACCGCCGCGCCACAGGAGAAAAAGGAAGAGGAGAAGGAGAAGAAAGGTATAGTTGATTTTTATATGTGGCTCCTTAAACGGGTAATAAAAGAAGTGCTCTCCTAACGTTCTTATGTACATTACCCTCCCTGAAATAGAAAAATCATTCCTTGATTACTTCAGAAACAACTTTAAAAGACCTCCCCCCCCCCCCTTTCTTCCTCACTCACTCTCTCTCTCTCCCTCTAAACCTATGTATAACATGTAATTTTTCCACAACGTTCCTTTCGTTCCTGTTATTTATTTTTGCGGGGGGTTTCTTTTGATTGTCAAAATAAATTCAATGATGGCCTAAAATTGATTAAAGTACAATGGGACTGGCGTGCTTCAAAATACAAAAGCCTCTAAATAAATAAAGATTAAAAAAAAAACTTTATAAAATGAAGTAAGAAAGAGATGAAAATGAAACAATCATATGCCTAGTATTAGAAACTTCCATTTTATTAAATTCTGCTGCACACAAAGCAATCATCCTTCAAGCTATTGCTGTTTTGAAGGATACAATTAAACATTGAAATCACTGAGTACTGACTATAACCTGAAGCCTTCATGTCACAAAGGTTTTTGTGGAACAAGCAACACCAAGCGAACTATGATTGACACCCTCGTCAAATATAATTTTGACTACTTGTTTAGAATGCTAGCAAAGATAATTTCGGTCAATGTGCATTATAATACGCATGTGATTGTTGGGCGCACAGTGCGCGAGCTGAGCGCGGACGAGAAGCAGACGATCCTGCTGTCGTCGGAGTTCCAGAGGTTCATGAGCCGCGCCGGCCGCGTCATCGAGCGTGCGCTCGCCGAGTCCGTCGACATCTACACCGACTACACCGGCGGCGGCGACAACGAGAACGCGCTGTGAGTCACATGTTAGATTATATAGGTCTTCTAGAATCTGGTACAGTAGTACCTCGACATAAGAGTTTAGTTCGTTCCGTAACCTTGCTCGTGCCTCAAATTGTTCGTATCTCAAAGCAATTTTCCCCCATTAAAATTAATTAAAATGCCATTAATCCGTACTCTTAAAAACCACCTCAGTTGTTTTTGTTAAGTGTTAGTCTGAGATGGGAGAAACTGTTAGACACCAACATCCACCCCGCATGTTGGGGTCGTGTGCAGCGGTGTAGTGTGCGATTCCATGTATCTCAAATCTTGCTCTCATCTCAGAGCAAAATATCGGCTCGGCCGCTCGTATCTCAAAACACTCGTTTATCGAGGTACCACTGTATATCCTTTTTTGGGATGTCCTCTACTTAAATTCCAACCTGCAATGCCTTTGGTGTTGTAGTTGATCGTTGAGAGGTGAGCCGCATAACTCGTATGTCCTCTGTGTTGTAAAAAAAACTTAATTCAACCATTCTATTTAGGGAGCAGAGTTTTACCTATATTTAAAATGTAACATTTATTTTGAAATAAATTATTATTATTCATCAAAGCTATAGCTGTCATAGTGCACAGTATTACTTAATGTGTCAAGAAATAGCAGGCGGCGAGATAAGTAACTGGGGGAAAGGGATTGTTAGTATTGGGGATCTTATAGCCTCATTGCTAGTGGGTAATTGTTGCTCAATTGGTCACTATGGACCAACTGGCGTGCCTCCATCCTCACATCGTAACATCGCCACTGTTGACTGGCGCAGCGACGACAAGTCGGACGGGCGGCTGTCGCTGGTGCGCACGTTCTGGGACGAGCGCTGGTCGCGCGGACGCTGCGTGACGTGCCTGGACTGGTCGGCCGCGCACCCCGAGCTGCTGCTGGCCGCCTACCACAACAGCGACGACGCGCCGCACGACCCCGACGGCGTCTGCCTCGTCTGGAACACCAAGTTCAAGAAGACCACGCCCGAGGACGTCTTCCACTGCCAGTCGCCTGTCATGAGTGCCACCTTTGCCAGGTCATTCCGACATACATAAATTAGTAGATAAAGATCAATTTATTTGCAAACATATGTGTATAGCTGTGTGGTCCCCAGCATAGAATTGGCCACCCCTTCCTTTCCCGTGGGTGTCGTAAGAGTCGACTAAAGAAGGGCGAGGGATGGGCAGCAGAGTCCCTCTGAAAATATCTCTAAAGCCTAACTGCGTTTGCAAACTGCGGTGCCAACTACTGGCAAAACTCCCCTTAAGGGGAAGGCTTATGTTCAGCAGCGGACAGTTGATGTCTGAAATAATAGTAACAAAATGTGTATATAGCAGATACAAAGACATACTGGTTATTCACTGATGAATTTGTATAGATGTAACATGTTTTGCTAACATTAGCGTGCAAAATGTTCTTCCAAGATCAGTGAAAGTTTTAAGTGCCTTACAAAATAAATGATTGATGAATGAGAATTGAGAGCTACGCCTCTAGCGGGTCGTTTCACTCTTTTTTAGTAATTCTCTTGTTAGAAACTTGGGGCCTTGATATTCAAATTGTATTAGAGATATGTACCACAAATAGTAACTTTAGGAAGTTGAAATAAAATTATATAGTTATATTAAATTTAAGAGGCGACAAGAGGACTTAATTGTCGAGAGATGGACAGTAGCTTTCCTCTTAAAATATCACCAAAGCCTAACTGCAGTTGCCAAACCACCTGCCAAGCGTGGCAACTACTGGCAACAAAAGAAGGATGCTTATGTTCAGCAGTGGACAGTTAACGGCTGATAAAAAGAATAAAAAAGTAACGCTTCTATAATAATTTTCAAAGTAGAAAAATGCTTATATAATACATGTATGTATGCAGGTTCCACCCGAACCTGATCCTTGGAGGCACTTACTCCGGTCAGATCGTGCTATGGGATAATCGCATACAGAAGCGAACGCCCGTACAACGTACTCCTCTCTCCTCTTTAGCGCACACGGTAAGTTAATAACGTCATTGAACTAGATTTTATTTGGCTTATAGCAGATCTGATGTATGAATATGAATATTTATGTGTGTGTGCAGCACCCAGTGTACTGCCTGTCGGTGGTGGGCAGCCAGAACGCGCACAACCTGATCTCGGTGTCGACGGACGGGCGGCTGTGCTCGTGGTCGCTTGATATGCTGTCGCAGCCGCAGGACACGCTCGACCTGCAGCATCGACAGTCCAAGGCCGTCGCCGTCACCTCTATGGGCTTCCCGCACGGTGACGTCAACAACTTTGTGCTCGGCAGCGAGGATGGCAACGTTTATACCGGTCAGCATTAATCTTGTGTTCCTCTACCTATCCCCATCCCTCTGAAAGTTATCTCAGATGATATGTATAAAGAAATAGGCAGAGTGAATTGTAGGTCTTCCTGGGAGATTCTCGGCCATTTTTACACTTTTCTTGCTATTATTTAATTGTATAATGTCATTTAAAGTGTGATTTATTTTGTTTTTGATAGGTTTTGAGGTACAAAATCAAAATAAAAAGAAAATTTAAGATTTATATTTTAGGCAATTGAAGTTTGGTTCAGTAAAAGTTGTCCTAGTTTGCTGCTATGTGTATATGGTGTAAGGTGAGGTGTATGTATGTATGTATGTATGTATGTACGTGTGCGCGTGCGCAGGCTGCCTGTACGGGCAGCGCGCGGGCGTGGCGGAGGCGGTGGAGGCGCACGCGGGCGCCGTGACGGGCGTGGCGTGCCACGCGGCCGCCGGCGCCGTCGACCTGGCGCACCTCTACCTCACCAGCTCCGTCGACTGGAGCGTCAAGCTGTGGAGCCTCAAGGAGCCCAAGCCGCTCTACTCGTTCGAGGACAGCGGCGACTACGTCGTCGACGTGCGCTGGTCGCCCGCGCACCCGGCGCTCTTCGCCGCCGCCGACGCCTCGGGCCGCCTCGACCTCTGGAACCTCAACCGCGACACCGAGGTACGGCTATCATCATCATAGCACCCGTTAACTGCCCACTGCTGGACATACACCTCTCCCATAAGAGGGGGTTTAGTTGATAGATACCGCACTTGGCAGGCAGGTTGGCAACCGCAATTACGCTTTTAATGATGTTTTAAGAGGGACACTGTAGGCCATCCTTTGACCACTAAGTTCCCCTAGTTACCTCTTAGAATACCTACAGAAAAAGATAGTAGTAGTAAGCATGTTTCTTTGCATAAATGAAGTCCTGATTTCAATTCCTACAATTTCTTTCTACAAATAAGTTTAGCACACGAACTTACAAATTGTCTCAAGTTCTGGATGGGTTTTTTATCTGATTTTCATAATAAGATATAGTATCTTAACGACCAGATAATTAATATAATCATGTGGAAAAGGATTATTTCATAAATCAATCTGACTGACAATGAAACGTAAAACCCCATTAACATAAAACAACATTTGTACTACTGCAAGTACACAAGTATGATTTGTTTGCCAGGTGCCGGTGGCGTCGGTGCAGGCGGAGGCAGGCGTGGCCTTCAACCGCGTGTCGTGGACGCCCAGCGGCTCGCACGTGTGCGCGGGCGACGACGCCGGCAAGATATGGGTCTACGAGCTCGCCGAGGTACCTACCACACGCATACAGGGGAACAATGATCCCACGATTTGAATGGAGCTTTCACCTATGTGTAAAGACATATCTGAAAGTAGTCATCATCAATATTTTTTTTATAAAGTAAATGTGCTTGTTACTGACAACGAAGTAGAACTTCATTACACATCAACTTTGTCTTCCAAATAGAGTTTTAAAATAACAATAATGTTGTGTTCGCAGCACGTGTGGCAGCCGCGGCACGACGAGTGGAGCAAGCTGGTGTACACGCTGCAGGAGCTGCGCCACAACCAGGCCGACGACGACGACCGCCTCGGCCTCGCGCTGGCGCCCAGCGGCCCGCCCTCGCTCACCAGCCTCACCTCGCTCGCCAGCAACCCGCTCAGGTCGGCACCTAGCCCTCCCCCGGGCACTGCCATAAACACACTCCTGACCCACCTGCATCCACTCATTTCCTTTAAAGTATTTCAGATCGTCACTCCATCTAATGGGGGATGTCATCCTACACTGTGTTTACCCAATTGTGTTGCAATCGATGCCCATTGCATATTGCATCCAATTGCATACAACACCTATATTGATAACACTACATGGTCAATTAATCATTCCCTTCGACGGACACGGTCCACTGTTCCTTTCGTTGCCTACGTGTCCGATCTGTTGATGATGAACTCGAGGGGGCACAGCGTTATTATACGCAATTTAATGTATTGACAATCAAATTCAAATTCAAATTCAAAAATCATTTATTCATGTAGGACATTTTAGCCGCTTATGAACGTCAAATTTTTACATTATAATTTTATGTCCAGTTGGTATATAGATCCAATTGAGAAGAACTGGCAAGAAACTCAATTGAATTACTTTTTTTTATCCGTAACAAACATACTTGTGTAGCACTAGCGTTACATTCTACAGTCTGCATTCATCTTAAAATTCCTATCACTGATAGAAATTAGCAGCGAACTTTAAAAAAAGAGTGTACACAAAAAAATCATGGAAAGGTCGCAGTGTTACTGGTTTTTCTACCTGAATTATAAATTAGCACTTATATGTATGTATTAAATGTGATGTATCTTGTACCCAATAATAATTTTGCATGCTATGCTATGAATATAAGGCGAACATTTGTACTTCACCTAATAGATCAATATCTGTAAAAAACAATGTTCTCGCAAATAAAGAAATCTAATCTAATCTAATGAAAAAAACCCCTCTTAATAATAGTAATACATTCTGTGAGCAGTCTACGTTGAATATTCACATTGCATATATCAATACATAATATATACATATTTGTGTGATTTATTCCATGGATTCTATACTTACGCTTTGTTCTATCTACATTTAAAAAACCATACATAACATTTACGTCGTCCGGGCATGTAAAAAAATGCTTAACGCTATAAAAGATCGCTGTATAGACTATGCCCTATTTACTAACGTAGACACCATATTTATTTACTCACAGTTGTCTATTGTCTATGACCTTCTGCTTAGTTACAATTCATGTTACATATATAGTATATACTAATAACGACTATTGTTAAATTTGGTTTCACAAAGTAAGAGAGCACCGATGCCTATAGCACAGATGTAAAACCTAGTTTAAGTATATAGAGTCCTCACTTTTCAAGACGCCTGGATGACTGCTGTTTAGCGATAAAGCTGCCTACCATTGTCTATTTCTCTTACTTTTGTGTAATTAAGTTTTTATTAATATTATTCATTTTGTTTGTGTACATATTGTTAATCTTTATAACTAGTATCATTTGTAATGGATAAACTCAATAATTTGATTATCTTTAATTGAGGCAGCATTTTATAATGTAACCATATTATCATGTATTTTAAGTAGATATAAATGTATGCTTTGTTGGTTGTCCTTAAATAAATAAATAAATAAACTAATTATTATTATATGTTACAGGTAACTGGCCTGGGACGTGAGATGCGGCTGGCGACTTTAACATCACACACGACCTTACATACTCGTCTTTTTACCCACTACACAAGGGAATAACCTCACTCGGACTAGACGTAAATTAGTAGCTTAAACTAGTCTTTGATAAGCACCAGCGCTCTGCAGCCTCAAAGAGGTCCTGTGTGCTGCGCCACCTTTTCTTTTCATTCATTCATCTTTCCTACAGTACTTAGATACCAATATCATTATTAAATTTAATAAAAAAAATTGACTATGATATTCAACGACAGTTTTTAGGTCTAATTTCTCAAAGATTATAGTAATATAAAATTTTTTGAAAGAATGCAAGTATTACATAGGTAAAAAATAGGGTGGATTCTAAGACCATTTCTTTAAACTTATCTTTTAAAGTTTGATAGCTTCGCAACATTGCTGTTTTATTGACCATCGTAAACTAAATTTCTAATAATTTTGACTGACATCTATTAGAAACTTAGTCCATATTGGTTTGTAGAATAAAAATATCGATGCAATATTAAATTGTATGTTTATTATAGAGATAGGTTTAAAGAAATAGCGTTTAGGAATCAACTCCTTTATCTCTCTTACAAAGAAACACAAATAAATTGATTCGGCTGCTAAATAATATGTGAAAATCTATGGATATGACATAAAATGTCAAATTAGCTTGATTTTTTAGGGAAGGAAATTTGTTGATAATGTATAAAAACAGTTGATGTACAATAATTAAAAAAATAAACTGAGACTGTTGATGCACTGTCTACACAGGACAATGCACAAAATAACGAAATTGAACTTGAAATTTAGAGAGCTCGAGTGTTTACAACATATTTAAACTGATTATGAAGATGTTAAAGAGATTTTGATTAGGGAGAGATTGAGTAAAAATATCTTACAACAAAATATTTATGGTTAGCTGGAACAAATATGTTAATATGTATCTATGTGTTTAAAGCTTAGCTTCGTACAAACTTGATCAATACTATTTTATGAAGTTATTTAATTGAATATTGAATTTATTGATAGATAATTGCATTTATATCAGCGTATCTATCTTTATCGGACAAAATATGTTAAGTCCATAATTGTGAATGTTGCAGTGTAATACAATGCAACTTATAATGTCCCTTATTCGTATTTCTAGAAATCAATAATATCTGATCAAAAAAATAAACTATGGAATAGAAGTTGAGCAATGACGGGGAACGGTGTTGAAGAAGTGACTACACATTTTAATCGAGTCTTATATATGTATGAAAAGAAAAAAATGGACTGGCAGCGAATACTAGATTTGTGTGGAGTGGCGAAATTGCTAGATAGGATGTTGGTTAAAGGTGCAGATAAAATAAGGTTACGAATGTTATTGGCAATTATATTACTGATAGAAAGAGAACCGCTATTAACATGACTAAAAGAGGTGCAGATATTTTATTTTTCTGTGCAGATGTTAAGTTAGAATAAGTTTTCTGTTATAAAGGTGTATGTAATTATTGTAACACTGTTTAGTCATTAATTCGTTTTACATTTATATTTATACGAAATGTACTGGATATATTTATTAAAAGACAGGTTACTTAGTATTATAATAATAGTATTGCAGATAGTGTTCTGTGCTTTAACATCAATGAAATAAATGCTTAATAAATTGATTGGTTTTTTTTTAATATATACAACTTAGAATGACAAACAAGCTGACAGCCCACCTGATGGAAAGTGGTAACCGTCACCTATAGACATGAGCAGTACCATGGACATAACAGAGTATACTGTTTCGCCCATAATAAGAAGTTATCCCATCCCAAAAAAATACTCATGACTGCATGTGGATCCTTAAAAAGAGTTCCTTATAGTTACATATGTGTGCAACTGAATCTGAATTTTATTTTGTTTATTTTAAAAAGTAATATATTCACCAATTTTGAAAATGCATTTTGCAATTAGTACACTTGTATCCACTGTTGCTTTAGTACTTTTTCAACTGCAGTTTTTTTTTTGTATGAATAATTTCAACAGACAATAAAAAATTAAACTCTTAAATTATTTTATTCAGGATGAAATGGTATAACAAGTTTTCCTTTTGACAAATTCACTTCCTCCCAACATGTGCATGTGAATGTCTTTCTATCCATTATATCAATGTATAGCTTGCCATCCAAGTGGTCTATCTCATGCTGAGCTATTCTAGCTGCCCAGTCTTTGAATATTCTAGAAGTACTCTCACCTTCCGAGTTGTAGCCTGGAACAATGTTTATAGTTTGAATGACTTACATTATTTTCATAAAATGGGTGTTTAAGTGTACTTCTTAAAAGATAGTACGAAACAATGTTTCAAAATTTGCAAAGAAGAATTGTTTTTAGTTTTTAAGTTATTGAGATTATTTTAAAACTGGATTTATCTAAACCTTGACATATTGAATATTCCCAAAACAAAGTAAAAATTATTTATACAATATATTGAGTATCTGAAGAGACAAAAACACATGGGGTGCCATAGATAACATGGTATATTTTATGATGTCCATGGTATCACAATGTAGGCCCTAGCACAGGCTATCCCTTCTTTTCCCATGGGTGTCATAAGAGGTGACTAAGGGAGCTTATGGTGGAGGGATGGGCAACAGTCTCTTAAAACATCACCAAAAGCCAAACTGCCGTTACCAACCCGCCTGTTAAGTGTGGCAACTACTGGCAAAACCCCCCTAAAAGAGGAGACTTTTTAGCAGTGGACAATTAACAGGTGATACATGATATTTTTCATGTAATATTAGTACTAATTTTCAATAGTATAAAAAAATATCCCACCTGTAACTTCAACCTCTCTATACCTTGGCACATCTGCCAAATAACCTTGTATGCTTTCACAGCCTTCTGTGTGAACCACTTTTATATAATCAATTACTTTCAACTTAGGATTAATGAACACCTAGAACAAACAGTATTAATCAATACTAAATAGAGTAAAACTAATTACTTAAATGAATGATATTATCATCACCTACTGATAGTTACAGTTTACTAATATTTTTAATCTGTACTAATATTTTAACCCTTAAAAGCCTGATTGTTTAAATCAAATTAAAAAATATAAAAGTGTACCCTTTCCTATGTTTAAAAAAATAAAATAAAAATAGTAAAAAAAATCAAAACGATATTTTTATATATTTATTTCGAAAAAACATTTGTAACATGTAAACAGCCAAATATTAAAATAAAATCGATTGTAGGCACCCAATGCGATTTATAACCCTGGTATCAAATTTGAAACTTCAGGTATTTAGGGGTTAAATGTGAAGTAAGTTTATTTGTTGCCTTACAACTTAAACAATTACAATGAAATTTTATATACACACTATATGAGATGAAGTATAATATAAGTTTATTCGTATCATGGTCAGAAAACAGCCCGAATGGGTCTGTGTGACTACAAAGATGTAGTTGCAGCTAGTTAAGACTAAAGAAAAATAATATAAATTTTTAATATATTATATATTTAATATTTTAATATATTATTTTAATTTATTATAATAAAAATTAATACAACTTCGTGGTAACTGATTATGAATAATGCAAAAGTTTTTAGAGAGATTTTACCAAAATATACTAAATAATGAAATAATTGTTATTAGAAAGATTAATTCAAAAGTCTATATTATATTAAGATATTGTTATTGAAATAATTAAAATGTAATATAAATATAAAAATGTATTCAGCAGTTTACTTACTCACAGTAAACGGTACTGCACTTAATCCCCTAGACTTGATAATTTCTTTAGAATTATACGATATTTGTTTAGGTGTGTGCTGCATTACAAATATCCTCATATTAACGCCAATTTGCGGCGCAGACATTCCTACACTCCCATATTTATTGAGCACATATTGTAGCTTCTTGATAACATTCTGAACATCGTTTGATTTTATTCTATCAACAGGCACTACTTCTGAAACTTTACGTAACGTTGGGTCTCCTACTTGGACGACATGCTCGTACGGTGGAGATGTTTTCCCATGACTAGGCCCTAGCCTGCCGTACCAATTCAGAAATCTTCTTGTTACACCCATATTTCACTTGTAATTAAATTAAACTTATATATTTTTTTCTAAATCTAATAGAATGATATTTTAGGTTATTATATATTATTTACCTACCCATTGGGGTTTTAACATTGACAGCTGTTTAGACGGTCGCATACCAGTGTGACAACCTTATACACAAGAAAAGAATGAAAAACAACGCATTTTAAAGAGTTAGTTATTTGTGAAATAACAATAACGTTATTTTTTTAACTGTTTATTATTAAAATTTTAATGAGATGGGATATAACGCGATCATTTAGGTAAACTATGATAATTTACTGAAATTATCTCGACGTTTAGACCAGGTTACGCCGTAATCATGAGTAGACCGAATAATAACGTTAATTTCGTCTCTTATAAAAGCAAACCTATAGATAATTGATACCGCATTTCTTCAAATGATCTGTAATTTATTTGGGATTTCAAAATACGCATTTAAAGCAATCAAATTACATCGAACATAATATTTAATATTATGACTATATAATTAGTTTACACTTACAATTAAACATTACAACAATAGGTAAGTAATTAAATGTTGTAAAATTTGTATTGCAATTACTTTAATTAAATCGAAAAACTGTTACCATATAGTTTAATAAATTACAGAGAATATAGAATAAGATGCTTTCACGATCTGAAATTGAAAATTAAAAGGAAATTAATAAAAACTAGGTATTATTAACAAGTTTTAGTTTACTAATGTAATCTTTTGGAGAAAACAATGAAGAGTTTCTATCTATCTTTTTTTTTTTATTTAATTTCTTAAATTACATTATGTTAATCCATCGTTTCTCAACCGGGGGTCGCGTTTGTTACTAAAAGAGTTGCAGACTGTATTTTACTAATCCGACTATAGTAGTCGAATTAGTAAAATATAATAGTATTCGATTAAGTAGCAGTTTTCGATATTTGTAACCAACTTAAGTAATAAAGTATTCTCTTAGGAATTATTTAATATTATGTATATTAGAAATTAACTTAGTAGTCTTTTTATATATTTTTTTATCTTCTCTTGTTGTTTGATATTAAATAATAAAATCATTTAGATTCGCGCAACACTACTTTAACGTAAAAAATAAAATAACTCAAAAAAACTGGTTTTTTTGTTTTTGGCGGATGCACTTTGTGCCGTGCCATAAGAAAAGAAAAAAAAACTGGTTTTAATTTAATTATTTTTTTTTTTGCTTATTCGTGCGTTGCGACATAAAAATGGTTGAGAAACAATGTATTAATCTATCGAATCATTTTATTACAATCTCTTTGAAATTTCTTTTCCGTTATACTTAGTTGAAATTGTACTCTGAACTGGACGGTAAATTCTAATAAATGACACAAAAAAAATCTTATAATTAAGTTTACTTAAATAATATTGTTTTTATTTTATTTATCTTATGTTTTTTTTTTACTTACCGACACGTAAGTATCATACGACAACGGGATTAGACCAAGAGCTTTTAGCATTTCTGGTTTCTGAAATAATTGTCAAAATTAATCTATTTCATTACGTTGAAATAACTATTTTTTAATTGACACACGTCTCTAAAAAAAAAACAAATCATCGGTCCTTTTAAACCGAGTTCAAAAGGAGGAGATCCCCAATTCGTCACAATATTTTTTTAGTCTTTATGAATGTTCCCCGATTACTTTAAGATGCCTAAACCAATTCGAAAAATTCTTTTACCAGAATAGATATACTTTCAAATTAGTCCCGTACATTTGTACGGGATTAATTTTTGTTTAATTATTTAACAAAATTGATTTAGTAATTTAGTTTTTAAATCAAAATAACTAGATTTTTTAAATTAGATTATTTTGCTATGATTGAAGTCATGGTCGTTTCTTTACTATGGAACACAGTCTTAAATTATAGAAAGCTGTAGAAGTTAAGTAATTGACATACGCAACAAAAGTTAATACACTATAATTGTTACGTAACATAGGACACTCAACAGCTTTTTTTGTTTTTATACAACTTTTAAATGGCAAATAAGCTGACGGCCCACCTGATGGAAAGTGGTAACCGTCGCCTATAGGCATAAGCAGTACCATGGACATAACAGAGTATACTGTTTCACCCATGATACCCCTCATGCGTTGCTATTCTTGGAGACTCAGGTGTTATTCCTCCGTATCCAGTAAATTCACGCCATATCCCACCCTTCAAACCGAAACACAGCCATGCAAACACAACTGCTTTACGGTTGAAACACGAATGGGACAGAGGTACCCAAGCAATCGACTTTTGTACAAAGTCTCCTAAATAATATAATAATGATGATGATAGAACAATCCAGTCAAAGTTTTTTTTAATACAACTTAAATGCAAACAAGCCAACGGCCCACCTGATGGAAAGTGATAACTGTCGCCTATACACGTAAAATAAATTGTATTTAGAATCATAAAAGTAAATTGTCTTAATTTTATTTTCTTTTTCTTTTTTTACACCACAAAGGTGGTAATCAAGCATACAGCCCGTCTGATAGTAAACGATCACTGTAGCCTATGAACGCCGGCAACACTAGAAGTGTCACGTGCGCGTTGCCGACCCTGAAGATAAGTATAAGTATAAGATTAATATACACTTTTTGAAAAACCCAATACTGTAGTCTTTAGGGAAAACTTCGGCAGGGAGCTCAACCCAGAGCCTGAGCGTTCGTGGGAGAAAATTCCTTGGAAACTTTTGCACACATATATATATATATATATATATAAACGTAAATAACAATTGTTTAAAACCGGAGTTGAGCTGAACATACGTACGTGACATTGAAAAAATAATTAGCAGCGAAGCGAAGTGTTGCTAGTACAATAAAAAAAAACTAGAGAAGGGATGTGCTGAGTATTTCCAACATATGTACCAATAGCTATGTGCTGTAAGTGATGCAAATAAATTATATATCTATCTATTAAAAATCAATTTAGTTAATAAGTTATATACCTGTCCCTGTCTAATAGTCATAAGTAGAAGGTACCGTATGCGCAGCGTGGATACATGACAGTTCTCCCAGCCTGAACAGTACAGGGCCGTCGCCACAGAAGATGCCTGCGGTAAAAACTAAGATGCTACTACAACTATAAAAATTATATCGTTTGGTCTCGAATGGGCCAGCCCTTTCTTTCCTGTCGTTGTCGGTAGAGGTCGGTTTTAATATTATAACTTCCGATTTAACTTGCATGTAATTATATCGAAATAGCTCGACTAGTTCCGAGGCACGCAGTCAAGCTCGTGCTTACGACACAGTCGCTTATAACTAAAGATTACGAATTGAATCCGAAGCTAGTCGAGCTTTTCGATACGTAAGTTAAACCAATAGTTATTACATTAAAATATAATGTGTTATGAATCTTCTAACAATAAAATTATCAGCTTTATTTAATACTTTACTGTCTTCGAAATAGATAATACTTTCCGTCAGTATCTAAACTCACAGATAAAATGTATAGTAAAATTATGATACAACTTGTTAGATAGTGGTAACCATCACCAATAGACATGAACAAGGTTGACAAGATACGAGGTTTGTCCGGAAAGTACGTATAAAAGTTTTTTAAAAATTTTATTTTACAATTATTCAGGTAAATAAATTTTATCCCCTTCAAAGTACTACCCCTTTGACATAATGCACTTGTGCCAACGCCGTTTCCACTGTGAGAAGGCTCCTTGAAAGTCCTCTGGTTGTAGATAATACATTTATGTCCCCCAAATGCCGCCCCCGAAGTACCAATTTGGTTTTTGGGAACAAGAAGAAGTCACACGGGGCCAAATCGAAACTCACAGATAAAATTTTTAGTCAAAAACTCACGGACAACAAGAGAGGTGTGGGCAGGGGCATTGTCGTGGTGAAGAATCCAACGCCCCTCTCGCGCCAATTCTGGACGAACTCGTGCCACACGAGCTTTGAGGCGTCTGAGCACATCGACGTAGAATTTTCCATCAACTGTCTGGCCTGGAGGGACATGATGGACAACAACATCGAAAAAAACAATCAACATTGTCTTGACATTTAATTTTCTTGACCGGATGTCTTATCGAATTAGATCGGCAAAAATTTCACGGCCATTCTTGCCGAGTTTCGAGAGCATGTGCTCTTCAACGGAAGCGGGCTCCATGCCGACGGGGTTTTTTTACAGATTTCGGTCAGACCAGAACTGAAGCATTGTTAGGGACATAAGGAAGGGGTTCTCATGGCTCTTTCTCGCATTCCAGAACACTTTTATACGAACTTTCTTGTAACTATAACACCCATGGTGCTCCTTATGCTTTGCATGTGTTTTTTTTTACATTTCTGAAGACTATGTTCTCATGCCTCTGTATCTTGTAATATTATTGCCATATTCTACCCTTCATAAGGGAGGAATCGATTGTTAGCAATTCGGACTATCAGGCGCATTGCTAGCAATATACCCAGTCAGGTAGACCTCCACGTGGTACCCCCTGGAAGCTATTGTGCTGAATTTCTGGTGTATTCATCACGTTGGGCTAGCAAGCACAGTGGATTTTGTACAAAGTCTTCCTTTGATCTCTATTTAGCTAATTTTGTTTTGATGAAACACGAAAGTAGATAGATAGATAGATAGATAAACACTTTGTTTCAGCCATTTATGACACACGTAAATTAACAAATGAGTTTATACAATCAGATTATTTTCATTTTTTTAAATATAAAACAAAACACGAAATATGGAAATATGTTTTCACCAAGTGTGTCGCAGTGACCCAAAAAGGCTACAGCTCAGTGATAGTTTTGCTTAAAAGCAAAACACTGATTTTCAACTACAGCCTGAAGTTAGGCTAGACGGACGCGTATAACAAACACAGAGTGTAACCTATGTAGCCAATTTAACAGGCAAAGGTAAAATTGTATTATATAGATACATACTTACATAAATGATGCATAAATAATATATTACATTAATTAATTAAACATACAGTATAAATAGTAATTCACCACAATAATTATTATGTTAAAAGCAGTCGCTACCAGGCGACCAATCCAAGTTTTTGCTTATTTAATAAATGATAAAGTACTCCCCTCTACGGTAATATCTCCCGCATTCCACATGAAGAAACCGGTACTGCACAGCAATGAAACTCCCGTCGACACTACGGGAATCGCGTTCATCAGCGTACGCTCCGAACTCTGGTAATAACAGCAAAAAATGTCTATATAAAAAAATATCCATAAAATTATATTTCATATTCTCTGTAAGCAATGAGTATAAGAATCCCCATCTGAAATATAGTAATCGGACAATATGACTCGTAAATAAGACACCAGAGGGAGACTTCGTACAAAAGTCGATTGCTTGGGTACCTCTGTTCCATTCGTGTTTCTACCGTGAAGCAGTTGTGTTTGCGTGGCTGTGTTTCGGTTTGAAGGGTGGGATATGGCGTGAATTTACAGGATAGAGAGGATACACCTGAGTCCTCAGGAATGGCAACGCATGGGGTACTGTTCATGGTACTGTTCATGTCTATAGGCGACGGTTACCACTTTCCATCAGGTGGGCCGTCAGCTTGTTTGCCATTCTAAGTTGTATAAAAAAAAATCCATATAATAGTGCGCCACTTATCCTCTGTCTTTTTCTCAATATCCTCTACCTACATGCATACACACAAAAATACAAATCTTTCCTCTTTATAATATTAGTGTAGACAGTGGCGTAACAATAGGGTGGCAGGATTGACAAAATGCTACGGGCCTCCGACCCAAAAGGGCCCCAGCTCAAGAGCCCGGAGCTCAGAAATATATATATATATATATATATATATATATATATATATATATATATATATATATATATATATATATATATATATATACATATATATATATATATATATATATATATATATATATATATATATATATATATATATATATATATATATATATATATATATATATATATATATATATATATATATATATATATATATATATATATATATATATATATATATATATATATTTACATACTGTTTTTACATTGTACCTGAGTATTTTATTTTACTTGAAAAGTTTTTTTACTGATAGTGTCCCATCAAAAGAATTTGCCACAAGGCTCAAATGGTATAGTTACGCCACTGAAAGTAGATTACTAGAATCTTTTACATTATATCAACGGTCACTAAAAGTGACTCCCTAATAGAATTGTCTGCATTATAAATTATAAATTGAAAAACAAGTACATAAAGAAATTGACAAATTATCGTATATAAAAATTGGTGACAATGAGAAAAAGAGCTGCAATAAAGGTGTAGTTTTAATTGACACCATCCGTAACATCTGAACCACGGTTTAATACGATTATAACTGAAACTTTAAAAATAGTTTGCTATACATACCGTCATTTGCAGCATCAATAGAACAAGCAGCATCACATTCAATATTATTTGAAAACTGAATACCACATTAAACATCGACTGGCATTGCCTTTTGCACCTGCAAAGTAACATCTCTGATGGACTAGACCATTGTTTCCCAACCTTTTTTGTGCCATGCCCTACTTGAACGATTCTAAAATTTTTATGCCCCTAAACATGATTTTCCCGACAAAGTTTACTTGACGACTCTTATCGCCCAGTTGATATTTTGATAACGTCAAACGTAATTATACCTAATAAATATTTACATAATTTTTTTTTGTTAAATTTGGCACCGATATTTACTCGTAGCATTGCATTTAAATGGCCCGGAGCAAAGGGTTAAAATCGCTTCGAGTCCATTTTTTAATTGCCCCCCTTAACTATCAATTTGCCTCCCTGTGGGGCGTGGACCACCTGTTGGGAAACACTGGACTAGACTGTTTAGTTCAAATATCACGTATAGTTTCAGAAGATAAAGCAAAATTTAAAATACAATTAGAACAGTGGAATGTTAAGTTAAAGGTTTCCACTATTTACAAAAGTCCTGGAAACCGTCGTGAACAATTCTTGTTGAATTTGCCACGATGGGCTAACCGAGCTGCTTCATCCTCATCTACCATCCTTCACTGGTGTCCCGCCGGTGTATACCGATAGCACAAGTGGGGTTACCATTCCATTATTACCCATTGAAACATCGATACATACTAAACAGAAATAACAAATACCACGCGGGCAAAATAGCGGGCATGAGTTAGTATAATATAATTATATCGGTACTCACCACATGGTTTGAGAATGCAAATCGATTCCAATTATTAAAGCTCTTTCATATTTCTTTTCCTTTTCTATTTGAGTTAAATTCTCGTTAAAAATTTTGCTCAGACTGAGAAAGTAGGTGTTTATATTCGTGTACTGATGGCTGATGCATATAGTTAGTAAAACAACCAACACATACACCCCTGACACTCTGGTCAGGAGTATAACTAAAATTACATAGTTAACAACCCTGACTACATCTGCTGCTAACGATCTGTCCTCTACATCCGGCCAGGCTGATATGGTTTTTGTGAATGTTGAACCTAAAAAGAAAACAACCGATGAATTATGCCCATGTAATAACACTGACACTCAGAGCCTTGAACACCTCCTGAAATACTGTCCCCATTTCGCCAGAAGCCGTTTAAATCGCCAACTAGCTCTCTTCACACTCTCAGAACTCTTCAGCACATAATCAAGAAGCAAAAATAGATAGCCTAAAGGTGCAAACCATTAGCATTGTGATTTTCAAATACCCTTATATTATAAAAAAAAAAAACCTAAAAACATTAATCTAATAATATTATTTTATAGGACTCTTCACACCGCAATAATTTGTGTTAATAAATTGCTTATTTGCATATTTATTTGTATTTAAAAAAAAAGCTAAATAAATCTATTATTATGCTTTTTTTTATCGTGATCGTGACTTCATAATTATGAATATAATCAATAATTTTCAATGAGATAAGTATACATTTTACGTGTAGTATTATTACTTTGTATAATTGAACATTTAGCTAACGAACCTGAGTGGGCTTGTATGTACGCATCGAACCCATAGAAAAACACAGATAACGCAACGCTAGTGAAAAACGTCACCGAATAGAACATACACTTTTTAAAAAGTTTCTTCTCTACTTCAACATCATTGTGCGATTGTTTCAATGTAACCATCATTTTATACATGATAACCTTAATCTTCTTCTCGTAATATTCAATATTCAGGATATATACTACGAGAATGGGGTGCGTGACACAAAACATTAGTCTGTCTGAACTTTGTTTTTCCGTTAAATTGTTTTGCGTATAAAAAGCACCCCATTCCATTGCCACGAAAACTATTATTAGAATGTTGCTTAAAATCCTATATAAACCGCTTACTCTGTCGGAATTTTTGGATAAAGTAAAATCATGAGTCCATATAATTGGCAAACCATACAACACTAATATTTTATTTATACTGATAAAAAACTTGGTTATTTTACGAGACACATATTTTGTTGATTTTCTCAAAGTTACATCAGTGCTTTCCATGATTTTCCCTTATAACCCCACATGCAAACTCGTTTGTCATTTATCAAATGTTATTTAGAGTTATATGACTATGTATTCTACTCATTATTTATGAATTCAAACGTAATAATTTATTATTTTATAAGGTAAGCATTAAAGTGGAAACAGTACCGTATTCAAAATAGTAAGACCTCCTTATTTCATAACGATTTTTCATTGATAGTAGGTATTTTGTTTTCTTCAAACTCCGTCTCGATGAGAGGTTGGAATTCTTTTGTAAGACAAATTATTTTTACAAAAAGATAGATAGATCTTGGGGCGCTTGTGAAGGTTCTATCGCAACCCAGATTAGTGTATTCATTCTCATCTATCACCCTTCACTGGTGCTCCGCCAGCGTATGCCGTTAGCGCAGGCGGGGTTACCATACCATTTTCACCCATCGAAAAAAAAAACCCAGATTAGTGAAACAAATTGGAAGCACATGATTAGATATATATATATATATATATATATATATATATATATATATATATATATATATATATATATATATATATATATATATATATATATATATATATATATTGCTATTGCAAAAGCAAAATTATACCGTGTAGGTAAAATTTTGCTTTTGCAATAGTTATATCTATTATTGAGCAAATGTGTCAAATTATTTTCTCTGCTAACAATAAAAATAAATTACTTAAATACTGATTTTAGAAACTAAACATCTGAAATATCCGAAATATATCAGATCTCTGGCAACGAACATGTAGTGGTATATCCCAGAACATCAACATCCGAGTCAATTGAGAAAACAATTTCATTTTTTCAATACGAATCGAACTTGAGACTTAATTTTCGCTTAGCAACGTGTCCACTAATGTCATATAGAGGTCATTAAATATATTTATTCATTTTATATGTTTTATTCAAAGTACATACATAATATCAATTTTATTTTAGTTCGTTCTTTCAACTTTTGAAAATAAATCCAAGTCCATACCTTTATCTAGTTAGTTAAGTATAATTACTAACAATATATGGTATTATTTTGAACTGTCGTATTCAGAATATGTAACATTTTAGAATTACATCAATGAATTTAACCCTAATTTTCTAAAATTGACTATAATTGTAAGTAATTAAAATAATTGATCGATAGTCGTAATTAATATTGATATTAATGGATGGAACTTGATATTTATTATTTATTTATATATTAAGTAAATCTGAACAGCTCACGTACGCGGCTTATGTAAATTTTTATTCAAGTACATAAAGTATTTGCCATTGAATAATAAGTACATAGATTCTTTTCAAACGAATCGGATTTTTCCAGATTCGTAATTAAATACTTCTATTATATATTTTTTTATCTGTCTATTCGTCTATCACAAGAGCGTAAATTCTTATATATCTAATATATAAAATTCTCGTGTCGCGGTGTCTGTGTTACCAAACTCCTCCGAAACAGCTTTACCGATTTTCATGAAATTTTGTGTGCATATTGGGTAGGTCTGAGCATCGGCCAAAATCTATTTTTTATACCCCTCAATGATAAGGGTGACCCACTCCAAAATATTTTTTTTGACAAATTTTATTATTTTTATTTTATTTTGATTTAGCATTGAAAAATACATACAACTTCAAATTTTCACCCTTATAAGATCAACCCCTGTTTTTTAATAGCGGTTTTTATATTCCGCAATATGGTTTCAAGATAGCAATGGAATATAATAGTTGTAGTACGAGAAATTTTCATGTATACTTTATAATATATCTTTTTTCTGAATTTAACTAACAACAACTATATAAGAAATTTCAGTATCGTTTAAAAACATTAAAGCGCAATTGCTAACCCACCTGCCAAATATATCAACTTTTTGGCTAACCCCCCAAGGGGAACCCCATGTTCAACGGTGGACAGTTAATGGCTAATATGATGGTAAGAAATTTCATTTGGATATACAAAATTATTCATAATTGTCTACATCAGTTATTTGGACCACTTTGCGCATACACAACAAATTCTCAGTTCTGTTCTTTTTTTAATATTTTTTTATATTCAAATTATTAAATGAAAGAAGTCGCGATAAACAGCTAGTTTAAATACCTAATAGTACCTAATCTAATAAAATAGCATACTATTGTAATTTCGTTATTCAATGCAAATCAATGTTCAAGAATAATTAATCATTTAATCCGATGAACGGCAGTAGCTAATAAACCCTTCTGTACCGCCTCGTCTTCTATGGCGAAAATCTTTTTGTAGGTAATAAAGTAAAAATAGTCAATTTATAAAACATAACGAAATATATTAATTTGGGCTTTTTATTTAATTGTTACTTTGTGTGTTAATATTTTTTTGTTTTTACTTATCTCTTTATATTCATGTTGATTTTTGTGTGTGTTCACACAAGTGAACGTGTAATGTGATGAAGGTTCACCGACTGCCAACATCCACGTTGTAATCGAAATCAAGTGGCCTACAGTTTCGAGGGGCTCGCATTCATAGCAAGTGTTTAAATAGGTACTTTTAAATAGTATTTTTTAGGATTATATCTCTCAATTCAAAAGACATATTCAGCTAAAAAGAATGGGTACTAAACTTAGCTATTATTTTTCATTCTTCTTTAGTTAATTTCGTCTTTTGTTTGTTATTTTGTCTGAATATAATTTACAAACCATAATTAAACATGAGTTTGAATAATTGAACTTATATTAAAGCAATTTGAGTTCTTTTTGAATGCAACGCATATATTTTTAATTAATTTATTAAACTACGTCTAGTCGTAGATAATTGAATGGAAGAGACAAAATTAGGTATAAATGATCACGACTTTGATCCTTAATGGGATAGTCAGAAGCGCTTATTGATTCTCATGTCTACATTTTTTTTTTATCTTTTAATAAAACACTATATAATTTTTATATTAAAAAATACAGCTAGTTATTTGTGACCTATTACTGGCCATTATAATACGCCCTTTATATTTTTCTCATTATATTCTACCAACTTTTGTTTTCGATTTCTATTTTTTTTTGTTTTCTACCAATAAAAAAGTGATAAAAAGACTTAGAATTACACTATCAAGTATTTTAATTATTTATCCGTTTCTCTTATTATTTATTTACTCTTAATTAACCTAAATAAAATGTGATACAAAAGGTAGACTAAATTCTATAGACATTTTCTACCAGTCAACCTTTGGAATGAGATATATGTTGTAAATAGCAGGATGCAGTAATAAAACATATATGTATTTGTGATATAAAATAATAAGTTTAGTGAAAAAAATACGAGTCATGTCTTATAAAAATCTGACATAGAACAAACTTAAAAATAATACATTGTTCTAAAAAAACCTCAGTGTCAACAGCCAGTATTAAAACTTTAACAATATGTACAATATATAGTCGAGTGTTCAGTTTCTAATTATTTTAGTATTCCATAATTATCGCTAAGGATGCAACATGTTATATTAATAGTTTTTATTGAAATAATTAATTAAATAAAATACACAATTTCACATGTTGATAGAATCTATTTATTATTCTTTTTTCAATTATATGGCTGCCACCAAGACGTTTCTATATACACAATATACCAAATTTAATTATACACGATAAGTTAATTTACGTTAATACTGAACATGATTTTTGTTCAGAGTTATATTACATAAATTTTAACAGTAAACGGTTATTTTAATAAATAGTTTACGCATTTGAAAGTACTGTTCCTAAATACAATACGTTATATTGTTTTTTGGAGTTACCCACATGATTGTCAAGTTATTGGCAACAAAAACAAACTCAATTTTGTATCAGGTGAATTTGACACTTCCTTTATCTTTGTCTCTTTCTAGTCTCTCTATTGAACTTTAATCTGTGGTCTCAGTGTAGTTGTTGATATGGAAAGAGTAAATTGTATTTCATTTTTTTATTAGTTTCATCGTTACACCCGGTGTTTATTAACAAATCAATTAAATAATTAATAGAGGAGCTTTTTTCCATCTTTTTTTGTTTTTTTTTTTTATTTTTGCCATCAACTAATTTAATTAAATACGTAATTCTTGAGTCAATCATTCTCATTGTATTATTACTTTGTGTATTTTGATTTTTTATTGACATTATTAGTTCAGAATCTCTTTTACTGATAAGCATTTATTGTGAAGCTCAAACGTTCAAGGTTAGTAATTATGTAATTTACTTATTATTAGAAAACGAATATTATAATTATGAATAAGATCTGGATTTTTATTAATTATTTGTTTTCAATTGAGGTTACAAAAAATATCCAGATTTTTCTAACCTCTCAAATTTTGTTATCAAAGAGTACCTATAAATTACTATTTAATTTATTAAATTAATTGATATTTATTATATATTATATTGTAATAATTTTATGAATACGTTTTGAAATACTTATATACCTATAGGTTTTAACATCAACATCATTGAATAAAACATATTGAAAGTATACTTCACTAAAGATATTTTTTATCTATTAAGTAAATATTTTTTTTTATCTTTATTAGAGAGATTTCTTTTTAATTTCACTTTACATTTAAATCAATAAATGATTAATTACAAAAATGTTAAAATTTATATGAAATATATGATTTACATAAACATGTGAAATTTCCACAAGTTAGTTAATCTAAATTTTTCACCACCAGTTATGTGATTATTTTTTTTTTCTTCACTTTATTTGCAATAATAAATTATTTAAGCAGTATATTACTTATATATATGAATATTTGTACAATCAACACCATTACCCTCTAATTACTAAATATAAAAACAAAAACATATATGTATAATATATATATAATAGCATTATAATGATTCTACTCACATTTTGGGCCAGCAGTTCTATGACTCTTTTTATAAGAAGCTGCTAACCATGCAAATAAATCTAAATCAGCAAAATAATCTTTGTAATATTTCATAGAATGTTGTAAATTTCATGGTCAGTGACTTTGTACAAAAGTCGATTGCTTGGGTACCTCTGTCCCATTTGTGTTTCAACCGTAAAGCAGTTGTGGTCGCATGCCTGTGTTTCGGTTTTAAGGGTATGATATGGCATGAATTTACTGGGTACAGAGGAATAACACCTGAGTCCTCAGGAATGGCAACGCATGGGGGGTATCATGGGCGAAACAGTATACTCTGTTATGTTCATAGTACTGCTCATGTCTATAGGCGACGGTTACCACTTTCCATCAGGTGGGCCGTCAGCTTGTTTCCCATTCTAAGTTGTATAAAAAAAAATACCCTCAGGGACAGTTATCTATATAGTAAAATATATTGGAAATAAATTTCAGATGTTCAAATTTGGAGGGAACGCCACAAGGATTGCCACAATAACATTTAAACGTGCCATGTCAACTCAAGAGCCCGAGGTTCTGTTTGAAACATTAAACAATGCTGGTGTCATAACATTAAACCGACCAAGAGCTTTAAATTCACTGAACCTATCTATGGTCACTGCCATGCTGCCAAAACTACAAGAATGGGAAAACAGTAAACATATGATAATAATAAAAGGAGCTGGGGAGAAAGCTTTTTGTGCTGGTGGAGATGTCAAAGCAGCTATTGACAGAGTAATTGGCCCGAAATTCTTCTTCGCAGAGTACAATGTTAATTATCTAATTGGAAAATACAAAATTCCATACATTGCATTAATCGATGGGATCACAATGGGTGGTGGTATGGGAGTGTCTGTTCATGGGAGGTACAGGGTGGCCACAGAGAGGACGGTCATAGCTATGCCAGAGACGAAGATCGGACTATTTCCTGATGTTGGTGCATCATACTTCTTGCCTCGGTTGCAGGTCAATCTCGGACTATATTTAGGTTTAACTGGTAAGTCTTTTTTCCATGACCTGCTATGGTATATGTAACATAACACCTTAGGAAAAGGTTATCTCAGGAATGGTAATGAATGAGGGGTCCATGGTCATGGTGTTGTTAGTGATATTCATTTACCACTTTCGAGCAGTTTGACCATCAGTTTGTTTTCCATTTCAAATTCTTTAATAAAAATAATGAGAGGTTTAAAGCAACTGTTACGTTTACTTCTCATAAAAATTGTTTCAGGTGACAGACTGAAGGGGAAGGATGTGGTAAAAGCGGGTATAGCCACTCATTTTGTGTCAAGCAAACGACTGTATGAATTAGAGACGCTTCTCTCACGATGCAAGAGTGATTCAGAAGTCAGTGCACTACTCAACAAATTCAATGAACCCCCAGAAGAGTTCTCATTGGCCCCACACATCAAGCACATCAATTATTGTTTTGCCGCATCCACTGTGGAAGAGATTATAGAAAGGCTGGAGAAAGTACAGAATGACTGGTCAGTCAAGACACTTGAGGTGAGTATCTATGGCATAGAAAGTTCTCTATCCTATTTATATTTCTGCCTCCAAATAGTTTTTTTTTATATTACTGAGGTTGCGAGCCGTACGATTGTAGAAAGTGGCCGTGGGCATCATATTGAACAATTCCTCTGAGCAAAATCCATTGTACAAGCGGTAGAACACGCAGAGAGAGTTTGCAAGGTTGTATCAGTTTAAAGATAGATAGATAACCTTTATTACCAGTATTAAGAAAATAAAAAAATTAAAACAACAAAAAAAAAAACAATTAATGTTACTGGTAATAGGAGCCGCCTCAGCTGTTGCTACATATGTACAGCTCCAGCGAGATGTACCTATATAGCGCTGATTTTCAGGCGGTTCCTTAATTCCTTTACGTTTAGCATGCGTGCGGGTCGCCAATACCTATTTCCCGGATGGGAGACTCAACACGCTTAACAACAAATACATAAAATATTACAACCAAAACTAAAAAGAATAAACTTTGAATAAATTATTGCACCTCACAATGACAGCATCATAAAAAATTAAAAAAAAAAAAGAACGTGAAGCGTCAGTTTCTCAACTGTTTTGAATTTGTTTCTCCAATAAGACTTTTTTAAGTTTATTTTTTTAAAGCAAAGGGTGGGATATAGCAGTCAAACTGCATGAATCAATAAAGAGCGACATAGTGTATGTTTTTTTATGTCTATAAATAAAATGTTCTGGCAGTAGACAACAAATTAAAAAATTAAAGTAATATTTATTTAATTTACATATTGTTTTTGTTAAATCAATGCAACACCATTTAATCTTTCTTTAGCTTAACGTTTGACTGATAAAAAATGCCATCAGGCATTAAGTCCGCCCTGTAGACATGTTCTAATGTGTGCAAAAGTATAAATAAATAAATATTTTTTTGCACACTAACACAGCACAAAAAGTTTTTATTATGTACAGGGTACTCCTTATGTATTTCGATTACTGAAGTATAGAACACCATATTAAAGAGCACCCTGTAATTCCGCTGTCATATCCAACCTTTCAAACAAACACAATCCTACAAGAACAGCTGCTCTATGGCGGAAACACGTGTTTTGTATAGTTTCAATTTTTTCATACAACTTAGAATGACAAACAAGCTGACGGCCCACCTGATGGAAAGTGGATTTGCTTGTGCTGTGATCTTTGGTGTTCTTTTTCTCATAACCCTGTGCTTGAGGATTGAGGAGTAAACATGATTTTTTTTTAATGGATGATAATGGAATTGTAACCCCACCCGCGCTATCGGTATACACCAGCGGGGCACCAGTGAAGGATGATAGGTGAGGATGAAGCAGGTCAGTTAGCCCATCGTGACAAATTCAACAAGAATTGTTCACGATGGTTTCCAGGGGGAATCACGTGGAGGTCGACCTAATAGGGCATATTGCTAGCAATTGGGCTGTCAAACTTCATTGCTAACAACCCCTTTCCCCCCAATAAGCATGATTATGTGACACTTATTAGTATCCTGTCCCCCATTTAGACTCTACACCAAATGTCCCCTGGTTCACTGAAGATCACGCTGCGGGCGTTGCAGCGCGGCGCACAGTTAGACTTGGCCAAATGCCTCAAGATGGAGTTCAGGATCGCTTGTCACTCCACTGAGCAGAACGATTTCCCCGAAGGTGAGTTTAGAATTATTTTAGGGCTTTTCACAGTTTTGTGATTCGTAAAATAGATAAATAATTAAATTCTCAAGGTTGACTGGAAGAAATCCCTTTAATCCACGCGTTCCTAAGAAAAAGATTCTTGATAGATGGACAGATGGACAACGAAGTGATCCTATAAGGGTTCCTTTTTTTCCTTTGGAGGTAAGGAAAATAAACCAGATTGAGAAGCTTATCCTTCTATTATATAAAGGTCGGTTAAAAGAAATGAATTTTCATTAATTCTGATTATTTTAAAAGTATTCTGATATATGAAAATTGTTTTTGAACAATTTTCATATTTTTAAAACTTGCCATATTTATCTAAATAATATGCATAGTATATACATGTAATTAGCGCCTATTGCCTGCAGGAGTCCGAGCTCTCCTCATCGATAAGGACAACAAGCCACAGTGGAAGCCCAAGACCCTGGCCGAGGTGTCCGATGACTACGTAGAGAGCTTCTTCAAGAAGTTCCCAGAGGATAAGGAGCTTCAATTCTTCGACGCCAAACTGTAGATAGTTACATATTATTTCCTGTAACAGGGTAGCAATGAATTTACCAACAAGTTACGCTGGTTAATAAAAAAAAAAGAATTTAGAATTTAAAACAGAATTTAAAAAGATTGCATTTATCATAAAGAGTGTCAGTTGTAAATGTTATATCAAGTTAAAACTGCTGACTAATTGACCTGCTATTACTAGATGGAATTCTGAATTGACCTTTTCAAGTAAGGACACATATAGTAAGTCATCTGTGGTACACACCTATTTTATTATATCTATTTTTTTTTTATATTTTTTGAATTTCGAATAGAATAGAATAGAATAGAATAGAATAGAAATCATTTATTCAAATAAACTTACATTGAAGCACTTTTGAAAAGTCATTACATTTTTTTTTAATCTACCGCTCGTTCGGAAAGCTGTCTCATCACAAGAAGAACGAGCAAGAAACTTGCGTGTTGCTCTTTTAAAATATATATTTTCGAATATATAATATACCTAATAAGTAGACAATTCATTTTTTTTTATACTACTTAGAATGGCAAACAAGGTGTTACGGCCCACCTGATGGAAATTCGTCGCCTATATGAGCAGTACCATGGACATAACAGAGAACACAGCCATGTAAACTCAATGCGTTGCCATTCCTGAGGACTCAGGTGTTATTCCTATATATATATATATATATATATATATATATATATATATATATATATATATATATATATATATATATATATATATATATATATATATATATTCTCAGTGATTACAAAACTAAACTATATTCCCTACGTAATATGGTTCCGAATATGGAAATTATTTTCTATTTTATACAAAATGTTTGTGTTTTGTAATACATTTACAATATGAAAGGTAACTTCATGTTTACGAGGGAAGGATTGTTAGTTTCATGATTAATCACAGAAATTTGTGTTTCTAATTGGTACATCCACTCTATCTAACACATAAGGTATACATAAGTGATGTGTCATATAATAAATAAAGCTAATGTACGGGATTTTGTCTAGGACTATTAAAATAAAAAAAAAATTACTCTCTATTGATTATATCAAATCATTATTTTATTTATTTATTTATTTATTAAATACAAGAAATTTACAACGCGAGTACATTGGACCCTGCACTAGGCGAACCTGTATCGCGGGAGTCCATGAGAGATTACCAAGACACGGTGATTTACAAATATAAATTAAATTAAAATACTAAACCAGTTTTACGAAAGCAACAACATAGAATGAAGTGCTTCGTGAAGACGTGCGCATAAAACAGAAAATTATATAAATACTTTTAATATTATATAAATAAATACATACAATTAAATATACTAAAGACATACACTACTATATACGAATATCAATAAATGGTATATAAATGTAAAATATTAATTAAAGTAAAAATAGACGTATGTATGTCACGATTTAGTTCATCTCGAATGTACTTTGTATACTAATATGTTATAAATCGTGTTATCTTACTCGACTCAGATATATATTGTATCTACGTCAGAGATAAGTGAAAATGATGTTAGACATTCAGAATATTGCTCGTGCTCCTCACTTGAATAGTGCAGTTTTTTATATCGCTATAATAATTAAAAAAAAAATAGCAAATATTGCTCACAATGGAGTATTTACTATAAAAAAAAAAACTGACAATACATAGGTAATTTTAGGTACATAATAAGACTGTAGACTAAATATATGAGCGAATTCTATCAAAATTATAAATTAAGCAGTCAATTTTAACCCTTCTTTGCATGTTTTTTTTTTATTGGTAAAATAAATCAAGGTTATATAATTCATGTTCAAAATTAAAGGTTAAAAAAAAGTAAATTTGACAGTTATGTTTTTTTTCTGCAATGAACATTAAAAAGGTATCCAGACACGATCAACTTAAAGTGAACTTGTTCATTTATAGAATTTTTGAGCATTCAATGTTATGATGGAAAATTCCACCATTATGCAAAGAAGGGTTAATAGCAAATAATTTGTTATCATTCTAATTTTCCATTCCAAAACTGAATTGAATAAGCTTGTGTTCCTTTTTTAAATGTCTTAAAGTATGAAATGGTGTTCTAGTAGTTATTCAATTATGGACTGAATATACATCACACTGATAGTTCAATTTCCGCTGTCGCTTTCAGATGGTAGAGTCTCTTTTCTTGTCCGTGCTTTTTAATTTCGTTCCACCACTAATCTCTCTATACTTACCCTATTTTGATACAATTGTTAAAAAAAGACTTTTTATATAAATAAGTTATATCATGTCCTGCATATTATAATTTTTTATAGCTTATCAACACTGCTATGTATAAGCTTTATAATAAGTACATAGGAATCGACTATTTATCAATACCTTTTTTCAATCTCTCTCAATCAATCAATCAACTTTATTCATATACATCTGTTACAGATTCTTATGATACGTCACTTTATAATTATAATAATTACTATATAAAATAATATTGATTTAAAAATATTACAATAATTACATTTACAATACAATTCACATTAATACAATATTCAAATCCATGCAGTTTTGTCATTTAGATAGTCATTTAATTCATAATATGCTTTTGTACAGAGTTCTTTTTATTTATATGTCTTAAATTTTCTTTCATTTAAATGTAAAACGTCATCTGGATGTTTATTATAAAAACGTATACAGTTCCCCATGAAAGATGTGCTGACTTTTCTAAGGCGATAACAAAGTAACAATGTATAATAAACTACTTATCAATACTTTTTGAATAATTTTAAGTTTTAAATATTTCTATAATTAGAACTTAATATACATTTTAATGTACATGTGTAAGTAGATATATATATATATATATATATATATATATATATATATATATATATATATTATAATATATATTATAAAAGATATGTTTATAATATTTGGCCGTTGCAAAATGTGATATATTGTTGAAACTATTTTTTTTAATATAATGGTTGAATGTACATAAATCATTATAAAATATAAATTTTTAATTTTATACTCTGTTTTTTATTAATTTAAATAATATGTTACCCATAGCGTTCTATATTTTTAGGGTTCCATAGCCATGACAGGTAAGGATAAAGTCCGGTCAGTTCGTTTAATAATTGTACGCTGGCGGAGCACCAGTGAAGGGCGATAGGTGAGAATGAAAACAGGCCAGTTAGCCCATCATGATGAATTCATCAGGAATTAACCATGATAGTTTCCAGGGAGAACCGCGTAAAGGTCGACCTGATAGAGTATATTGCTAGCAATGGGGCTGTTAGAACCCATTAGGTACTAACAATTCCTTCAGTATTTAATCTGTTTTCCTACTTCTGAAATCCACGTGTACGAAGTAGCGGGCAAAGCTAGTATTTAATAAGAATTATAACATTAGGTACCACCGTGCGAGGTATTATGTCATTACATTAATTGTCTGTAACGATTAAACCCACTTAAGTTTTATTTAAACAGCTGTACAATAGTAATGACATCAATTAAAAAATATTTTTTTACCGATCGACGAAGCCGGATTTTACACTTAGTATTTATTTATTTATATATCTATTTATTTATTTCTAAACATTATTTAAGAGTTATTTATAATAATATATTTAAAATTTTAATAACTACATGGGACAGATAAAAGAAACACTAGGTGTCATGTCGTATAGAGAGATAAAGGATATGGCCTGGGATAGAGCTGGATGGAGGAAGATGCATGAAATAGTTGCACCGACAAGAGGAAATTCTTAAATGAATATAAAAAGACATTTACATCGCCGTTTATGCTCCGGTATAGAATGGGCCACCCCTTCCTTTCCTGTGGGTGTCGTAAGAGTCGACTAAGGGACGGCGAGGGATGGGCAGCGGCGTCCCTCTTAAAACATCTTTAAAAGCCTAACTGCGTTTGCCAACCCGCCTGCCAAGCGTGGCAACTACTGGCAAAACTCCCTTTACGGGGAAGGCTTATGTCCAGCAGTGGATAGTTAACGACCGAAATTATAAAAAATAAAAAGACATTTACAAATTGTATAATAAATGACTGAAACAATACATGATAAAGGAATGGTAACCCCGCCTGCGCTAACGGTATATGCTCTATTGTTTCCTTTTAACTTGCCGTCACGACCCTAGTCTTCTAAGTTCCTTTGACCATTATACATACAGAGTGCTTCAAAAAAATGTATACACACTTTAAACTATTGTAGTTTTCCCGCTCTACAAGGCTAATGTTATATTTCTTCGCCAGGTGTCAGCATAATCGTCCCTCTATGTTATATTATCAGTTGGAATTTGTAATATTGACATGGGGGACGTACGTTTGAGTTTTGAAGAACGTAAGCAGGCCAATCGAGTTTCCAGCACGCTCTCCAGACCTTACACCACTGGATTTCTTCTTGTGGGGCACAGTAAAAGATGAGGTGTACAAACGTAAACCACGTAACCTAGACATTCTTTGGAATGAGATTCAAGCAGTGTGTAGAGAAATCTCATTGGACGTTTTGATACGATGTACAGAATCAGTGGTGACTCGTACTCAGAATTGTATTGATGCTGCAGGTCACCAATTTGAACAGTATTAACATTTGTTATTTATGTTTCATTTACATTGGACTTTCAGCTTTCTATTTTCCTGAAATTTTACTTTGTAGAACGGTAAATAAATTTTCTATGGAAGTTCAAAGTGTGTATACATTTTTTTGAAGCACCCTGTATATTTCCATTCGTGGTTTCTTTTGTCGTTCACAAGACTTTTAGTTTGCATTACTAACAATCGTTTTCCTCCACCCCCGTTGGTCGCAGAATTATTGTCAATATTAATTTAGTATTATTGAAAATTTTGTAACAAACAGACAAGAAAAATACAGGCGTCTATTTGATGTCTTGAGAAATAATTACCAGTAAAGGGTTGTTAATATACTTGATAATTACCTAAGGGACATTTTTAAATAGCTGTGTATAGGTAATAATTTATTATCTAATAAGCTAGATATATCAAGGAACTCCTTTGATTCTTGCGGTATTTGGGAGAGAGAATATTCAATCATGGGGACCTTTTATGGGGCATACCAACCAAATCCGTCGACACGGTATTTCGCAAAAATGTGTCATATAATCTTTATTTGGGGAATGCCTAATTTTTGGATAGAAGATTTGAGTCTATCTAGAGTGTTTACGACTGTATACTCATATTTCTCAAGATCAGTAAGCGTGGTGCTTTATTCCTTCGTTATTTTAGAATGGGCGGCGTTTTTCACTCAACCCTCGTTATCAGAGAAACAAAGTTCAGACAGGCTTCTGTTCACATTTTCCCATCCTCTGCTTTTTAGCTACACCATTGTTATGACCCACAATCAAGAGAAAATTAGAGACTTGCTATTCAGACTCACTGTGAGTCTGAAGAATGACTATAATGATGACGAAATCGAAAATCATATGATTAAAAAAGCAAAACTGTATTGTATCGGATGCTTGGGAATGTGCTCTATGGCTATGATTATGTATGGGTTTGATGGAGCCATGCAGTATATGAAAACAGGTAAAACGCTAATATTATTTTAAAAATTTTTGTTTCTACTTACCCTAATGGGAGACAGACGTAGTACCTACACATATTTTTTTTTTTATACAACTTAGAATGGCAAACAAGCTGACGGCCCACCTGATGGAAAATGGTAACCGTCGCCTATAGACATGAGCAGTACTATGGACATAACAGAGTATACTGTTTCGTCCATGATACCCCCATGCGTTGCCATTCCTGAGGACTCAGGTGTTATTCCTCTGTACCCAGTAAATTCACGCCATATCCTAACCTTCAAACCGAAACACAGCCATGCAAACACAACTGCTTCACGGTTGAAACACGAATGGGACAGAGGTACCTAAGCAATCGACTTTTGTACAAAGTCTTCCTCTGGTAAATAAATAATATGTATGTATGTATGTAAATTTTTGTTTCATTCACCTGTAGATGACATTTCATGTCTATCTACGTACTTTCTATACACTTCGTTCTATAACGCACAGTTGTCAACCGTCGATTTGCACTTATTTATAAAGTCGTAAAGTATATAACATTTTTTTGGCAAAAAAATTGCATTCCTTAACGGAAACCGTTTAAAATCAACTGGGCGGTATGCTTATTTGCCACATCAGTGATATAAAAAAAAAAAAAAACTTCGAATCAAATTACCAATTCAAAAACTTATTCATTAACAGTAAATATTAAATATCTATTAAGGCTAGTGTTTTCGACGTGTATTAAATAATACACGTCATGTAATTCAATTATATCATTTGATCATTGCAGTGCATTAATTAAAGATTCTGTCCCAAAATTCTTTGACAAAACTAATTATTTTGGTTTAAATATTAAACTACTCATCCGATTTTGATAAAATTTCTATGGGTTCAGCCTATAAACATCTGGGGAGAAAGGGATTGTTATAAGGGATTAATGGAGACTGAGAATCCTATTGCTAGCAATATACCCAACCAAGTTGACCTCCTCGCGGTTCCCCCTGGAAACTATCATGGTTAATTCCTAATGAATTCATCATGACGGGCTAACTGGCCTGTTTTCATTCTCATCTATCACCCTTTACTGGTGCTCCGCCAGCGTATCCCATTAGCGCAGGCGGGGTTACCATTCCATTTTCACCCATTAAAAAAAAAGCCTATAAACATGTACTTTCAGATGAAAAGATAATTTTTCAAATCGGTTAAGAAATAACGGAGTTATGAGGTAACAAACATAAAAAAAAACAAGTACGACCGAATTGAAAACCTTCGTCTTTTTTAAGTCTATTGAAAATGCTCGATTATCTGGACGTTAGCCATAAGTATTTGCGAGTATCCAGATTGTCAATAGCATCAAATAACTTTGTAGCGAATGTAGGTACATTCGTAAGTATGAAAATGTATGGAGTTTTCAATAAAAAAAAAAGAATTATTAAAGAGTTAACATTTGTTTTGGTCAGTTAAATATGTATACGCGCTAATCAGGTAATATTTCCAGAAAGAATATGCACAAAAATTGTTTTTATTCGTATATTAAATAATCCGGATTTTCGGTTATTCGAATGCTTAGCCATCTTGTAAATGGAGTCTTTACTGCAAAAAAATTTAAATATGAAATATGAACTATTTTTTATTTGAAACCTAGTAACTATTGCTATGATTTACTATAGTGTAGTTATTGATTTTCTTCTAAATTTACTATTTTATTATTAATTATTATAATTATTATTAAATTTACTATTAATTATTTAATAAATAATTACTGCTGCCATGACAAATTTATATTGCTAAATCAGTGAAAATCTGTTATTGGCTTTAAATATAGATAAATTGTTGTTATTTTAAACTATACATTGTAAGCTGTTGACTGTCCAATAAATAAACAAATAAATGAACTATTCAAATTTATTTTTCAGGTGCATCTTTTACTACAGTAATCACCGCTTGGCCCGATGTGAACGATCTTCGACCAATACCGCACATGTTTAGAATAGCAACATTTATTGTATGGTGGATATTTATGATTCGAGTATTCAGTGCATTTTTACTTGTAATATCACTAAACGTTTGCTTAAGCCATCAATACATTAACTTATGCAGTTATTTTTCTACGCTCAACGCGATATTTGAGGATTTCAAGTTAACACAGAATGAAATGGACGATAAATATGAGGAAGGTTTTAAAATAGGAATAAAACAACACGCGGAAACGATATGGTAGGTGGAAAGGTACATAAAAAAAATATTTTAATGTAACGGTAGATAGGTACTAGATACGGGTAATATGTATCTGATCCAATATCTATATATTGGGTACTTCTGGATACTGATAGCGGAAAATGGCATTTCAATATCGCTCATATCGGTCGGATATCTATTTTCGAATATATTAAAAGTCTGTTATCCAATATTATCCAAAAGATAACATGGATAACAGACTAACAGACTGTTAACATATTCGTTATTGGATGAGTATATAGATATTGTTTTATATTACCCACCCCTAATAGGTGTATCTGGATAAAATCCGAGATTTTTTTATGGGTGAAAATGGTATGGTAACCCCGCCTGTGCTAACGGGATACGCTGGCGGAGCACCAGTGAAGGGTGATCGATGAGAATGAAAACAGGCCAGTTAACCCATCATGATGAATTCATCAGGAATTAACCATGATAGTTTCCAGAGAGAACCGCGAGTAGGTCGACCTGGTTGGGTATATTGCTAGCAATAGGATTCTCAGTCTCCATTACTAACAATCCCTTTCCCCCCAAAATTCGAGATTGAACTTCAGGAAGTTTATATAGATACCTAACGTCATCAGTTTTTTTTATATGTAACTAATGAAATTGAAATATACCACGACGAATAAATTATTTTCCGATTTTGCGAGTGTTCATGGGCGGCGGTAGTCACTTACCATCAGTTTGCATGCATGCTCGTTTGCCCGTATTTAAAACACGAGGGTTAAACAAAAAAACTGGCAAAACCTACCAACACAACGAGATAAGCTATTGAGTTTTCAAGGGAGATTTAATTTTTTTCGTCATTTTCGACCTATGCAGCTAGAGCCTACAGATATATATAACCGGTCCCGGCATAGAATGGACTACCCCTTCCTTTCCCGTGGGTGTCGTAAGAGGCGACTAAGAGAAGTTAATGATAGAGGGATGGGCAGCAGTGGACAATTATAACACCATGATGATGACGTTTTGTGTTTAAGGTGCACTCGTCGAAACCAAGAGGTATGCAGCGCTATATTCGTTGGTCAAATACTGGTCAACGTTCAAGTCCTAGTTCTCCTCTTGTCTCAGATGGTGGTGAGTCAAGTCTAAAAGGGATTTATTTAATTAGTTTTCCTCCTGATATCCGCACGTACGAAGTAGTGGGCAAAAAGTTGTTTAGTGTAATAAAATATAATTGTTGGATAAAAAGAAGGGTAAAGGACAAACCTGGTCCACTTAGTCCCCGCGTGTAGGTCTTTTGTACGCGTTCTCGTTCTCTCTTCTCTCTCTTTCGCGGAAATTTTTCGTAATCTTGGCGGAACATGATCAGCTCGACACGCAGTTGGATTACAGACTGACTTTGTCCATCTACCCCCCAATGTGATCCCAGATTTGATAGAGAATATGGATAGGTAAGGAGGGTAGAAGGATATTGCGTTCTGAAATGTTTTATACAAATGATGAGATTATATTTACCAATAATAACGAAGCTTTTGCAACATTGTCATTATAAATAAGTATTGTATATTTTTCTGGATAGATCTCTTTACCACAGATAGTATAATATTGTTTTTACTGGAAAATTGTTTATTTCGACTAAAATTTAGCAAAGCTAGTCGTTTAGATTTTCCTATGCATTTAATATATTTAAAGTATAATGGTGGATTTCAGACGAATGTGTCCCGTGTGGTCCTGGCATAGAATAGGCCATCCGTTCCTTTTCCGAGGGGGTCGTAAGAGGCGACTAAGGGAAATCAAGGGAAGGGCAGCAGCGTCCCTCTTAAAACATCTCCAAAGCCTAACAGTTGCCAATTTACTTGCCAAACGTGGCAACTACTGGCAAAACCCCCTAGGGGAAAATTTATGTTCAGCAGTGAACAGTTAAAAGCTAATATGATGATGAATGGTGGGTTTATGGAAACATCTGGTATGGTCTACATATTGTACTTATGTTGCAGGATTCCGAGAAAACTCTGGGCACGCTGCTGTCGGCTGCGACCACTGCAGTTTCCTTGTTGGTCTCTACTGGATTCTTCATGTGGAACGCTGGTGACGTCACCGTTGAGGTTAAACCTGAAACATATTAATGTAATATAATGTAAATTGGATTCTCTTTTCCGCACTTAGCCTCTCGTTGGGCCGTTGTGCGAATAAATCGTGGCTAGTACAGCCAGCCCAGTTCCACCCTGAAGCACAGAAGCTTCCTTAGATCTTCACAGACCTCACGGAGCGACCTTACCGTTCCGAGGATTTCTAAACGTTGAGGGCTACAGCTTCACATTCCAGGATTACGTGAGCAGCCATCTAAAACATACTAATGGAACAACATTTATATATGAGCATTCATAGCACAATACAACATTGTAGAGGGGGGGGGAAGGAATTGTTAGTAATGCAGTCTACCAGTCCCATTGCTAGCAATTTCCTCTTCCACGTGGTTCCCCCTGGAAACTATCATGCTGATTTCCAAGTGTATTTGTCACAATGGGCTGCCTTGACTGACCTGCCTTTTCATCCTCACCTATCACCTCTCATGGGGTCTCGGTAACGTATACCGTTAACGTAGACGCGGTTACTATTCCATTAACATCTATTAAAAAAAATTGTAATAAGTAAAAAAAATTCAACTCTTTGGAACCTATACGATTGCATATTGTGTACATTTTTTTATCCACATTGTACATTTTTTAGCCTTTTCTCTTTCAAATATTAGATGTAAGGAATATATAGGTACAATAATAATATGCAATGTTCGACCAAATCCCTCCAAAATCCAAAATATGTGAGTCAAAATATTTACAAGGTTTCGACCAAGGAATATAATACTCCTCTGGCAGGACCGCTACTGAAGATGTCTCCGCACAAACACAAACAGAGCACCATGTCTGTATATGGTCACACACACTGATATAAACAGTTGGAGGGGCCTGCCATGTTAACTTAAACAATCTATACGCTAAACATGACGGTTGGCTGAGCGAATTGTAACAAACAAACACATGCTCACAGGGGGAAAAGGGATTATTGGTAATGAGGATTAGCAACTGTATTACTAGCAATATACCATGTCAGGTCGACCTTCTCGCGGTTTCCCCTGGAAACCATCGTGATTGATTCATTGTCGAATTTGTCACAATGGGCTGACTGACCTGTTTCATCTTCAGTTATCATTCCTCACTGGTGCCCCGCCAGCGTATACTGAAGTGCAGGCGGGGTTACCATTTCATTATCATCCATTGAAAAAAAAGCATATTCTCACATTGATATTTTAGTGGCAGGGGGTATACTCATATTATGTGTCTTGTCCTTCAGGCATCGAAGCTGGCGACGGCCATATACTGCTCCGGTTGGGAGAACTGTTCGCGAAGGTGTGCAGTTCGAGTCCGGAAACTATTAGTGCTTGCAATGATGCAGGCTCAGGTGATTTTTTTTATTAGTTGACATAGTGAACCATAGAAATGGTTGCATTTTTACTCTGTCACTGCGCGGGAGTCATATTTTGTACTTATTCGCCAAAAGGAGACTTTACTTCTTATTTAAAAAAAAGTTCAATTTCTTATAAACCTATTTTAGTAATTACACTGTTTTGTCTCTTTCTTTTGTGCTAAATTCTCAATTTGAATGAAAGTGACTTACCATCAGGCTGTAGTCACTTACTATCAGGTAAGCCGCATGCTAGGTTTCTCTCTGTTTTAAAAAAATACTATTTATTAGAAAAGTCGTCAGCGTTGATTGATTTACTCTCTTGATTTTGGCAGCGTAGTTCGAAGGGCGGAGTATCGCAGTGAAACTATGGCGTATAACAATTTAGCCTTCAGAAATAGTAACGTATTAGTGGCACCATGGATATGATAGCGTATTGTGATGGCCATGATGTTATTTATTATAAATAACTTTGTGCGACATAGATTACTCTATTATGTCCATGTTACTGTTCATGTGTAAAAGCGAGGGTTACCACTTTCCATCAGGCGGATCGTCAGCTTGTTTGCCGTTCCAAATTGCATAAAAAATCCATGAAAATATCAAAATAGTATCAAAGTACAGTGATCAAATGTCAATTACTAGTATCTCGTGGTTGCACTTGAATGAAGAAGTATATACTCGTAATGTATCCAGTGCGCTAAATTGGGATATAACCTTCTCGTCCATCAAATTTCATACAAATTTGTTCAATAGATTTTCTTAAAAGAGTAACAAATAAAACATCTATCCTTATAAACTATAGCATTTATTGATGTAATATTACAATAAAGGAAGGCTTTCAGTAAACATCTTTTCGTTTAAACAATTTATTTTAATACAGAAATACATGTGGAACGTTTTACAATGCAGAGCGAACAGAGATAAAAAAAAACCATTTTTAATATTTAAATCCCATACATGACGACTTAACTGACGTAATCAGATGGCGAGGGCGAACAGAGATAAAAAATAATGTTAACTTTTTTAATACAATGTACAAAGACACAGACCATAATTGTATACAGCCATGTGTGCGAGTGTGCTCTATCTTAGGTTACTACTTAGTTGTGTATTTTAATTATAAAAATCAATCTCTTTGCAATGATACTTCAACCATAGTTTGTTTTACAGAAACCAGTCATAATTCGCGGCCTCGGTGTAATAGAAATCTCATATCAGTCATATTTATCGGTAATTATCTATGTATTTCTGTATTTATAAATCTTTTAGCAACAATTTCAAATATACGAGGTTTTAAGCTAAGGATAAGCTGAAGTGGCAATGGACTGGTCACATAGCACAAAGAACTGATAACCGACGTGGAAGAAAGGTTCTTGAGTGCCGATTGTACAGGCAAATACAGTGTAGGACATCCGCACTAGGTGGAGTAACCACCCCAAATGCATTGCAGGGAGTCAGTGGATGTAGGTGGCTCAGGACAGTTCCTTATTTAAATCTATGGGGGAAGTCTATGATCAGCAGTGGTTGGATAACGCTGATATGATGATGATGAGGTCATTTTGTACTTTCATCTTCTTAATTCAAGGAGTATTATTATTAATTTCTGAGCACAAATTGATATCCACCAAGTATTTAGCTAGAGTTCTTATATCAGTTAGAATCTTCATGTACCTACTACTAACTTTAATTATAAAATAAATATCTATATCACGACTATAATTCCTAATAGAGTAGTTAGAAACATTTGTCATCTGTTGCCGAACACACGACATGCACACATTTTATTTTTTAATGAAATAATAATCCTATTAACACATTTGTTTTTCACCCGAAAAAGATCGACTAGTTTCAGGACCATCCAAAACCTTTAGTCGTGAGCGGTCTAGTTGTTACGTAAAATATAATCTGTACTTACGAAGTTTTTAACAATAAACATACCTACATTACGTCGAGCATAGTTATTATCTTTATATATTTTATACATTTATATTTATATCCTATACAAATTAGAATTAAAGTATATCTACAATATATTAATTCAGATACAGAATAATATCTTGGATCTTGATACACAAGTGTACAAAGTTTCATTTAAATTCAGAGGGAGACTTTGTACAAAAGTCCTTTGCTTGGGCACCTCTGTCCCATTCGTGTTTCTACCGTGAAACAGTTATGTTTGCATGACTGTGTTTCGGTTTCAAGGGTGCGATATGGCGTGAATTTCAGTCCTCAGGATTGCCAATGCGTTGCCAATTTTGAGTATTATGCGCGAAACAGTATACTCTGTTATGTCCATGGTACTGCTCACGTTTATAGGCGACGGTTACCACTTTCCATCAGGTGGGCCGTCAGTTTGTTTGCCATTCTAAGTTGCATAGAAAAAAATTGGTCTATTCGAAAGCGTCATTGAATGACAAATAACCAAACATATTTACATATATAATATTAATAAAAATATTCAATATATTATTTTACATTTGGTTTTCAGATCGTCAAATCGTCATACTCCGTGTTTTCGGTCCTGTACTGAGAATGACATAAATATTATTCCGAAGGATAATTCAAAATAAAATAAAAAATAAACGACGTAGAATGAGACGTAGTAAATGGATTCTCAATTTACTTATTAGTAAATGGATACTCAATTTACTTTATAGATTGCTTAAAATCCTACAATTTTTCTGACATTTATGATACTAATGACGCAAATGAAGCCTTTAATATTTTTTTGACCATTTTAAACTTTTTTATGACTTATGCTTTCCAAATAAACTTATTACTAAGAAACCGTTTAAAAAGCCAAAGTGGATATCGCGTGGAATTAAAGCTTGCTGTAGAAAGAAAAGGAAACTTCTATGGGATTATAGATTTAATCCAAACGATACAAGCAAAGACGCCTTACAAAAATATTCTAGAAAACTTAAAAAATTATTAACCTAACTCAACGTTCACAAAATAGTCATAAGATAAATATGTCATCGAATAAAACTAAAGCGACTTGGCAAATAATAAATAAAAACAAACAAAGTATAGCTAGGAGTTCCATGCATTTAGTAAAAAAAGAAGGCAAAATTATCTGTGACCCACAGGCCATATGTAATGCTTTTAATAACTTTATTATCGACAAAGTTACACCTATACTGAACTCAGGAAATAAGGTTACGAGTACTATAAAAACAAGTAAAAATTCAATATTTATGGCGCCTAGTTTACCCCATGATATATTAAAAATTATAACACACTTAAAAACACTAGCAGTGTTGGCATTGACGAAATATCTACAAAAGTTGTAAAAGCTGCTTCAACATACATAGCCTCACATCTTAGTTATATTATCAATCTCAGTATAAGTTCAGGTACTTTTCCTAAAATTTTAAAAACTACAATTGTAAGACCAATATTTAAAAAAGGGGATAAATATTCAATGGAATGTTATAGACCAATTGCATTGCCTACAACATTTTCAAAAATTTTTGAAAAATACATATATTTACAAATATACGAGTACTTTGAAAAACAAAATCTATTCACATCAGATCAGAAAGGATTTAGACGCAACAAAGACATTAACTTAGCAATTTATGATTTCTTGTACACTGTTTTGACAAATATGGATAAAAGTACACCGGTTTGCTCCATTTACTGTGATATGACTCAAGCTTTTGATTACGTAGACCATAATATATTACTTCAAAAATTATATGTATATGGAATCAGGGGTAATGTTTTAAATTTACTAAAGTCTTACCTTACTGACAGGAAACAATGTACTCAAATAAATAAAATAAATAATAGAACCAAACTTGAAGAAAATTATATTTCTGACCAGAGAACTGTCTTGTATGGTGTTCCCCAGGGTAGTGTTATGGGTCCATTGTTGTTTATTATATATATAAATGATCTACCCAAAATAACAAAGCAACCTATGTCCCTTTTTGCTGATGACAGTACAGTAACAATAGAATGCCAAAGTATTGATGAGTATGAAAATGATGTAAACCAAGCTTTGAAGAATATAGTTAAATGGTTGAATAATAATAATCTAAAAATAAATATTAATAAAACACATATAATGCATTTCAGTCAAAGGACTTCTTTAAATACTATTGGTGCTTGTTACCTTAATAGTGATATTAAAATTGTAGAGAATACAAAATTCCTAGGTATTATAATAGACAATAAATTAAACTGGAAAGATCATATAGATGAATTATCCAAGAAATTGAGTTCTTCGGCTTATGCTTTAAATAAATTGTCTCCTACAGTAAATGAATCAGCGCTCATTACAGCGTATCATGGTATTACTGCTTCAAATTTACGGTATGGCATAATATTTTGGGGAAATTCAACGAAGAAAGAATTTGTATTTAAAGCTCAAAAAAGGTGCATAAGAGCCATGTTTAATCTTAAAAATACTGATAGTTGTATGCCGTATTTCAAACAATATAATATATTGACAGTACCTTCATTGTACATATTTGAAGTGTGTGTATTTGTTAAAACTAATAAGAATTTATTTCCACGACTTTCAGAAATTGTTAAACGCAATCGACGTGATAATGATAAGTTATATCTAAAAAAATCTAATACAAAACTTATGCACGATAGTATATTATGTATGGCACCAAAAATCTATAATAAAATACCAAAATCTATAAAGGATGCACCAACTAATGTATTTAAGTATAAATTAAAAAAATTCTTAATTGATAAATGTTATTACAATGTATGTGAATTCTTTAATGATAAAATCTGACAAAACGAATATTTATTTATAGTTATTAATATAAAAAAAAAAATAAAGTTCCATAATTATATTTTTTTACTATAAATGTGACATTGCTGATTTTTCTTTTTATATAAATGTGACATTGCTGATTTTTCTTTTTATATAAATGTGACATTGCTGATTTTTCTTTTTATATAAATGTGACATTGCTGATTTTTCTTTTTATATAATATAAATGTTTTCTTATGTAATTGTAAATTTGTATACCTCGATAGATGGGGTTGATTATAGAGGACTTATATTGTTTTACCATCCATTGTTACCTATGTATCACAAAATAAATAAATAAATAAATAAATATTGGTAGCGTTTTATTTATAAATTGAAATCACATTCGTGTTTCAATTGTGAAACAGTTGCGTTTTTTGCATGGCTGTGTTTCGGTTTGAAGGGTGGGATATGGCAGTGAAATTAGAGGGTAGAGAGACATAACACCTTAGTCCTCTGGAATGGGATAGATGGAACAGTATACTCTGTTATGTCCATGGTACTGCTCATGTCTACAGGCGACGGTTACCACTGTCCATCAGGTGGGCTCTCGGCTTGATTGCCATTCTAAATTGTATAAAAAAATCATACTTTTTAAAAAGAGACTAGGCTTTTGATATAATATTGTACACAAAGTATTTTTTTATTCAAAGAACAATAAGTAACGTGCTTTTAGATTAAGCTTGAACAGACAAGCAATTTTTAATTACCGTAAACGACTTACTGCAAACTCGTGTATGTATGTATTAGCTGTCGCATTACTAGGGACGTCATTATTTTACTTTTTTATTTATTTCCAATTGACGCTATTTATAACGGGTTAAAATTGTCATTAGTGTATAATTAAGTCCCCCCCCCTCCACTGAAATGGTGATGTGTTAATCGTTGGCCTACCTATTTAATAACCAAAGGAGGTAATTAAGTCATAGTTAGAAAGCTGTAATAGGTACGTAATGCCACATAATGTTATAATAGAACCTATTTCAGAAATTATTCATCAATTATATTATATTTAATTATAGATGGGGCTGAAATTCTTAAACTTTTTTTATAAGTTTTTTTTTCTAATCAAAAAAAAATATTTCTGACAAACATTTACATTTTTATTAGCAACAATTCATCATCTTCATCATCACATATCAGCCGTTAACTGTCCATTGTATAAGCATAGGACCCGTAAAGAGCGTTTTGCAAATAGTTGCCATGCTTAGCAAGTGGGTTTTTTTTTAATGGGTGAAAATGGTACGGTAACCCCGCCTGCGCTAACGGGATACGCTGGCGGAGCACCAGTGAAGTGATAGATGAGAATGAAAACAGGCCAGTTAGCCCATCATGATGAATTCATCAGGAATTAACCATGATAGTTTCCAGGGGGAACCGCGACGAGGTCGACCTGGTTGGGTATATTGCTAGCAATGGGATTATCAGTCTCTATTACTAACAATCCCTTTCCCCCCTAGCAGGCGGGTTGGCAACCGCAGTTAGGCTTTGGTGATGTTTAAAGAGGGACGCTGCTGCTCATCCATCAATCATTAAGTTCCCTTAATCGCCTCATACAACACCCACGGGAATGGAAGGGGTGGCCCAATCTTTGTCTGGACCAGTAACAGGATCATAGGTCCCGTCAGTGACCAATAACGGGAACTTAATGGTCGATGGATGGCCAATAACATCCTTTTTAAAACATCACCAAAGCTTAACTGCGGTAACCAAACCGCCTGCTCAACTTGACAACTACTGGAAAAACCCTCCAATAGTGGGAGGCCTATGTTCAGCAGTGGATAGTTACCAGGTGATATGTTGATTTTTTTTATACTACAAAGCCGGTAAACAAGCATACAGCCCGTCTGATTGTGAACGGTCACTGTAGCCTATAGACGCCTGCAATACTAGGTGTGTCACGTGCGCGTTGCCAACCTAGAAGAAAGCTTAATACGCCCTTTTTGAAGAAATGATAAGATGACATTTTTATTAGAATAATAAAATAATAAATTAATTAATTAATAAATATAATACTTAAATAATTATTTATTTTTTTATTTTTCTACATTTGATGTAGAAAAATCCCTTGCCACGATGTTCAAGTTAATCTCGAGCTATATGCATAAAAATGTATATAAATTTACAGGGTACAGAGGAATAACACCTGAGTTCTCAGGAATGACAACGCATGAAGAGTATCATGAGTTACACAGTATACTTTGATATGTCCTTAGCATTGTTCATGTTTACAGGCTACAATTACCACTCTATCAGGTGGACCGTCAGCTTGTTTGCCATTCTAAATGGCAAAATAAGACTTCAGACATTTCACTACATTTTCTTTTTCGTATAAATGTAAAATACAACCCTATTTCAAGTATATAAGTAATGCTTACCGTTAAAGTCAATTATACATCTTTAGGTAGATTGTAAAAAAGAGGTTGTACACGGCCATAGACCTACAGCTCAATTAAATAGAGAAATAAAATGACTTGTGTCTTGTCACTAAAATAATCGTTGTAACATTGTACGTAATAAAATATTTAAATATTAAATAACATTATTGGTCTCCTGTAACATTCCACATCCATCAGGTTATGGGCCAGCAACGCACAGATGGCGAATACAAAAAATCAAGTTGGATTTGAACATCTTAATAAAACAAATTATGATACATGGAAAATACAAGCAGAAGCTGTACTCATAAAAGCAGGACTTTTTACATGTTTATCATCAACCGATATTAATGCAGAAAAAGATTTATTGGCCAAAGCCGAACTGCTATTAATAATTTCGCCGTCCCAACTTAAATTAGTAAAATCATGCAAAACAGCAAAAGACGTATGGGAGACCCTTAAAAACGCCTACGAAAGTCGTGGACCTGCACGAAAAGCAACATTATTAAAAAAGTTACTACACAAAAAAATGAAACATGATGAATCCGCCAGAGATCACATAAATGAATTCATTGACTTTGTGGATAAATTAAAAGACATGGACATCAGCATCAATGAAGACCTCCTGAGCATAATGTTACTATACAGTTTGCCAGATTCCTACGAGAACTTCAGAGTGGCTATCGAGTCTCGTGATAAACTTCCGTACCTCGAAGAACTCAAAACAAAAATTATTGAAGAAAGTGAAGCTCGTTTAAATAAAAATCTGGAAAAGGAGGAAGAAGAAGAAGCATTTTATGGAGGGAAACATAACCAAAAATCTTATCGATTTCAAAAATTCAAAAATAAGAATTCAAATGGAAATAGAATACAATGTGACAACTGTCATAAATTTGGACACAAAACAAGTGATTGTTGGTTTAACAAAAATGTAAGAAATAAAAATGTAAATTTATATTGCACTGAATCTTGTTATACTATAGAAAATAAAAATGATAATAAATGGTGCATTGATAGTGGGTGCACATCCCACATGTGCAATGATAAAACTCTTTTCGTGTTCATAAATAAAGAAGAAAATGGAACACTAAAGTTAGCCTCAAATAAAACAGAAAAGATAGAAGGCAAAGGGTTAGTAAAGATAAAAATTAAACATGAAACAGTAAATTTACACAATACCTTATATATTCCAGAGTTATCAACTAATTTGATATCCGTAGCACGAATTACTGAAAATGGTTTTAACGTATTATTTACAAAAAATAATGCAATTATTAAAAATCCAAATGGAAAACCAATAATTACAGCAAGGAAGGAAGATAAACTTTATTATGTGAATGCAAATTTAAGCACAAAAGAAAAAGCAAAACAAGTCTATAAAAAAGAATCAGATATAGACATATGGCACAAAAAACTAGGACATTTAAATGAATATGACTTAAAACGAGCTATGAGAAATAATATAATAAAAGGCATTGATTTTAATGAGAATGACAAATTAAATGAATGTGAAAGTTGCGTAAAAGGAAAAATGACGAATTTACCTTTTCCGAAGGAAAGGCCTGAAGAAACAAAAGCTCCTCAAAAACTACATACAATACACTCAGATGTGTGTGGTCCAATGCCCGTAAATAGTAACGGAGATCACAGATACTTCGTCACCTTTACGGATGAATACAGCAGATATGGCAGAGTCTATTTTCTGAAAAATAAAAATGAAGTTTTAGGAAAGTTTATAGAATATAAAAAGGAAATGGAAAGATATACAGGAAATAAAATAAAAATCTTGCAGACAGATAACGGAAAGGAATATGTTAATAATGAATTCAACACGTACTTAAAGGAAAATGGCATAGCTCGACGCTTATCAGCTCCTTATACGCCCCAACATAATGGGTTAGCTGAACGGAGAAATAGAACTCTCTTGGAAAAAGCTCGATGCATGTTAATCGAATCAAAAATACCAGAAAGTTTTTGGGCCGAAGCTATACACACGGCGAATTATATAACGAATAGAGTACCTTCCAAGGCCACAAATGGAAAAACACCTTTCGAGATATGGGTTGGTTACACTCCATCAGTGAGACATTTCAGATGTTTTGGAGTAAAAGCTTTTGTATTAAATAAAAGAAATTTAAGAAAATTTTCACCCAGAGCCAAGAAAGGATTTTTTGTCGGCTACTCCGAAAATACAAAAGGCTACAGAATATGGGTTTCAGAATTAAAAAGAGTCGTTATAAGTAGAGATGTAAAATTCTTAAAAGATTTATATTACAAAGAAATAAAAACAAATGAAAACGAAGAAGGTATTAAGTCGTATATACAATTAAATTCAGAACAAATAGATACGAAGCAAATAGATGAACAAATTCAACCTATAGTTTCTGATCAAAATGATGACGATAATACCACAAATGAAGAACCCATAACGCTAACTGAGGAAGAAGATAATCTTAGTAATATAGAACCCAGAACGTCACAACATGAAAGACCACAAAGAGATAAAAAGAGACCAGCATGGTTGAAAGACTACAAAGTAGAAAATGATACAGATGAGAGCATGCACGTGACAGAAATGGCTTACCTTGGTGAACACGATGAAAATGATGCAGGCTGGCACGATGCTATTAAAGCTGAAATAAAAGCACACATTAAAAACGGAACGTGGACAATAGCAAAGAAAGAAAAAGGTATCAATGAAGTAGATTACAAAATGATATTAAGAATAAAAACGAAAGCAGGTAACACTGAAATAAAGAAGGCTAGGTTAGTGGCGCGGGGATTCACACAGCAACCTGGTGTAGATTATACTGAAACATTTGCCCCCGTTGTGAAACTAAGTTCTGTTAGATCAGTCATTAGTTCAGCCATAGAGGATAATCTAAAATTAGATCAAATGGATGTCACTACAGCGTATCTTAATGGAGAGCTAGAAGAAAATATACAAATGAAAATGCCTCCTTACTTAGAAAAATATGTAATGGAAATTATGGTTGACGAAAGTAGTCAAAATGATTTAACATTCTTCAATAAGGCTAAACGGATGCTAGAAGATATTAGAAATATTAAAGAAGAAAAAGTTTGCAAGCTTCAAAAGGCTTTATACGGATTAAAACAATCCGGACGTCAATGGTATAAAAAATTAGATGCAGAATTAAAAGATATAGGTTTTAAATCATGTAATGCAGATCCTTGCATATACCTATTGAAGAAAGGAGGAGATAAAATAATAATAACAGTCTATGTTGACGATTTAATTATAGCATATTCAAGTTCAGAAATTTTAAAAGAAGTAAAGAAAGCACTAGAGAGAAAGTTCGAAATGAAAGACATCGGAGAGTTGAAATACTGTTTAGGTATAGAATTTAAACAGGATAAAGGAAAAATTACTATGAGTCAAAAGAAATACATTAAAGATATCCTTAAGAAATTCTCCATGCAAGATGCAAAACCTGTGGCCACTCCTATGGAGACAGCATTAAAATTAAAGAAAGAAGAACATCCAGATTCGAACTTACCCTATAGAAACTTGATTGGAGCCCTCATGTACCTGTCAGTTGCCACGCGACCAGACATAGCTCATGCTGTTAGCTATCTTGGTCAATTCAATGCGTATTATGGAAAAGAACACTGGGCAGCTGCAAAGCGCGTAATTAGATACTTAAAAGGTACAATAGATTTAAAATTAACATTCCACAAGAATGGAGATAAAATTTTAAAGGGTTACGCAGATGCCGACTGGGCATCGTGTCCATTAGATAGACGGTCATATACCGGCCATTGTTTTATAAAGAACGGTGCGGCCATAAGTTGGGAGTCAAGAAAACAAAGGACTGTAGCACTCTCAACGGCGGAAGCCGAGTACATGTCTTTGAGCGAATGTACAAAAGAGGCTGTTCATTTGAAAAATATTCTGACTAATTTGGGTTACTTCAAACAAAAAGGAATTACTATTCACAACGACAATCAAGCCGCACAACAGTTAGCAATGAACCCTATTATTAGCGCCAAATCCAAACATATCGATATCCGCCAACATTTTATAAGAGATATGGTGCAACAAAATGTGGTGCAACTTTCATACCTAGGAACAGGGAATATGATAGCGGACATCTTTACAAAAGCTTTGCCTCGTCCTAAATATGAATACTGTCGCCAGGAGCTGGGACTCCTACAGTAGGTAGATACTATGCCGTGAGGAGGAGTGTAAGAAAGAAGTTGTACACGGCCATAGACCTACAGCTCAATTAAATAGAGAAATAAAATGACTTGTGTCTTGTCACTAAAATAATCGTTGTAACATTGTACGTAATAAAATATTTAAATATTAAATAACATTATTGGTCTCCTGTAACATTCCACATCCATCATAGATATATATTACCATATTATACTGAATTCGTAAATATTAAATGGGTTATATTAATACTATAGTTAAGCGCTTACAAATTTAACAAAGTAACTGGCATTCGATAGGTAGTTCAAGTTTACACAGCTGTGCTGTACAACAAAGGAGTCATGAAAAATAATACTCGTAAGCCTTTGAAAAAGTCAGCATCATGCGTTTCAATTGACGTAACACGATTTTTTAACAAAATAAACAAAATATTTTTGTGTTACGGTGTACCAATTATATGGATACATCACTTTAATTTGTCGAAAATAATGACCAATCTGTGTGACCTATATAGAATTATAAGCAACATTGTAATCTTAATGTTTGTTGCAATGGAATGGGGTGCGTTTTTTACACAAAATAATTTGACGGATAAACAAAGAATAGACAGATTAATATTCAATTTCACCCACCCCTACCTGCTTACATATATCCTGAATATCGAATGTTATAAAGAAAAGAGTAAACTGCTTCTTTATACAATGATGGTTACATTGAAAAAAGTATACAATGACGTGGAAGTTGAGAAGAAACTGATAAAAAAGTGTTCTTTCTTCTCTACATCGTTTTTTATTGCCGTAGCAGTATCAGCTTTGTTTTTTGGCATCGATGCGTATTGGCAAGTGATTACGACAGGTTTGTTAAAAATATTAACTAAAGTGGCTATGGGCTGGTCACATAGTCACTTTAATACCTTTTTTATATATTTATCACCTATGAAGAATAAAGGTTCTTGAGCGGCGACCCCGTACGGGCAAATCTAAGATGACTCTCCCCTCCCCCTTACTAGATTGAGCGACCACCTCAAATGCCTTGCAAGGAGTCAGTGGATGTAGGTTGCTCTGGAGCATTCTTTATGACAGTCTATGGGGAGGACTATGTCAAGCAGTGGATGGATAATCGTTGTATTGATGATGACAACGAAAACCGAATTAACTACAATCAAGATAATTAACAAATGTGCAAAATCACAAGCTAAACGTCATTAAAGTGACTGATTTATTAATTTGCGATTTTTTTTATATAAGTGATGACTATAATTTCTTATATTATGACAGTAAATTATGAGAGGGTTGACTTTTTATGAATAAGGGAAGTAATACAGATGTACTTTTTAGGTTCAACATTCATCAAGCCATTGACAGCGTGGCCGGATCTTGAGGACAGATCCACAGTAGCTAATATGGTCAGAATTATCAACTATATGATTCTGTTTATGTTACTGACCAGGGTGTCAGGGGTGTATGTGACGGTTGTGCTGTTCCTTGTCTGCCTCAGCCATCAGTATACTAATCTTAATAGATACTTCTTTAATCTTAGAAATATATTTGGCGAGAATTTGAGTCAAATGGAAAAAGAAAAGAAATATGAGGAAGCTTTAACAATTGGCATCGAACTGCATTCACAGACCATGTGGTGAGTAAAATTGTGCTGAGATAATTTCTCATGTTCCCTTAACCTGTACTAGTAGTGAAAGTGAACCTTTCTCAAAGGAAAATAGATCGAAAAGAACAAGAACCTTTCAATATCCCATATTAAGGTAGCATGTCCAGATTAATATATATAGATAGAGAAATAATTTATTTATACTTAAGTACACAAGTAACAAACACAGATAAACAATGATAGGAGAAAGAAAACATAAAAAAAAAAACAAAAAAAGGTCATAGATTATTTCTTTTTTTTTTTAAGACAAAATGGTCTTTTAACACAAAATGGAATGCTAATGATTTTAATATCACTTATGATAAATATCAACAATACTGGGTCTATCTTTTTTTATAGTTTTTTTTTCTTTTTCAGGTGTACAAGGCAATGCGAGTCGATTTTCAATGCTATTTTCAGTTTTCAAATAATATTAAATGTGATGCTGATTGTTTTGCTAATGTTGCAAATGATGGTAAAATGGCTATAATTTTTAACCGACTTCAAAAGAAGGAGGTTTTCAATTCGGCTGTATTTTTTTATGTTTATTATTTCATAATCCGTTTGTAAACCGTATTATTATTATTTTTTTTATCTGAAAGGATAACTTACAAATTGACTCCATAAAAATTTTATTAAAATCGATTCCGTAGCTTAGTTTTGAAATCAAAATAAGTGATTTTACCAAAATTCAGTCGGTTTTTTTTTGCGAATTACAATTTTAATTATTATTCGATTAAGATAGTCAAAATATTAAAAAAAAAAAAAAAATAACTCGTACAAATCGCACGTTCTTGTGATCAATTGGTTGTTACAATTTTTTTTTATTCCTGTTTATTCCAATTATTTTATTAATTTTAAATTTGTAAAATTTCCCCATAGAGTCCAGGCAGTAGTTTGGTGACGGCTATCCCCCTCGTGTCGACCGGAGTCTCCCTGATGTACGGCACAGGATTTTTCATGTGGAACGCGGGAGACATTACTGTCGAGGAAAGTACATATTGTATATATTTTCAATCGCTTTACAAATGGCCTACACCTCATATTATTATACGACAATATTTGTATATGCTTTTTCCCCCGAAGTTTGTTTTTAATGGATGACTACGAAGTGGTAACCTCGCCTGCGCCAACTGTATACGCTGATGGGACACCAATGAGGGATGATAAGTGAGAATCAAAAGGTGGGTCAGTTAGCCCATCGTGATGAATACACGTGGAGTTCAACGCGATGTTTTCGAGGTGGGACCACGTGGAGGTCGACCTGATAGGGTATATTGCTAGCAATATGACTGGTAGTCCACATTACTACTAGTATATAGCATGAAGGTAAAGAAAGAAAGGAAATTGTTGGTTTATATATTTTGCTTTTTGTTTTGTTTTGTTGCTTTTTTGTTTTTCATTCTTTTATCTCTTTTACTGTGTATTATGTGTATGTTTTTTTTTATTGTAATTTGTGTGCTGTAAGTAATGTAAATAAATTATCTATCTATCTATCTATATTATTTGTGATATAACTAACAAACCCTTATAATGGAATTATAATGGAATGGTGCACCCGCTTATGTTATCAGTCTACAATAGCTGAGCATCAGTGGAGGATGAAATGATGAGGATGAAGTAAGATATAGATGGGGACTAGTGTCAGCTACAATTAATAGTTATACAGCTACAATATTTTTTTTTAATTGATGATGATGGTATGTTATCCCCGCCTGCGCTAACGGTGTACGCTGCCGGGGCACCAGTGAGGGATGATAGGTGAGATAGAAAAGGCAGGTCAGTTAGCCTATCGTGATGAATTCATCAACAACTAACCACGATAGATTCCAGGGAGAACCGCGTGGAGGTCGACCTGTTAGGGTATATTGCTAGAAATGTATCTGTTAGGTTTTATTACTAACAATCCCTTTCCCCCTTCTACTTTATAAGTATGAGTTGCTATATTTTTTTGCAGGCGTCCCAGGTGGCGACGGCCCTGTACTGCTCGGGCTGGGAGAACTGTCATATATCCACGCTGCGCATACGGCACCTGTTGCTCATGACTATCAGGCAGGCGCAGGTAATCAATGTTTTTTTTTTATGGGTGAAAATGGTATGGTAACCCCGCCTGCGTTAACGGGATACGCTGGCGGAGCACCAGTGAAGGATGATAGATGAGAATAAAAACAGGCCAATTAGCCCATCATGATTAATTCATCAGGAATAGGTAATCAATGTTGGCAACGCACGAAGGGTAGCAAGGGCGTCACAGTGTATTCTGCGATATCTCTAGCGGTATTCATGTTTATAAGAGAAATACAGTAAATAGAAAATTGGAAAATTTACTCAGTTATTCACTATAATTTTTCGTCTTTGTTTGTCTAATTTTTGCAAAAACATAATTGACAGACATATTCACCAGAGGGAGACTTTGTACAAAAGTCGATTGCTTGGGTACCTCTGTCCCATTCGTGTTTCAACCGTGAAGCAGTTGTGTTTGCATGGCTGTGTTTCGGTTTGAAGGGTGGGATATGGCGTGAATTTACTGTGTACAGAGGAATAACACCTGAGTCCTCAGGAATGGCAACGCATGGGGGGGTATCATGGGCGAAACAGTATACTCTGTTATGTGCATGGTACTGCTCATGTCTATAGGCGACGGTTACCACTTTCCATCAGGTGGGCCGTCAGCTTGTTTGCCATTCTAAGTTGTATAAAAAAAAAATCAAAAAATATTTTACTTTTTAATTGTTTTCATCAAAGAATAAAATATTATTTCAGAAACCGGAGATTATAAAGGCTTTTGGTTTAATACCGTTGTCGTATGAATCATATGTGTCGGTAAGTAATGCTTCATATATCCATAAGTATATACTTTAATTCTTCATAACTTAAATGCGAATTACGTGTACATAGAAATAACATATTACCTATTTGATTTCATTCCATAACTATTTACATACACTTCATATTATTATTACTAATTAATTAATATAAATGCAATAATAATAGTAATTGTATATAGTAAAGGTAAGTATAAGGCTGGACGTGTGGTCCAGCATAGAATATGCCACAGCTACCGTTTCCGGTAAGGGAAGGCGAGGGATGAGCAGCAGCGTCCCTCTTAAAACATCTCTAACGCTTAATTGTAGTTGCCAATCCGCCTGCCAAGCGTGGTAACTATTGACAACACCCATGGCAACCCCACCTGCGCTATCGGTATACGTTTTTGGGGTACCAGTAAGGGATGATAGGTGACGATGGAAGTAGGTCCGTTAACCTATCGTGACGAATTCCACTAGAATTAACCACGATATTTTCCAGGTGGAAACCGTGTGAAGGTCGACCCGATAGGCATTGTTAGTAATGGAGAAATTAGACCCCATTACTAACAATTTTTTCGCCCCTCTATTTTATATTGTGATTTTTCTTTGAGATATCCATACATATATATCTGTCACGCCTGTCTCCCGTTAGGGTAGGCAGAAAAAATGGTTTTTGAGATATTTTTAGCGTTTTTGTTTTTCACTTTCAGATCGTCAAAGCACCGTACACAATATTTTCAGTGATACATTAAGGAGTCAACATTGATCTTTAATTATTATTATAAATATTTAAAATACTTTTAAATTAGATATTAGATTATATTATGGTATAAGTAGAGTATAAAATATATTTACCCAAATAAACCAGCTTACTTGTTATGTTGTGCCTGTTATTTGATTGAACATCAACTTCTGTGTTCCTATTAATGTCGTTGTAAATATTATTCTTAGGTTATAAAGTACATTATACTCAATCTATGGTATTATTATTATCATAGATCATTACAATAAGTACTGTTACTTATAAATGATAAGGGGACGTCACTAATTACGGGAAGGTTTTTTTTTGTGCGCTCCCTCTCTCTTGGTTATATCCCGTCTGTTTTCACATCATACTGTAAACTTTAAATAAATGAAATCTATTTTGCTTAATTTCCATGTTTTGTTCATATCATGTTTAAAAAAACTAAAAATCAATATGAGATTTATACTGAATTCCTTCCCTAAATGAGAATTGGTGAGATTTGTCAATTTAAAGAGAAAAAAGTCTTTGTATTATTTGAGTTGTGAGGAAATTGCTAATAATAAAATTTAGTAACTATTGCGAACAATATATCGACAGATCGACCTCCTTGCCGTTTCCCTTGACAATTATAATTTTTAGAAAGCAAACGGGAAATTGTAAATATTAAATATTATGCAGGTATAAAAGGTTTAAAGCAGTTTAACATTCAGGTTCATAGGTGTAAAACATAGGTACTTAACTAATATGTAGTGCAGTGTAGTGTAGTACGATTGAGTGCATTACATTAGTGGATAGAAGATTATATCAATGTCAAATAGTAGTTACTTAATAAATAATTTGTGTTTTATTTAATTAATAAATATTAAATTAAAATAAATTATTATGACTATACAAAAGCAATATAAATTTAAAGAAATTTATTAATTGATAACAGATTACCCTTAGAGATTACCTCAGTAATCTTTGAATTACCCATACTAATCTGTGGAAAAGTGTTTACTCTATGGGTTGTCACTACACAATGTCATATATAGCTATTGCTGTTATTGTCAATTTGACATTTATGTAAATAAAAAGATTCTAAGTTTATCGAGATTTGTTAAGAAATATTTTATTTATTTTATTAGTAAATTATAAAAAATTTCTCCAGCAAACGATTCGTTGCCTATTAGTTTATCAACCAATTATTCAAAGTTTTATACTACTTAACATTACAATTATTATGGTTGAGGTTATAGTGTTGACAGCAAAAACTTTATACTTAATTAGACAAATTTTTAATTATAAATTTATTTCAAATAAAATTATAAGTGTTTAAATAATAATGCGGACTTATACTCGTAAACGACCGGAGTATCAAGTAATAGAAGGCGTGGAGAATCTTTGCAGACTGTGCCTGGCAAAACCTGAGGAAGCAATACCAATATTCACTGATCAAACGGATGTGTGTGCAACGTTGCCTATGAGGATTATGATATGCGTTGGACTGGAGGTAATAAAAATCAAATACTGTTTCGAAAAATGTAATCAATATTCTGGGAGACATACAGTAAAGGATTTATTTAAAAACTGTTCTTATGATTTCTTAATTTTTTTATACAACTTAGAATGGCAAACAACCTGATGGAAAGTGGTAACCGTCGCCTATAGACATGAGCAGTACCATGGACATAACAGAGTATACTGTTTCACCCATGATGACCCCCATGCGTTGCCATTCCTGTGGACTCAGGTGTTATTTCTCTGTACCCAGTAAATTTACGCCATATCCCACCCTTCAAACCGAAACACAGTCATGCAAACACAGCTGCTTCACGGTTGAAACACGAATGGGACGTTACGTGAGATGGTGTTTGATGTCAAGTGTTTTAGTAATATATATATATTTGATATATTAAAATAACAGTGGGGTAACAGATAATATATTTACACTAGTTACTCCTGGGGTAATTAGTTACATTGAACTATTTTTAATTTGCAGATGGTACGTGAAAACTGTCTTCCAAACCAGATATGTAAAGAATGTTATAAAGATTTAGAAAGCTATTACAGTTTTAGGAAAAAATGTGAAGTCACTTATCAGAAACTTAAATCTCATGTATTAGCAGTCAAAGAAAGGGAGTTTAAAAGAAAAGCAGTCGAACAAAAGAATAATGATAATAATAAATTAATAATGAAAAAAGAAAACGAGACCATAAAAAATGCAGAAGTGGAAGGACAACATTTAGTATTGATGTTCAATGAAGAGAATCAACTGCAAGTGGTGAATGTAGCTGATTTAAATGGTGTCTTTCAAGTTAGTGACAATAATGATAGTCAGGTAATTTTTTTATTTTATATTAATAATCCTCTTAAGTTAATTATTTATTTATGATTACTTATCTAATAAATAAGTTGTATGCTTTAAATGTAATGTAATTAATGTAATGTTGTATGTAATGTAATTACATATTTGCAGAAATCTACACATGTTACAAATACTAATGTCATTGATAGGGAAGCTGAAGAAGAAGTTGAGGTTCAGGTAGGCATTGTTTATATGGTATATGCATTTACAGTAAATTCCCCTATAACAGAGTAGATTTCGTCTGCATTATAGGAGTATTTTCATATAACACCCTCGTACGAGCCCATTTCTACATGGTATGTACAAATAAGTCATGTTTCACGTTAAAGGGGGTTTAAATCAAATATTCAGAAAAAATTGTGTTATGAATGAAATATGTGTGTATTATTAGAATTAAACTAAGAACATTTTAAATAAAAAAGTTATGCATATGTAACTAAAAAACAGTTAATTTCAAATAAATTTACTGTTTTATAACATGTTTATTTCCTGTCAGAGTTATCGGAAATAACCTTCCAGGGATTTTTTTTTAATACCCATGTTATAGGGGGATTACTATATTACTAATTTGTCAGTTAACATATGATTGCCATTTTGTTCAACAATGGTACAATTCTATTTTTACACATAAGAAGCAGTTCCTATGTCCTGTATAATAATTGTTATTTTTCAGTCCTGCAATATATGTTTTAGATGCAAGATGTGTCTACAACCAATGCACAGTTGTCCACAGTTCAAATAGAAGCTGAGAGTACAGATATGCCTACATTGTTTTCCACAATACTGTTTGAATTAGGAATATTGAGCCAACACAAAGGCAACTTGATTGTAAATCAAGATGTCAGTACAATTGAATTAGAAGGTGGAGATGGGAGTTGTATCACATTAGAATTGGTTGAGGAAGATGAGGTAATTGATCATAGAATATTAAATAAATATATGTATACTTTTTAATTCATGTTTAACCTTGAGTTTCGTAGAGTGCTTGCAGTTGCTTTTTTTGTATAAATAGTCTGTATCTTGTATAAATAGATTCTTTTTATACTTTTCTAGGAAGAAGTTATTGAAAGTCCACCAGCAGAACCCGAAAATAATAATGCAGTCGAAGCAGATGTAGTAAAGCAAAAAAAAAATAATATGAAATTCTCATATCCAATTGATAAGGACATTAAAAAGGCAAAAGAGTAAGATATGATCAAATTTTTTGTTTTTATTTTTGTCTAATTACAGTAATAAAGTTAATAGTTGAAAAATAATTTGATGCTGAATTCATTAAAAAAAAGTTTCAACAGTATGCATATTAATTAATTGTATGAATTCAATAGCACCATTATTAAAATGACAAGATTGTGGGCTTATAATATAACGCTTAATCTGTGTCGGTGCTACTTGGTTACTGAATACAACGAACGAAAGATTCTATTTTGCAGCGTATTCTCTACGCTGCTCTTTGGTTTATAAGTACTCTGGTCTGAGTCCGGGTAACATCTGTCTGTTTTAAAACATAATGTGCGGTTACAGCACGAGGTGCGAGGTGTGCGGAAAGCGGTTCTCGACGCGCAGCGTGCTGGCGCGGCACGGGCGCGTGCACTCGGGCGAGCGGCCCTTCGCGTGCCGCACCTGCGGCCGAGCCTTCGCGCAGCGCGCCGTGCTCACGCGGCACGAGCTCGTGCACGCCGGTACGTACTGCAGCCCTCGCCCTCGCCCTCGCCCTGCGGCTGCTTCCACATACAAAACATTGCTTACATTCTTAAAGAGGGCAGAGGAGCAAGTCAATGTACTTTCGTCTTTGAAACGTGTACGGCTACTGTGGGCTGACGCTGTGCCTGGTTGCCGCAGAGAGCCGGCCGTTCAAGTGCTCGCAGTGCTCGAAGAGCTTCACGCAGCGCGGCGCGCTCGCCACGCACGCGCGCTCGCACGCGCCGCCCGCCGCGCGCCCGCTCGCGCTGCACCGCTGCCCGCGCTGCCCCAAGGTGTTCCTGTACGCGTCCGGTGAGTACCGCCCCGCCCCCCGCGCTGCCCGCTCGCGCTGCCCCAAGCTGTTCCTGTACGCGTCCGGTGAGTACCGCCCCGCCCCGCCCCGCTCGCGCTGCACCGCTGCCCGCGCTGCCCCAAGGTGTTCCTGTACGCGTCCGGTGAGTACCGCCCCGCCCCGCCCCGCTCGCGCTGCACCGCTGCCCGCGCTGCCCCACGCTGTTCCTGTACGCGTCCGGTGAGTACCGCCCCGCCCCGCCCCGCTCGCGCTGCACCGCTGCCCGCGCTGCCCCAAGGTGTTCCTGTACGCGTCCGGTGAGTACCGCCCCGCCCCGCCCCGCTCGCGCTGCACCGCTGCCCGCGCTGCCCCAAGGTGTTCCTGTACGCGTCCGGTGAGTACCGCCCCGCCCCGCCCCGCTCGCGCTGCACCGCTGCCCGCGCTGCCCCAAGCTGTTCCTGTACGCGTCCGGTGAGTACCGCCCCGCCCCGCCCCGCTCGCGCTGCACCGCTGCCCGCGCTGCCCCAAGGTGTTCCTGTACGCGTCCGGTGAGTACCGCCCCGCCCCGCCCCGCCGCGCTGCACCGCTGCCCGCGCCCTGTTCCGCTACCGCCCCGCCCCGCCCCGCTCGCGCTGCACCGCGCTGCACCGCGGTGAGTACCGCCCCGCCCCGCCCCGCTCGCGCCGCAACGCTGCCGGCCCCCAAGCTGTTCCTGTACGCGTCCGGTGAGTACCGCCCCGCCCCGCCCCGCTCGCGCTGCACCGCTGCCCGCGCTGCCCCAAGCTGTTCCTGTACGCGTCCGGTGAGTACCGCCCCGCCCCGCCCCGCTCGCGCTGCACCGCTGCCCGCGCTGCCCCAAGCTGTTCCTGTACGCGTCCGGTGAGTACCGCCCCGCCCCGCCCCGCTCGCGCTGCACCGCTGCCCGCGCTGCCCCAAGGTGTTCCTGTACGCGTCCGGTGAGTACCGCCCCGCCCCGCCCCGCTCGCGCTGCACCGCTGCCCGCGCTGCCCCAAGGTGTTCCTGTACGCGTCCGGTGAGTACCGCCCCGCCCCGCCCCGCTCGCGCTGCCCCAAGGTGTTCCTGTACGCGTCCGGTGAGTACCGCCCCGCCCCGCCCGCTCGCGCTGCCCCAAGGTGTTCCTGTACGCGTCCGGTGAGTACCGCCCCGCCCCGCCCCGCTCGCGCTGCACCGCTGCCCGCGCTGCCCCAAGGTGTTCCTGTACGCGTCCGGTGAGTACCGCCCCGCCCCGCCCCGCTCGCGCTGCACCGCTGCCCTCGCTGCCCCAAGGTGTTCCTGTACGCGTCCGGTGAGTACCGCCCCGCCCCCCGCGCTGCCCGCTCGCGCTGCCCCAAGGTGTTCCTGTACGCGTCCGGTGAGTACCGCCCCGCCCCGCCCCGCTCGCGCTGCACCGCTGCCCGCGCTGCCCCAAGGTGTTCCTGTACGCGTCCGGTGAGTACCGCCCCGCCCCGCCCCGCTCGCGCTGCACCGCTGCCCGCGCTGCCCCAAGGTGTTCCTGTACGCGTCCGGTGAGTACCGCCCCGCCCCGCCCCGCTCGCGCTGCACCGCTGCCCGCGCTGCCCCAAGGTGTTCCTGTACGCGTCCGGTGAGTACCGCCCCGCCCCGCCCCGCTCGCGCTGCACCGCTGCCCGCGCTGCCCCAAGGTGTTCCTGTACGCGTCCGTGAGTACCGCCCCGCCCCGTGAGTACCGCCCCGCCCCCGCTCGCGCTGCACCGCTGCCCGCGCTGCCCCAAGGTGTTCCTGTACGCGTCCGGTGAGTACCGCCCCGCCCCGCCCCGCTCGCGCTGCCCCAAGGTGTTCCTGTACGCGTCCGGTGAGTACCGCCCCGCCCCGCCCCGCTCGCGCTGCACCGCTGCCCGCGCTGCCCCAAGGTGTTCCTGTACGCGTCCGGTGAGTACCGCCCACACACGACATACGACATCACATAAGAAAGCTCTAAAATTAACATGTTTTTCTACTATATTATGCATGTTTTATACATATAAACCTTCCTCTTTAATCACTCTACCTATTAAAAAAACTGTATCAAAATCCGTTGCGTAGTTTCAAAGATCTAGGCATACATAGAAACAGATGAGAAGCAACTTTGTTCTATACTATGTGTAGTGATCATTAGAAAAGTCGCAACTATTTCTGATGAGCAAGTGTGTCGCGCAGGGCTGAGCCGGCACGTGGTGGTGGTGCACCAGGGGCGGCAGTACGTGTGCAACGTCTGCTGCCGCCACTTCCGCGACAAGAGCGCCCTCCTGCGGCACGTGCGCGCCGCCGCGCACGCCGGCCGCGCCGCCGCGCCTTCTAAGTGAGCGCGTCATCACTTCAACGGCAATGAAAATGTTCTCGAAATTTCGAACCCAATCAAGAAGAGAAATTTATTCATTCATTAAAATATGTATACAGGGCAAACTTTATGCCTAACGGTATTCTCTACCAGTCAACCGATACACTAATTAACTAGTGGTCTTTCGGTTATTGTAAGGTAGTAAACAAATAAAGTTTTGACTCTCCATTTTCAGACCCAAGTCTGAATTGAACATCTTTCATTGTTCTTACAATTCAGAGTACAATTTTGGAATTAGCTTTCGTGGTAGATCCATATTGTTTTACTGAAGCAGGTGTTATTTTGCGGAAGTCTATTTTACTTGTTACTTGGTTAGAATTAATTTGTTTAATTGCCCAACCATTAGTATGCGTGCACCATAATATGTAAATATATTTATAATTTCGTTTAGAAATGAATAAAGTGCCGCCAAACATGCGTGGACTGGATAACGGTCGGAGATTGATGGATAATATAGAACTTCTGATAATAATAATAGCAATTAATCTACGAGTGTTGACAGTCGCACGCAATATGCGTAATGTGAAATGGTAGCGGAATTAAACAAAATAATTCTAGACAACTATCAAGACTCATAGTGTTACCAATTCACCTGGCGATCTTATTTATTTTCAAAATAAACAATATATTACACATGTTTAACTTTCAAGATCTGTGTTAAACTATATTTGTTGAAACAATGAATTAAAATCGATTTTTATTAATTGTAGTGGAAACGAACTCAGTCTTTTTTTTAATATATTTTGACTGATATTGACTGCCTGCCTGTACAAAATTTGGTTTCAAGAATAATTGTATAAATCATTCCACTTATATATATATATATATAGAATGTATATATATATATATATATATATATATATATATATATATATATATATATATATATATATATATATATATATATATATATATATATTGTATATATATATATATATATATATATATATATATATATATATATATATATATATATATATATATATATATATATATATATACAACTTAGAATGGCAAACAAGCTGACGGCCCACCTGATGGAAAGTGGTAACCGTCGCCTATAGACATGAGCAGTACCATGAACATAACAGAGTATACTGTTTCGCCCATGATTACCCCTATGTGTTGCCATTCCTGAAGTCTCAGGTGTTATTCCTCTGTACCCAGTAAATTCACGCCATATCCCACCCTTCAAACCGAAACACAACCACGCAAACACAACTGCTTCACGGTTGAAACACGAATGGGACAGAGGTACCCAAGCAATCAACTTTTGTACAAAGTCTCCCTCTGGTAAATATATGTAATTTGTCGTGCTTCAGTATGAAAATTGGCAACATTACGACAAGAATTGTGAATCCTTTATTATTAGATTATATAGAAAGTGTCTCCATACAAATACTTTGTTAAAAATAGGTCAAATTTTATATCTATGCTGCGTGAATATAGTTACTGGACTGTCTGTCTGTATATTTGTTCCGGTATTACACAAAAACTACTAAAAAAATGATTGCGGTTATATTCCTGAAGGTATAAATTAAAGCCTGGTGTTTATATTAACTTGATATGCCATCTAGTCTATTTCATTGATTTACCTACTGAAATCCGCGCTTACGAAGTACCGGGCAATACATATTTATTACCAAGATATGGGAGAAAGTATCTTGTAAGATTAAATTGAAAAATAAAAATTACATAATACTTTGATTTATATCTGAGTGTGGACATAAAATATCATTTTTGTTTTTTAATAATTGAATATGACCAACATTTTAATTATTTTTTAAACCTAGGAACAAGGAGTAGTATAAAGAAGGGGTGATCAAAATGTCAATTCATAGCAGGCTAATGTATAGAAAATGTTATACGGCCGTATAATCCTACCAAATTCAGATACAACATGCTTGCATACTTTATACATAAACTGTGTCGAATATATAATCTAGTAATGTAAAATTTGTCATTGACAAATAATTGACATATCAAACATTTTCTATACACTAGCCTGTTACGAATTGAGAAAAATAGCAAATAATGGTATATCTTTCGTCCTCTTTTTACTAATTATAATTGCATAAGAATAAAGATACCTCCTTTCTTCCACCATATGATTTATAGTTTTTATTTTATCATTCCTATGTAATTCCTTGTTCTTAGGTTTAAACAGTATATTGATTTGTAAGCAATACGTACATTTATATCAGAAAAATATTTGTCATGTTTAATATAAAATTTTGGGAAAATATTAATCTAATTATTTGCAACACTGAAAGTTTTCAATAAAAAAAAAATACATGTCAGCTGATTTGACGTTTGGCGTACTAAAAGTTGATAAGTTTTTTATACTCGATACTCTTCTATACAATCTGAGTATGTATCATCTCATATCAAGTCAGTCGGTAATAATTACTCTGTGCTGATAATTATACTGAGTTCAGACATTAATTTATTTGTAAATTATATGACAGATGCAATATTTATGTGTAAGCAGTGGACCATATTTTATGAATAAAACCCATTTGATATTTAATTAAACGTTTTATTGAAAAAAAAATCATTTTCTAAATTGAAAGGCAACATGGTATTGTATAATTTTAGAAAATAATGACAAGACAAAAAGCTGAATGCTCTTAGTTCGGGCGATTGTTCGCGATGCTTCCACTGGCCGCGCTCGCGCCGACATTGAACGAATGCCGACGAGCGGTCAGTGGGTCGCGAACGAGCGCCGAACCGACCGGGGACATGCAACGGATGGCACTATGTTTAAAACAAAACACGACAAATGTTATTGTATTTTTTTTTTTTCAATTTTCAATTAAACCAAGTTAACGCCACCTCATTGTAATATGGAATGCCTTTTGTTCACTTACAAAATACAATTATACTCCTCCTAGTACGCATACAGTTATATACTTCGCATGTTATTTGGAAACTTGTTTAGAAAACAAACGGGGATAGGACACGTATGTAGGCCGACGTGGAACAATGTTAAAAATGTCTGCGGCATCGATCGTGCCGGCTACACGATATACACAATATGCTAAGTAACATAATATCAGTATTAATTTACACATCGATCATCTTACCAAGCTTTAACTTCTATATCTAAAATATAAATGATTATAAAAATAAATAAGGGGCGACGCGACGTCCCCTCCCTTTCACCTCACTTTACGTTCAGACAAGACACTTCGGACATTATGTTTATCGAATCATTTTATTTGTTCTCTTGAGCAACCACGTAATATTTAATTATCAACATTATGGGTGTCGGACACTATCGGCGAGTCGGCAGCCAGCAATGCTGCAGCGTCCGATCGGACACGGCACGACACGTACCGCTACAATAATAAACAGACAAAACGACCGAACCAATGTAAATGTTACTGGACAAACACGCAGCAACTCAACGACTCGAACCAAGTACATACCTACTCGAAGTTACAACGTGCAGTTAAACAATATAATCCCGAACACTTAAAAAATAAATATTAATAATAAAAACAAGTCCGTCGTGTGCCGATTTCAATGAATTATTTTATTATTATATGTATAAGTTATAGTAAGACATGATTCATCAACTATAATGTAGGATATATAGCACATTATGGTCTAAAATAAAATTACTATTAAGTAATAATCAATATGTACATTTATAGTCCCGACTGTGACGCCACGAGTCCGATGTCAGCGCCGCGCGGCAGGAACGTTACAAACCGACCATCAACTTTACACTAGCGTCAGATGCACACAGACCGACGGTAGTACAACTAAACAACACTACATCAACCAATAAAATTAACAACGCAGTCAAGTGTGAAGGGGAATGAAAACATTTTTTTTTTTGTTTTAATAGAATTAAAGTAGTTTTGGCACTTGATACCGAGTGAGGTCGGGTCGTGTGCATCGAACGTTTCCCACTATAGACTATAATTGCATAAATTATTCGCTCATCGGTCTCGAACGTTTGGAACGGGGAGCGCAGGCCCCGTGCGGCTGGAGGCCGGCGCTGGGGCCGCAGGTGGTAGTGCAGGGACGACGGCGGGCGCCGCGGCCGGTTACATGTTCTCGAACTGGTCGACGCGCCGCTTGGTGTTGCCCTTGCGTATTTCGCGCAGCGTCTTGTATTTGTCGCGGCCCTGGCGCACGTTCTCGCGGTGGATCTTGTCCATGGCCGTTTCTTTCGTTTCGTCCCGCGACTGCGCGAGGTCTTGTTTCAGTGCCTGCGGGTGTAGTTATTTGCATGTTAGTGATACAATTTTTTTTTAATGGATGAAATGGATTGGTAACCCTGAAAAATATTGAAATATAAATTGTTATTGGGTACTGCTAGATAATTGCAATTTTTTTAATAGGTGTTAATGGAATGGTAACCCTGTCTGCGCTATCGGTATACACTGGCGAGGCACCAGTGAGGAATGATAGATGAGGTTGAAATCAGGTCAGTCAGTTTAATGTGACGAATTCAACAAGTGTTAGTCATGATGGTTTTCAGGAGAAGCCACATGGAGGTCGATTTGATAGGGTATATTACTAGCAATAATAGGGCTGGCAAACTCCATTAGTAACAATTCCTCCCCCCCTCCTTGCGTAACGTTAGGATACTTCAGCTTTAGATTTTTTTATGCAGCTTAGAATAGCAAACAAGCTGAAGGCCTACCTAATGGAATGTGGTTACCCCGCCTGCGCTAACGGTATACCAGTGGGATTACCAGAGGGAGGCTTTGTACAAAAGTCGATTGCTTGGGTACCTTTGTTCCATTCGTGTTTCTACCGTGAAGCAGCTGTGTTTGCATGGCCGTGTTTCGGTTTGAAGGATGGGATATAGCGTGAATTTACAGGGTACAGAGGAATAACACCCGAGTCCTCAGGAATGGCAACGCATAGGGGGTATCATGGGCGAAACAGTACACTCTGTTATGTCCACGGTACTGCTCGTGTCTATAGGCGACGGTTACCACTTCCCATCCATCAGGTGGGCCGTCATCATGTTTGCCATTTGAAGTTGCATAAAAAAAGTGAGGGATGATAGGTGAAGATGAAGAGGCAGAGCCGGCCGGCGGCGCACCTTGAGCTGGTTGTGCAGGCGCTCGCTGCGCTGCGCCAGCGTGCGGCGGTCGGTGACGGGGTCGACCAGGTCGTCGGGCGCGCGCGCCAGCTCGCCGCCGCCCGCGTCCGACCCGCCGTCCGAGCCGTCCGCCTCCGCCTCCGCCTCCGCCTCCGCCTCCGCCGCGCCGCCCTCCGCCACGTGGTGGTGCTGCGGCGTCGTCGCCGCCGCCAGCGCCGCCGCCGCCTCGTCCTGCGCACACCACGCACACGTCACTACACACAACCACCTCCCAATCATATAGTGCATTACTGAACGAACGTGCTAATGTGGCCCGAGGCGCAGCCGAGACACACGTACGTGACTCCATCAATGCCTAGTTGTGGCCAAGGCTTGTATAGTACTTTTCTCAAACAATGCGCGGATATCAAAAACACAATTTTACTTTTAAAGTTCAATGACGAATAACGAACAATAATAGTTTTTCACGCGCCATAATGTTCCTTTGATTTTTTTTTTTTTCAATAAACAGCTTTCTATTTGCAAGCCAGTTCGAAATTTAAATAAAACCTTTTATTAGTTACCTCTTCGGTAGCCAAATTTCAAAGTAAAAGGTCATTCCATTTTTAAACTACAGGACAGATATGAGTTTACATAGTAATTTATCTGGCCGCAAAACACGACAGATATGGATTTTCATACAACTTTTGCTGGCCGCTGCCGCATGTATCTGGTTAGTACTGCAATTTTGATTTATCTCGAAGAATATTGTCAAAATAATGCTCACATTTCCAAGCATGTTTGAGAAAATAATTTATTTATTTATTAAATACAATAAAATTTGCCCGCACTAGGCGAATCTGTATCACGGGAATCCATAAGACATTACCAAGACACGGTGATTTACAAATATAAATTAGTAATAATAATCATTGTCTTGGTGTAATTGTTTCTTATAATTGTTTGTATCCATAATAATATAACCTTTTTAAAGAAAATAATACAAAGTCTATCTAAACGATACCAGTGATCCACCTCAGTCTGAGCTTAGACAGATAAAAATATTATGAAAATCTAAAACCCATCCCTTATCAATCCAGTTAATGTTCAAACGAATCCCTTGTTTTAAATATTTAAAACCGTTTTATAAAAAAATGTTCCGTAAATAACTTCAATCGAAAACACACACAAATCAAAGAATGTGTAAAGTTCTAAATTCAAATGTAAATATTTGATAATATAATGTATCTGAACATTGACCAATTTGTATTTTTCTTTTTTTATTTATCCACAATTACAAACAAAAAAAAATTTTTTTTAGGTCATTGACTTTTATTTAAGTTATACTAGTTAACAAACCATAAAATTCAATAACTTATACATAATACTACTACCGTAATTGTGATTGACGTTGGTTAAAAAGATTTTCATTTGTTCAACATAGTGATCATTGAAAATATAACATGGTGATCGAAAATGGCGGGAAACGTTAAACATGGCGGTATTCTGAAGAACGAAAGTAATATTTAAATATTTGACGCTGGCGGAAATGATCGTAAAAATTACCATTATAAACCATCCTATTACGATATATATATATATATATATATATATATATATATATATATATATATATATATATATATATATATATATATATATATATATATTATTAATAGACCATTGCCATTGGAGAAAAGAGAGAGCATTATATAAGGTGCGCACCTGCTTGCGGCGTGCCTCCTCGACCTCCTCCTGCAGGCGGCGCGTCTCCGAGTCCTTGATCTCGACCTCCTGCTGGATGCGCGACACCTCCTCCTGCTTGGTGCGGATCTCCTCCTCCAGCTTGGCGCGCTCCGCCGCTTCCATGTTCTGCACCACGCCACACCACACACCGATCAAACATTACTCAATACACACGATTCACTATCTTAACTATTGGGTACTGTATCAGCTTAAACCAAACATGGGCAATATGATAATATTTCAAGGGACATTACTGTCAATATCCAGTTTACAAGAACAAATAAAAAAAATAAGGTAGACTAATTTGTTTACGTTATATCAACTACATAGGGATTACACGAAATTTTTACAGTAATGAGAGAAAAAAAAAGTGAGTATTTGGAACCATAAATGTAATGTTTTTAAAATCTATTTTAAAATAAGAATAATTTTCATTTAAAAATAGAAAACTTTTAAAATAGAAAGCTTAACAATAGAAGAAATTTATTAAAAAACCAGAGGAACCGGTGAATTGCCTATCAATTACAATGAATACTATTAAAAATTTACTGTTCCCATTTAAAATTACTTATTTTTGATATTTCATGATTTTTTTTAGTTGAACTTTAGAATTTTTCAGTCTTTTTTTAACCACCCCTGTACAATGAATAAAAAAAAAAAAAAAATCGTTCAAGTTGTTTTTGAGATTCAGTGAGAATAACAATCAACAATTGATTTTTATAAATGAAATAATAAACTTATGTATTTAAAAAAAATATTACTTACTAATATTAAAAGTATAACATTTTATAAAAAACAAAGCTTGGATTTTACTCAATAGTGTTTAAATAACAAAAGAGATAAGAATGAAATTCGGTCAATGGTAGACAATTCCTTGGATTTTTGGATTTAGAAAAAAAAAAGGGCGATTAAAAAAGACCATGGATAGGTCACAGTGACACAGGTTTTTTTTGTCTGAAAAAGCCTATCTCTCAATAATAATAATGTCCTAGATTAATTGATGGACAAACAGGGCCGCAGTGTATCAATTTTAATATAAACACCATGACAGAAGCTGCCCTCACCTTGGTCTCCTCGAGGCGCTGCATCATCGCCTGCAACTCGTTCTGGCGCTGCTCGAGGTCCTCCTTGGCGGCCTGCAGCAGTCGCAGCTGCTCCTCCAGCCGCCGGATCATGTCTTGCGCCTCCATCAAGTTCGCCTGTACAACAAACATCCAACCATCAGCATCATTGGCACCGCGCGATAACTGTGTATTTATTGTATCAAAAAATAAAACAAAAAAAAGGTACTTTATTTATATAAGAATTCCCACAACCAAGATTCCTTCTCATTTCGGGCTGAGCAACTGTGGAACAAGCTACCTTCTAACATACTGGATAGTTCTTCCATTACTTCTTTCAAGATTGAAATCTCATCTTATAACTAATAATATGATGTGTTGTATATGTGTATATATTGTATGTATATATATATTATATGTTATTATATTATTAAGGTGTTACCAAAATTATCTGCATTCCCTTTAAAGGGATATAGTATTACACATATATGTTACGATGATAGAATTTTGTGTCTCAAATGTCATAAAAAAAATATCCTTAATAAATTGTAAATTTTTCATCCTTTGTAAAAATTTAGTCATTATTTAAAACATGCGGCGACCTGTGAGCGCTCCATCTCCTCTTGCATCTGCCGCAGCCTGTCCTCGTACTCCTGCTGCTTCTTCTCAGCGCGCTCGCGGGCCGCTATCTCCAGTTGCAACTTCTCTCTGTAATGTAATCAAATCATTTTTGAATTAGAATTTTGAAAATAATGCAATATGAAGATTTAATTTTTATTAGTATCCCTATGACATTTGTCCCTATGTTTATGACATTTCATTAACTTTCTGTTGCCCGACTGTTGCCGTCCATGATCATTCGCAACACCAGATGCACTGCAGGTGCTGCCTGTCTTTTAAAAAGATCAGAATGCTGATACCCCTCTGGCCAGACGGATTGGTATAGTATTTTGTATTTTGCACTGATGTATTGTGTTCTATTCTCCTAGTCGTTTTTTTGCAATATACTGAAATAAATATTTTAATCATCAAATGTGATACAACCAAGAATGTGTCAGGTCAACCTTCACATGGTCCCCTCTAGAAACCATCCTGCTGAATTCCAGGTGTATTCATCACAAGGGAATAACTGACCTGCCTTTTCATTCTCACCTGTCATCGCTCACTGGTGTCCCACCAGCATATACAATTAGCGCAGGCGAGATTACCATTCCATTATCTATACTTATAATAAATCTGTAGAGAGGTCAATTCTGTACATGAAATATATTTCCAAAATAACTATTAGGGAGTGATTATTGATCGATACTGATACCAAAAATGCAATTAGTAAAATTTTTGTCTGTCTGTATGTTCGTTATAGAAACAAAAAATACTCGACGGATTTTAACGAAACTTAATACAATTATTCTTCATACTCCTGGGCAGGTTATAGTATAATTTTCATCACGCTACGATCAATAGGAGCAGAGCAGTGAAGGGAAATGTTGGGAAAACGGGAGAGGTTCCTCCATTTTTAAGCTTCCGTCGCGTGTGCAGCCTTAATGGCCACTTTTTAAAATGTAAAAATGTCTACCCGTGCGATACCAGGACGGGCCGCTAGTCATATATAAAAAAGGATTGCCTTTTCATTCTCATCTATCATCCCTTACTGGTGTCCTGCCAGTGTATACTGTTACCGCGGTATACCGTTTAACGAAGTTGTTATTTCATTATCACGTATTAAAAAAAAAAAATGAAGCGGACTCACCTCTGCGCCTGCTTGGCGAGCTTCTCCTCGCGCGCCTGCGCCTTCATCTGCTGGACTTCGATCGTGTCCGGCTTGCGTCGGCGCATGTACAGCTCGTGGTTGCCCATGCACAGGGCCAAAATACGCTTGTTGATGCGCAGGCGGGGAGCGAAAAAGACGAAATCCGGCGCCTTCTTGTCGATCGGCTTGATAACAAATTTGCGATCATTGAACGAAATGTTGCGAATCTCCGACCAGGGGAATCCAATTTTGGGAGTCAGTCTGCAAAGATTATGCATATATATATATATATATATATATATATATATATATATATATATATATATATATATATATATATATATTTATATATATATAGAACAAGATGGAGTGATGACTTCAAATGCATTGTGGTGGCAGTGGATGCAGGTGTTTATGGATCGTTCTATGTGGTATTCTATGAGAGAGGCTTATATTCAAAAGTGGTCAGAAAATGGCTGATAAGATGATGATATAGTACTAGCTTTTACACGCGACTTTGTCCGTAACCGGGATATATGTATATCCCGAAGTCTCGTTTATGCTGCTATGCATTACAAATCCAAGGGTAGTACAGAGAAAGCACTAGGCGAATTATAATATTATTAAGAATTTATTCATCACCTTTCAGCCATTATCGCAATCACCAGGGGTTGGCGCATTAAATTTTCACCTAACTTCATTATTCATATTATACAAGGTTTTGGTTTTTGATTTTACGACTGGCAGCCTGCAGAAGACTGCCAGTCGTAAAACAGGCAGCAGTGCTCCTTTTAAAACATCACCAAAGGCTAAATCCACCTGAAAAGCGAGGCAACTACTGTCAAAACCCCCCATATAACGAAGGCTATGTAGACCTAACAAGTTAACAGTTCATAAAACAAAAAGTGAGGGGGGAAAGGTTAGAAATAGTATTAAAGTTGTATTAGTATTAAATTGTATTAGTTTTTACCCGTGACTTTGTCTTCATGACTGAACGAGATAAGTCAAGTCAAACGTCCCCTGGGGGGGAAAGGGATTGTTAGTAATGGAGACTGAGAATTCCATTGCTAGCAATATACCTAACCAGGTCGATCTCCTCGCGGTTCCCCCTGGAAACTATCATGGTTAATTCTTGATGAATTCATCATGACGGGCTAACTGGCCTGTTTTCATTCTCATTTATTACCCGTCACTGGTGCTCCGCCAGCGTATCCCGTTAGCGCAGGCGGGGTTACCCTCCTTAGGGGATGTTATCAAGAATTTATTATTGTATTACCAAAGCCTAACTGCAGTTGCCAATCCACTAGCCAAACGTGGCAGCTACTGACAAAATCCCCTCAATAGGGGGAGACCTATGTTCAGCAGTGGCCGGTGAACAGTTAATATGATGATAATGATGATGATCATTAAAAAGCGAGCAATTCTCAACAGGACTGACTTGTCATCTTTCTCGTAAATGTTGAGTCCCAGAGCGTCGACGCCGAGCCAGAGCTGCGTGCCCTTCTTGTTCTTGATCTCGAAATAGTTGACGCCGTACATCTCGAGGTCCTGCGCGATCTTCAGGTACTCCATCATGGCGTCCTCGCGCAGCATGCCGCGGTGCTCCTGCCACCAGTTCGTGATGCTCTGCTCCCACTCGTCGCGCGACATCTGCCCGACACGTTACTTACATTGTTGAAACTTAAAACCTTACTTCATGTCGTCCATATTACATTAATGTGAAATTTTTTTTATAAGTTTTTTTTGTACAAAGTCCTCCAGAAGGAGACTTTGTACAAAAGTCGACTGCTTGGATACCTCTGTCCCATTCGTGTTTCAACCGTGAAGCAGTTGTTTGCATGGCTGTGTTTCTGTTTGAAAGGCGGGAAATGGCAGCGAAACTGCAGGGTATAGAGGCATAACACCTAATTCCTCAAAAATAGCAACGCATGGACACGGTATACTTCCTTATATCCATGGTACTGCTCATGTTTATAGGCGACGGTTACCACTATCCATCAGGTGGGCCGTCAGCTTGTTTGCTATTCTAAGTTGCATAAAAAAACTTTTTTTTTAATACGACTTAGAATGGCAAACAAGCTGACGGCCCACCTGATGGAAAGTAGTAACGGTCGCCTATAGACATGAGCAGTACCATGGACATAACAAATATTCACATCATAAATATTTGTGAGGATTGTTAGAACAGGATTTGCAATATGGAATATGTTGAATGAATGAATATTGAATACCTTATGTTGGTCTGTGACACGCTGCGGTAATAAGCGGTCGTTGGCGAGGAATCCCTGGCCGTGGATGGACGGATTATGGTCCCCATGCCTCGCTTGCACTGCGTACGACGCTAGCAGCACCGACGTTTCTGGGGGACAGTAGATTTCATCCGAGAGGATAGCGTTTTTCACCTGGGCGAAAGAATAGAAAAGAAATTAAAATACATCCAAATAAAAAGTACTGTACAAGTGAAATCGAAATTGCGAGTATAGATAATATTAGGACAAATATTTTATCAATAAAAAATTCAAAAATATAATAAATTTGAGCCTTCCATATTAATATATCGCCGCCCATTGTTTTCTCCATGTCACCTTTTCGTGATATTTTTTTGTACTTTTTCCTAAGTTTATTACTGAAGTTTTTTGGAGAAACAATAAACAGTGTCTACAACATTACTACTCGATTGGAGTAGTAAAATATTATTTATCGCTGTGTGTGTGTGTGTGGGGGGGGGGGATAAACAGGTCATTGTTAGCAATGAAATGGTAACCCCGCCTGCGCTGTATACGCTGGCGAGACACCAGTAAGAGATAGTCAGGTGAGGATGAAGCCAGTTTAGTTAGACCATCGTTATCAGGAACTAATTACAACAATTTGCTGGAAGTAGTAGTAGGTAAGAGTTCGACTTTACATTATCTTCTGTCGACTTGACAACTGATCTGGGAAATTTAGACGAAGGAATGGCTAAGAATACATTCTTCGACTATTTCATTTTCACACATTAAAAATAGCAGATATTCTTACCTGAAGATAGAACAGCTTGAGTGTGATCTCTTGTATAAGCTCGTCGGCTACATCCTCTGGGTAGAATTTGGCGCGGAATTTGAACTGTAGTGGGTTCTCTTTCTTGACGTCCTGTTGCATCACCTTTAAACAAAACAAAGCTACATTAAAATCTGTATCTCTATGTATATCTATTGGGGACATAAATATATTTGAAACATAAGTAATAAATATTCAAAATTGTTTCGTATACAAAACTTATTTATTTACAGGAAAACCAGGGCTACATTAGAGTAAATAGATATAGTTAAAGATTACAAATTAAGCCACTAATTATTATAGTTATCTAAGGTTACACCTAAAAAAAAAAAAAACGAAATTCAATTATGATAGTTGAATGCTGAAACGTTTTTCCAAGGACATGGACTAAATATTTTAAAAACTTTATACAAAATTAATCATGTGACTGAACGACGAAACCGGTTTGTACGGAAATTAAAAAAAAAAAATACTTCGGCTCATGTTTTTTAGAAAAAGCGGTTCAGTTTCATAGCCGTTTGATGTTACCGTTCCGTTAAATGCTGTATATCAATTGTCATCTAAAATACTGTAAGGGGATAGGCAGATAGAACCATACGCAAGTCCTGAGTTCAGATATACAAGTCAGCTATCTACTACATCGAACGTCTTACCCATCTGGAGAACGGTAGCGACCCTGACTTCGTTTCGTGCCCAGCAGTGTGGAGTGGTCCAGGGTTAGCGTTAAAAAGGCAACAATTAATTACAATTCAGCGCCAGTTTCTGGCAATTATTGGGGAAAGCAAACTATTATTGTGCTGTGAAAATTATAAATAGACGTACCTACATATAGATGCTATATTTATATGACGATATAGAAAAATTAAGCTACGTAAAACTAGCCAACTTACACAAATAGCAATTGATACATTTAATGCATTATCACTATATATTTTACCATGTAATTTACCATATCAATGAACGATTAATATGTATATATGTAAGTTACATCATCCTAACACGATTCATGTGGGGGGAAAGGGATTGTTAGCAATGGAGTTTGACAGCCCCACTGCTACCAATATATACCTGATAGGGCAGGTCGACCTCCACGTGGTTCCCCCTGGAAACCATCGTGAACAATTCTTGTTGAATTCGTTACGTTGGGCTAACTGACCTGCTTCATCCTCATCTATCATCCCTCACTGGTGCCCCGCCGGTGTATACCAATAGCGCGGGTGGGGTTACCATTCCATTATCACCCATTATAAAAAAAAAAAACACGATTCATGTAGAGGAGAATAATTTAATGTATTAACATCTATGTATAAAATTTAATGAACAATTATAATGTGAAGTAACTACTTTATTACGTTGAATATCTAAAATTAATCTTAATAGATCCTAAGATATTATAAATTTGCAATTTTTGCAACTTTATAAGAATTTTAGCACAGCTATGACATTGCAAAATTGTTTGAAGGAACTTGTCCCTAGTAATCGTGGCACATTTTAGAAAAATTTATCAAATCCTGTCAATTGAATGAATTACAAACCTTTTTAGGATATACAAATCACCAAAGCGTGTGATTAATCGACGATCATAAGGTAGAAAGAATTTTTATTCAAGTCATGTTAAATTTAAACATTTTTAAATAGTCATTTTTATAATTCAATTGCCCATAAGGAATGCAATTTCAATGAAGAAGAAACGAGATTTTCAGAAACTTTTATTTTTTAAATTATGAATTTGTGTGAATGCAAACTACTATGCAGTATACATTATAAAATATATATATATATAATATATAATAATATTGTGTAATATATAAATAAATATATACAGATTGATAAACTCAACGGTACTATAATAATATAATTTAGCATACAAATGGCATTACAACAAATTTATAAATTACTTGCAGTGCCCAAAGCAGACTAGGTTTCTACAAGAATGTCAGTACCTACATAGCCTACAATTAAAACAAACAAAACATTAAAAAAAACAAAGAAACGAAAGGTGTGCATAATTAAGCTATTTTCCCTAAACGCCGCCATTTTTTGCACAACAACCACAAAAACTGTTACTAGATGGGATGATGTCACATGGCGGTGTTAATGACCTCGCATTAGCTAAAATCGTTAAACATTACCCGGGTTGTCCTAATAATGAGAACAGAGAAACACCATTAAATAGAATTGACTACAATGTGGGTATTGTGGTGGATAAAAGTACTCTTTGACAACACCAAAAAAACCGGGGGGAAAAGGATTGTTAGCAATGGAGTTTGACAGCCCCATTGCTAGCAATATACCTTATTAGGTCGACCTCCACTTGGTTCCCCCTGGAAACCATCGTGAACAATTCTTGTTGAATTCGTCACGATGGGCTAACTGACCTACTTCATCCTCACCTATCATCCTGCACTGGTGCCCCGCCGGTGTATACCGATAGCGCGGGTGGGGTTACCATTCCATTATCATCCATTTAAAAAAAAACACTACAAAAACCAACACATAATACACGCTAATCAAAGCGATTTCGTTAAAGCGAACATTGTCATGATTATTAAGGCCTCTATTTATTTGAGACTAGTTTTTCCCCGCGACTTTATCCGAGTTATTGTTATTATCAAACAATTAAGAAACTTATTCTCTCTTACAATCACCGTTACTTTATTTATTAAGCTCTTAGAGGCTTACGTTAAAACAGTTAAATAACATGGACTTTTTGCTTAAATGCCTTCCATGTGATTCCGACATAGAATAGGTCATCCCTGATATGATTTGATATAACAGGAATTACGAATTATGTACAAAAAAAAAACTGCCAGACTTTCCGTTCAGTACAACATTCATCATCATTATCATCACCATATAAGCCATTAACTGCCTACTGCTGAATATAAACCTCCCCCATAAGGGGGAAGGGGTATTTCCAGTAGTTGCTTCGCTTGTCAGACGGATTGGCAACCGCAGTTAAGCTTTGGTGATGTTTCAACAGGGACGCTGCTGTCCATTCCTCGACCACTAACTTCCCTTAGTCGCCTCTTACAACATCCACGGGAAAGGAAGGCGTGGTCCATTCTATGCTGGAACCACATGGCACTCAGTATTTATTTATTTATTTTATTTATTTATTAAATACAAAAAAAGTATATATTACATAATAATATTTTAATACATAAAAGTAGTAAAGTAATAGAGTCTGACTGACTTAGTTCTGAGGGAGACATCAATATCACTAGTGTCTTATGATAGTATTCTACTAGTGGAACTAAGGATTTCCCCAAAAAAATACAAGTTTAAAAAGTCGAATAATTCTATGTCTCCCATATTACATCAGGCGCGTCAAGTCCGTATGTAATTCTGAACTTTTTTGTGGCTTTTCAATCAAAATTTTCTAAGACAGATCGATGACTTTGAATTTACCCTATATAAGAAGTCTAGTTTTATATACTAGTCTAAAAGCTAAGTTTTTGTTGACGTTGAGAAATCACAACCCACTATAATGTTAATAATAATAGGGCGCCAATTGCAAATGAAAGACAATTAATATTAGAACAAAATTGAAATACATATATGTATTTCAAAGTCATTAACTCTCTTTCATGTTATTATATAACAAAAGTCCGATATGTAAATATATTTACATAAAAACACATTTGACAGCTAATGATATATCTGCATTCCTCGATGGTACCTAATCGTAAAGATTACGTTTATCAATATTGATAATTGCCGATTAAAATTAACGATGAAATCATCCGATTACAAAATCAATTTATAATTATGCCAAATAATTATTTTATACAAATAATATTAAAATTTACATACATTGAATAGGAATTGTATCTATACAGTTCAATAAAAATGGATGCCAAAGTTGAGTCTTTAATATGACGTCATGGCCGAGTTTAAAACATACTTAATTTTCTTATCTTTGCATCTACGTACCCTAACACTAGTACAATTTCATCTAAAAAAGTTTCGAGTCTTAAAGAAAATATTTCATTATGCTTTGAATACAATAATAATAATGATAAATCTTGAATAACAATTAATCATTTGTTAGGATTGATGGTAAAAACATTGAATTATCGTCGATTTGAAATAATCCTTTCCTAATCCTTACGTAATTATTGACAACATGTTTCCAATTTCCAAAGGTGCTACTAATCTCTATTGTACTGTGTACACAAATGGAAAAATTATCAATTTAGCAAACAATTGTAATCTACAACGAGGAATGTTACCAGTGTACGTGTCTATCAGCAGTTTTGAATACGTACGTGTAAATTAGCTAGATGATTTATTATTAACTATATCTACAATATTGTATAACAGACTAAAATTAGCATAACCGTTTTTGTACACACAACATGTCCTATATGTATTATTTACATTGTAAATATTTTGCTTCTTATATTAAAATAAAAAAATTATCGAATTATACCCGTACTTTAAAATGGGGGAAAGGGATTGTTAGTAATGGAGACTAAGAATCCCATTGCTAGCAATATACCCAACCAGGTCGACCTCCTCGCGGTTCCCCCTGGAAACTATCATGGTTAATTCCTGATGAACTCATCATGATGGGCTAACTGGCCTGATTTCATTTTCGTCTATCACCCTTCACTGGTGCTCCGTCAACGTATCCCGTTAGCGCAGGCGGGGTTACCATACCATTTTCACCCATCAAAAAAACCGTACTTTAAAATAACACAAATGATAGGAATATCCTTTGTCTGAGTTTAGATGTAAACAAACTTAAACCGTATCGTACATGGGCGAGACAAATTGTTCCTATTTTCGACGTTAAAATCTATATACAGCAATATCTATATAAAAGGAGACAATATTGTCGAAACTTCCTTCATTGTATCAATTAACTCAAGTTTTTGTAGTACATTTACTCCATCTAGCTCTCTACTTGTAGCACTAGCCAATCACAACCTTACCAGGTCATCGCCCCTGTCATAGGCCGCTTCCTCATCATCGACCTCAGGAGATATCAACTTCTTCACAGCTGCAGTAATGAACTTCGTCGACCTCTCTACTATGGAGTCAGGCTTGAAACCACATAAAAATAATTCTAGGCGAAAAATAAATTAAACCGACACGAA